TAAAAATCAATTCAGTATTTTTGTTAGTTTTTAAAACAAAATAAATAACTAGTTTTTCCACTATTGAAGTCGGTATTTTTTTCTGGAACAAAAGCTTAAAACTGTAAAGAAGATCTATGTTGAGAAGAAGAAAAAGTATTTGTTCGGCCTTTTTACAAAGCGCTCTGAATTAATAAGTCAGTCCTTTTAGTTTATATGTTCATATATAACTATATCTCAAGTATTCTATGTGCTATGTCTGTCGTTTCTAACAACTGTATCGGCTTCATCCGGAAGTCTTCTTCAGTGGCCGTACGGCGCTTTGTATCGCACCGTCTCGCCTCGCACCGCGAGCTAACTTCATGCAGTTTTTGTTTACTGTTATATTTTTTTATACAACTTACAATGGCGAACAAAACATAAGGTTGTAATGTTGAACACGCGCGCGTAATGCCCCTGTGATTGCAGGCGTTCATCGGCTACTGTAACCGCTTACCATCAGGTGGGCCGTATACTTGTTTACCACATTAGTGGTATAAAAAAAAAACCATTACAACTGTTGTAATAATGACGAAAACGATACTGCTAGTGAGGACACGTCAATGGGTTGGCGTGTAGGTACATAATGACCAAGTCACGCGTCTGCCTCAAACAACCAAATAATCTTAGGTTACTAAGATCGTGGAATGGTAGCTCAGCACGCACCGTTTATTTTTATACATTTTTTTTTTTCATCTGTAAGCTAATGGTGTTTGCACAATGTCTAGAAGGGCCTGGGATTGCAATTCGAGACTTTGGATTTAAACATTGGAGCGGTTAAGAGCCGAGAACGATATAATATTTGAAGAGTCCAGTTCCGTGGGATTAAAACGATTTATTTACCGATGTATAATCGATTGTTTTACGATACGAGCCGAGTTTCTTGTCAGTTCTTCTCGTCTCGATATCCTTCCGAACTGACGGTAGATTTGACATATCATAAAAGTCTGGAATAGACCTACATGAATAAAGATATTTTGAATTTTCAATATTTTTTTTATCAAGTCAGAAATTAAGACATCATTTTTAAGAAATAAAAAAGATTATCAAAATAAAAAAAAGAATAGAATAAATAGGTATTTATTGTGAGCTGTACCTACATTATAATTATACGTAAGATGTTATTAACCTCTTAGAAGAAAACACAGCCTGCCCATACATCGGGTGAACAATACAATTAGCTGGGGAAAATGGATTGTTCGCAATGGAGTTTGACAGCCCCATTGCTAGCAATATGTCTTATTAGGTCTACCTCCACATGGTTCCCCCTGGAAACCATCGTGAACAATTCTTGTTGAATTCGTCACGATGGGCTAACTCACCTACTTCATCTTCACCTATCATCCTCCACTGGTGCACTGGTGTATACCGATAGCGCGGGTGGGGTTACCATTCCATTATCATCCATTAAAAAAAAATACAATTAGCTACATAACATTATTTATTTTACAGTCTTACAAATAAAGTTAAAAATAGAATGTAGCGCGTCAATCAACTGTCACAAACTAACACATGGTCACCATTAGAATATATTAATGATCACCTTATATTACATATTAATTAAATTATTTATAATATCAATAAAAAAAATATATATATATATTATCTACAGGTTCTACAAAACCTACCGCAAGCACCAGTCTCTCACAAAATTGGTCTTACATATCAAATTGTACCTCAAGTTGTCACTTTACACTTTACCTTTTGTGAAGAGAAAAAAAATAAACCATTCATTCATTCATTCATATTATTGATTTTAACATTCTCCACTCGGAAAAGATAGTTGGATGAGAACCTAAGCGTGTTTTTTTTATACAACTTAGAATGGCAAGCAAGCTGACGGCCCACCCGATGAAAAGTGGTAACCGTCGCCTATAGACATGAGCAGTACTATGGACATAACAGAGTATGCTGTTTCGCCCATGATGCCCCCCATGCGTTGCCATTCCTGAGGACTCAGGTGTTATTCCTCTGTACCAAGTAAATTCACGCTATATCCCACCCTTCAAACCGAAACACAGCCATGGAAACACAACTGCTTCACGGTTGAAACACGAATAGGACAGAGGTACCCAAGCAATCGACTTTTGTACAAAGTCTCCCTCTGGTAAAGTTTCTGCGATTATATTTTATTTATTTAGTAAATTATAAAGATATAATTTATTCGATATTGTTCAATCCGAATACTTGTCAATGTGTTTAAAAGAAATTAATCAGAATTGAATAATTTACAGTTTCGTTTACCAAGCCATCAAAACCGTATGTGCCCACGATCAAACATTATTTGAGTTGCCACCGATATTGAAAATTATAGCACTGCAAAATATAATAAAATGGATGGAAGAAAAAAAATATGCTGTAACAATAGTGTTTGAATTCATTGTAATCCGTTTTGTACGCTAATAAATAAATAAATAAAATAATCCGCATAGAAATATTTTAAAATCAACTTATCCATTTCAAAATTAATTGAAATTTTAAAATTAAATGTATTTACCGCCGCAGCTTTCCCCTTTAATTTGCCTATGATGGGGGAAAGGAATTGTTAGTAATGGGGTCTAACTGACCCATTGCCAACACACACTATAAGAGGAAAAAGGATTGTTAGCAATGGAGTTTGACAGCCTTATTGCTAGCAATATGCTCTATTAAGTCGACCTTCACGTGGTTCCCCCTGGAAACCATCGTGAACAATTATTGTTGAATTCGTCACGATGGGCTAACTAACAGGCTTCATCATCACCTATCATCCTTCACTGGTGCCCCGCCGGTGTATACCGATAGCGCGGGTGGGGTTACCATTCCATTATCACTCATTAAAAAAAACACACACACACTATGATGTCGACCTCCACGTGGTTCCCCTGAAAAGCATCGTGGTTAATTCTAGTGGAATTCGTCACGATGGGCTAACTGACCTGCTTTCATCACCTATCATCCCTCACTAGTGCCCCGCCAGCGTATACCGGTAGCGCAGGCGGGGTTACCATTCCATTTTAAAAAATAAACATGCCTATAATCCTAGAGATGTAAATCAATAATGACATTAACATGTAGAACTATCACTTTAACAAACGAAGACGTAGTATTTATATTTTACTAAATTATGTTAAACAACATAACACGACACTACAGAGTAACGTAAACCAAGCAATTAAGCAATTATCAAGAGGCACTACACGATTGGCTATGTAACTCGATCGCCACTTGTCGCGCTAAAATATCTGTGACTCGATGACGGGTATCTGGTTGCAGCACGCCCGCGCGCGCGGCGCCATTTTGGCGAAAAGAAATGAAATTGATACTTGTTAAATAAGTGTAACATTTTATAATACTGTATAGCTCGTTCCCTTTATTGAAATTTTAACTTTATTTGAGAAATCAGTTCAAGGTACGATAGGGCTGACATACCTGAAGAAGGTAAAAGCTTTATTAATGGGTGATAATAGAATGCAACCCCGCCTGTGAGAGATGATAGATGAGAATCAAAACAGGTCAGTTAGCGTATCGTAACAAATTTAAGAATTAACCACGGTGGTTTTCAAGGTTAACCGCATGGGATTTGAACTGATAGAGAATATTACTAGCAGTTTAGCCGTTAGACCTTCTTACTAACAATTTCATTTCCCTGGTATTTTTTTTTAATGGGTGATAATGGTATGGGAACCCCGTCTGCGCTATTGGTATACAATGGCGGGGTACCAGTGATAGATGACTGATGAGTATGAAAGCAGGTCAGTTAGCCCATCCTGACGAATTCAACTAGAATTAGCCACGATGGTTTCCAGGGGGAATCACGTGGAGGTCGAACTGACAGAGTATATTGCTAGTAATGGAGCTATTTAACCCCATTACTAACAATTCCTTTTCCCCCTTTCCCTGGTTTCGGGTAGTAGTGGGACTTAACTTCTTGAAAAAAAGCACTTTGCCCCAGCATCCCGCTTATTTCTGGGCTCTTGTTGGGCCCGGGGTAGGGTTGTTTTGTTTTAAACTCACTATTATTCGGCAGCTGCCAAAGGACAACGTTTTTGGGCGTACGAGTATATATAGCGTGATCTGAAGTCCATAGAATATAGATACTTGCTAGTAATACAGTTGTTAGATCCTATTATAAACAATGATTTTCTCCCAGTAAATATTATATAAAAAATCATGATTTATTTTAAGTAAATCCGTGACCATGCGCTAACTGGCCTTCTAAATAAGTGGCAAGCGAATTCATCGGTGGAATCGTTGTCGCTAGCGAGTCTATGAGACAAAATGAGATACAACGTCCGATGTCTCATTTCAACTCATGGATTCGCTAGCGATAATGACTCCATCCATGGGTTCGTTTGCTACTTGTCTAGGGCTCGGATCTGCGTCATCCTGACCAATCCGTCACTGGACAAATCGAAGCTTGACTACGGTTCGGAGGTCGAAGTCCGAATGCCAGCCTAAATCTCTGAATTTTCAAATTAATATTTGGACCATTTAAAAATTATGTCACTAACTTCGTAATCGCGACTGTTAGTCCAGCCGATCATGGCAAGGTAAACAACATAATATTTTGTTAATCTAGCGGAAGATGCTCAGACGCATTGCTCACACTAATATAAATAAGTAGTTACTAAGAATAATCTTCAGTTTTATGTTTTCCCTCTTAATAAAATAAAAAAAACTACTACAATACTACATAATTATGCACTGAATTATGTTTATTTGTTTGAGATTTCCGAGGAGTATGTAATTAGATCGTACAGCATTTCATCAGTAAACAGTAGATCTTGGGTCAAGACAGCTACTCCTCGTTTAGGCAATCCTGACACTAAATAATGATAATAAGGAGTCATTAAATCACAGCCATCATCCGGTCCCCGAGCTAGAATACTCCGTGTTAAGAGGTACCAAGGCAACAAACATCTGGGGATACAATCAACAAAATACCCAGACCGGAGGCAAGTTAGAAAAGCTCATATATAATAAACATATCGCCGACTCACTGGCAAACCTGGGGTCGTTCGAGGCGGGGTACCAGCCAGCGCCGCGCATGTCCCCGTAGTGCGGCAGGTCGGTGGGCGCGCACCCGTAGCCCTGCACGGGCGCTCCGCCGTACAGCGGCACCGCGTACGGGTTGCCCGCCATGCCGCACGACGCAGCAGGACCGAGCGGCGAGTTTATACTGCTACCCGATGAGTTTGATCTGAAAAGAAGTCATAGGTTAGACTTACAGGCAGAGGGAGAAATCAAGAGTTTTTAAAACTGGCTTCTATACTTGAGAGTTAAGAAAATACCTAGACGTGGATAAGGATAGAGAGCTCTTGTAGAATCTGTATAAAATGGCAAAGCAACAGTAAGAAATAGGTGGGGAAAAATGCAGGTCAATTAGCCTATATTGAGGAATTGGACAAGAATTAACCACGATGGTTTCCTGGGGAAACTGCGTGGAAGTCAATATGATAGGGTGACTATGAGACCCCATTAGTAATAATCCCTACCCCCCTCCCCTCTCTATTGGCACTAGTACAAGTATAAGTGTGAGAGTCTATTTCTACTCCTGAGAGGGAAGAAGAAGATTAGGAATAACTTTTTCAGTCTTAAAGAATGACAATAATTGTAGACTTTTTCTTTTGACTCCGGATTATGGTACTCTAAGAATAATAACACCACAGACACGACGTTTACCACTTTCCATCTTATTATTAACAAAGTAATATCTCCAATATTCAATTGTCCTTGTATTGCAAAGCGACTGTATTAAATAAACAAAGACCAAACTCGTTCTCATCAGTGAGACCTTAATACGTTGACATGTTACGGTATACAAAATAATAAAATTAAAAAAAACGTACATACTTATGCCTACCTATCTAAATACTTATAGAAAGAACCACGGAAAATAATTTTATTCACATGGCGCCCTTGAATGATAGATTTGTTCCTCGACTATCAATATTTAAATCCTACCTAATTTTACAGCTGATTTACTTATAACTGAGTAGGTAATTATTTAATTAATCACCCATGAGTCATTAAGCCAAATCTGCCACACACAGCATAAAGACAGCCCGACGCTGGCAGCGCCAGGCGCCAACTCGTCACGTTCAAACAATGGATGGCTTATCTGACTAATCCCTATTTACACAATTTAATCTCCTTGCCCCATAGGCCCATCCACACAAACCATTCATACATCACAACGCATAACCAAAAAGTCATATTCAAGCGATTCTATGCCTTAAAACTAACAGAATAAAGATTGACACCATTATTTTTAACAGCAAAAGTAACGTCAAACGATGGAACACCCCAATCCGCCATTACGATGTTTGATTTGACAAATTGAGTTTTGACAGGGCGGGAAAATTTGGCGCGAACCGTTTTAGGTTATACCGTTTTAATTGAGGATAATTCGGTTTCATTCTGGTTTGTTTTCTTATAATTCTGCTCCTTGTTTTGTTAATTTAATTGGTGTGACGTTAATTCAGTTAGTTCATAGGTTGCTACGAATTTAATAATAAATTGGTCTCCTATTATAAATTTAATTAATTAACTACATATATACTATAAGGTAAGCATATAGAGGAGTAGGTACTATTTTTTTTTATACAACTTAGAATGGCAAACAAGCTGACGGTCCACCTGATGTAAAGTGGTCGCCTATAGACATGAGCAGTACCATGGACATAACAGAGTATACTGTTTCGCCCATGATGCCCCCCATGCGTTGCCATTCCTGAGGACTCAGGTGTTATTCCTCTGTACCCAGTAAATTCACGCCATATCCCACCCTTCAAACCAAAACACAGCCATGCAAACACAACTGCTTCACGGTTGAAACACGAATGAGACAGAGGTACCCAAGCAATCGACTTTTATACAAAGTCTCCCTCTGGTAAAAATATGATGTATGAGACATAATGAGTCCACCAATCCTAATAGTAGTCATAAAATTATTTATTGTGAATAATATTCCCCAAAAAATAAATGAATTGGCTAAAATTATTGTATATTCCTTATTGAACTTGAACAAAAGATACAGCGTTTAATTTGACAGCTTGTTAACAAGGGTGGGCTTATCTCTAAAAGAGATCTTCCAGCCAACCCAGTGCAGCGAGGAAGAAAATAATATTTTTTTTTATACAACTTAGAATGGCAAACAAGCTGACGGCCCACCTGATGGAAAGTGGTAACCGTCGTCTATAGACATGAGCAGTACCATGGACATAACAGACTATACTGTTTCGCTCATGTATTTATATAGAAAGTCATATACCAGTGTACAAAATTTTATTCAAATTCATACAAAAATCACGATATTTTGATGATCTATCAATGGGCTACTATCTATTTACCTACAAAATAATACTCAGTGATCCGTCACTGTGATGATTTTTTTTTTTCATTTATTTGTTTCACTGATTTCCATACTTTTGTTCCACTTAAATCAAACCTAAACTAAAAACCTAAATGCGTTTGACGACTAGGCTGTCAAACGTGGCCACTACCACAGTTAATATAATACTATACTAGCCACTATACTATACTACAAAATCCCCCGAGAGGTAAACTGTCATAAAGAACTGCCCCGTTCCTTATGACAGTCTATGGCCTATATTCAACATTAAGCTAAAATTCCAGACAAATTATCATATTGAAGACTAGGCAGGATGGTCTCCGACCTTAGCCTGTTCCACAACGGAACAAACGTACTAAAAAAAATCAACTTTATGCAAAAACTGCTAATATAATGATAAGTATTATCTCATCATCGTCAACTCTGCATGAATTTTGATGATTCTTTTGCCGACGATAGTGTTTATTCCCGTATTAATCTCGTAAAAAATGCGTCACGGCTAAAATCGAATTTTTTGCAATAAAATTTTAAATTATATAAAGTGCAGATGATATTTTATATTTCGAATATATGATATGTATCAGCAAAAACGTAAAACAAAAGTAAAAAAAACTTCATCGTCAAAAAAAAAATAGTATGCGGCGGTTTAAACTTTTTAAAACTGTCACAGACAACGACATTCTCGTATTTCGTCGACGAAGAAGGATAGAGACTACACTTTTTAATATAGAACTCTAAAACTTAATAATACAATACAATATTCAATGGACACATCTCCGTCGCCGGCCGCCGCGCGCCGTCGTCGACGGGAGTGATAGAGTGAACAGTGACGTCACAACACAAACACGATCCGTACAAACATGGAATCATATTTAAATTCATGCACACGCATGTACCCACTCGACAAAAATTAACATAATGGTTTTTGCTTACTATTAATTTGAGTAGTTTCACGCCTACGCTCAAGAGCATTTATACCGTAAGCTGAACTAACATTAACCTCTCTAAATTCAGTACTGAACGATCAAAAATTACTTCCCGATAAAGTACTAATTACATTATCTAATATATTTGCAATATCTAGTTGACTCCTTTTAAAACTTATTTTTTTCTTTTTTTTTATGCAGCTTAGAATGGTAAACAAGCTGACGGCACACCTGATGGAAAGTGGTAACCGTCGCCTATAGACATGAGCAGTACCATGGACATAACAGAGTATACTGTTTCGCCCATGATACCCCCCATGCGTTGCCATTCCTGAGGACTCAGGTGTTATTTCTCTGTACCCATTAAATTCTCGCCACGTATCTATCCTTCTTCGTCAACGAAATATGAGAAAACTGTTGTCTTTGATAGTTTTAAAAATTTATAAACTGCCAAATGTTATTCCATTTTTAAACATGGAAACGATTAAAAAAAAAATACGAGGGTATTAATAACACTAATAGAAATTTTGACTGCCTGTCTATCTCTTTTCATCTTTGTTTGTTTCAGCGTCACGCAAAAAGTATTGCACTAATTTGGATGCGGTTTTCGAAGTTATGTTCCTAAAAATCAACTTTAAAAACTCGTGTGTGTTTTACTTTAACACGCCATATACAAGTGGTAAATTTAAATGCTTTATTTACTTGTAAAATCCACGCATACGAATTAGCGTGCGAAAAACACATTACTATATTATATGACCGTTGATATTTACAATAGTTTTTTTTTTAATTTAAATTTTTACAACTAATGCAAAGTACTTCCTGCCAACTGAATTAATAAATGGTACAAGGATCTATTCTTTTCTACACAAAATCTTTTTACTAAATTAGTAACTATTAGTAACACCAACTACTTAATAGGATTTTATTAAAAAAAAAAAGAAACGGCTTCTGTCGAAGCAAAATTAATTATTTTGTTTTAAAAACCTAACTACCACAGCGATTTTAATAAAATTTCTATGGAACGAATTTGAAATTATATCTTTTAATATAAAAAAAAGATTGTATCGAAATATAAAGTGCTGAGGTAACAAACATATAAAAAAAACTATCGAATTGAACGTTCTCCTTTTTTGAAGTCGGTTGAAAATAGAAAAATTATTAGCGAGCCATCCTCTTAGCGGGAGAATATCTCCAGCAGTGTTTGTATACATAATAGGCACAAGCTGTAGGTAATTTTTTCACATACGAGTACATTATATTAAAGGACGTAAATATTTTAAATTTTAAATATTTACTATGCATATAAATGACGATGTGTATTTACTTATTTGCACATTATAGTGTAATCAACAGTGACGCTGATTTTTCCCTCAAGTGCTTACGTACCCGCTGTCAATACGTCTGTCACGTGTTAGACTAATTGCGGTTATGTATCACGACTAGAAATGAAATGAAATGAATTTATTTTGCTAGAATGTAGGTAGTTTCAGATGGAAGAGGTTTACATTTCCCGTATACATTCTGCCTCTATGTCGGCGTGCAAATTATTAACAATATAAGAAATTTATATATATTCTACATTAGATTTCTTTTAATTAGTCATATTAATTTATAATAATATAAATATATTAGTTGTAGCACTTCAGCTGCCCGCTAACGACATGCTTTCTTACTGTATTGGGTTGCTGGAAGAGATCTCTTTCAGAGATAAGTCCACCCTTTTTTTTTTTTTTTTTTTTTTTTTTTTTTTTTTTTTTTTTTTTTTTAATATTTTAAGGGCTTTTACCTTCTTCAGGTATATCAGTCCTATTGTACCCTGAACTGATTTCTCCAACAAAACTTTATCTACCTTCCCTAGACGCGGAAAGAGAAGAATTAATGGGCTTCAATAATTTACACAGATGTTCAAAAATTTCTGGTTTAAGTCCACCCTTGTTCACAACATTTATAATTGCATTATATTATATGTAAGTTACAAGTGCAATAAAGAATATGTATTAATTAGTACACAAATAATTTATTACAGTAAATAGAAAATAAAATCTAAGAGCCAATGTACCAATTACATCTCCGGTATAGGTTGTCAAGTACATTTTTTTTTAAGTAAAATATTATGGGGCAAACGAGCATGCGGCTCACCTGATGGTAAGTGACTACCGCCGCCCATGGTCACCCACAACACCTACGGCATTGCAGGTGTGCTGGCGGCCTTTTAAAAAAAGGAATATGCTCTTTTCTTGAAGGTTATGTTGTCGTATCGGTTCGGAAATACTACTGCTGGAAGTTGATTCCAAAGAGTGGTTGTGCGTGGAAGAAAGTGCCTTGAAAAACGCACGGTGGAGGACCGCCACTCGTCCAGATGGTTGGGATGAAATTTTAGTTTATGGCGGTTGTACGATGGTGAAAATCAGAAATTTATTAGATAGAATCCAACAAGGTATTTAGCAATCGACTTCAAAATAAGGCGGTTCTATTTTGATTATATGTTTTTTATGTATTTTGCGTGATATGTAACTCGGTAGCTTTTTATTTCCTTTTTTATTATAAATACGAAGTTTGTGATAGTCATTTTATCTATTCACAATTATTTTGTTGTAAACTTTACGTTTATTTGACAACAACAACAGCTCTGTTTCTTGCCCGTTCTTCTCAGCTGAAATTGCCTTCCTAACTGGGCAACAGTTTATAAAAAAAAATTACTATTTAAAAATACTAATAAACTAAAATATATTATTAAGTTTACTTAAATAAAAATTATTTATTATTATTTTTCTTTATTATTATATCATTTTATTTTAAAGTATTTAAATTTACTCACGCAACGGGTATTAATTTGTTTTGACAATAAAACTAATTTCTTTCTTATCTAGTAAGTATTCCGGGGTATCACTATACATTTCTAAAGCATAACTGCGATGGCCAACCCGCCTGCCAAGAACAAAAACATCTGGCAAAATACCCTCAATGGTAAAATGTCATAAGGAACGGCTCCCCGTTCCGGATTTGCCACATTTGATATCCATTTTTTTTTTGGAACACAATCTCTTTTTTTATTGTTTCACGAAATGTTTAGAACTACGGAACTTATAAACTTGAACTAAGCATTTTATATAAAATGTAGTTTATATAATTATTTTTGTGACTCCCAAAGAAACAGAACATCATGTTTTTCACGCGGGAGAAGTTTTTTTTTTTTCTCTGATATGTTTATTTTTTATTGACCACATTACAAAAAATGTTTGGTACAAAAGGCGACTTTAATGCTACATATATCGTCATAGTCGTAGAATACTGACGAATCTATACATGTAATATTCGTCAGATCCGTCAGTATTCTACGACTGTGACGATATAGCGTTCTGTTCCAGCCAACCTCTTCGCAAAACAGAAATGTTCTGTATATGTTATGTATACAGTATAGATATTACACAACCACACAGAAACTACTGTTATAATTCAATCTCATAATCCCTCTAATATTATAAACTAGCGGTTCGACCCGGCTTCGCACAAGTACACAGAATTTTCGAAAAGCAATACATTCAATAAAAAAAGTCTTAGCCAATTCAACTAATCGGTTGTTTTATATCATTAAATATGTGATTCTTTAGATTGATATTTTTTTTATTTATTTATGAACCGATTAAAATAAAACAAACACTAAATGTTAACTGGACTAAACCACAACGCATTAGTGAAAACCGCATTCAAACAGATTAAGCCGTTTCTGGGATTATTACAAAAATTCTAAAAATCATTGTCTTGGGTTCTATTGCGTTCATAAAGCCCCCTTATACTTAATAGTTTTTCTTATATACCTATCCTCCGTATACCTACAGACAGCGAGCAGTTACGATTTTATTACACGATGTGAAAGTTTACAACGATCATGCAAAACGAACGATTGAAATTAATTCAAATTTAGTTGTATTTACAGCCTCTTATACGAGTACAAGAAAAGTACAATAGTAATCGGGATCGAATACATTGCAGTAAAGTTCTTAATCGTTTTTTTTAAAATAATTATCATTTTTCATCGGGTGATCGATCAGCTATTTTGCATTTCAAGCAGGTTTTTTTTTAATAATATTATAAAGTGTATACTACTCCGTAGGTGCTAAAAAAACTTTTGATTTGTCCTGGTATTAACAAGTTTTGGATATTATAAGTAATTAATAGGTAACTATAACTTTTTATTATTTAAATTATATGGAAAACTATTAAGTTTTGTACGTTTTTAATTTAATTCACACATACACCTATTAATTGTAGATAGTTTTTTTTTTTAATTAGTTACGTATTGGAAAAACAATGCACTGAACTTAAAACAAATAGGAAATCTTTAAACGCGTTCCCGTGGGATTTACAAATACACCCGAAGACCAGGTTTTTTTTTTATAAATATAATCTTTCACCTAAATATTTTCATTATATATTTTACTCCAATTGGTAGATATTATCTTGCGAAAGCCTATATCACCAGTTTGTTTTTTGTTTAAATTTATAAAATATTAATTTGTTTAAAATTATTTTGTTTAATTCCGCTACCATTAGTACACTACTAATACCATAGATTATATTGTATTAATAGATACTATTTTTCACTAACTACAAAAAAAAGAAAAAGTCTATAGACGTCGACACTTTATTCGTCGCAAATTGCCGCGTCGCTTTTTTTTCGAATAAACCTATTATTTTTACGGATCATTCTACTTTTGTTCCTTACGATTTCGGTAAAAAAAGGATTATTGTAGCATTAGTAGGACGTAAAAGATTATTATTTGTTCTTTTATTAAAAATTATTTGAAACCGGGCGCATATTTACGTAACAAACCTAGGTATAAGTAAGAACGAACGCGCAAGAAAAAAGTTTAAAAATAAAATTTATTTATTTGGGATAAAATTTTATACAAGAGAATTTAATTAGGCCTATAATTGTCTACCGTGAAATCTTTTACTAATCAAGCATTTATTTTTTAGATGCAATTAAGGTTTTGTTATTTCTCATTTGAAGAACACACTACTTCTCCCTTTTCTTTTTTTTTTTGAAAAATAAATTATTTATTTATTTTTGAAAATTTTGTCTTTTTCGATTTTTTAGAGGCTTTTCATTCACTTCACATTAATACACCTATCTAAGAAATAAATAATTAATCTTGTGACGATAAATGCTAATTGTTTATACATACATATGCATAAAGGCTTCAACATGCATATCGTTTCCACGCATCGTCGTCTGTCGTAGGAGGCCGTTGTCTCCCAGGGCTTCACTTTAGGTCCATAATGTCGAATACTAAATTGTGGCTATTACGAATAATCGATATGCAAAATATTGTTAAAGTATCGCGGCCCGTGTTCAGGAGAGACATTGTGATTTATCATCCGCGGCATAATACTCTTAAAGTCCTCGTACGTAAAGCACGTTGTTGATAGCACATTCACATCGCATCATCACTTGACCGCCAATCACAACATACCTGCACAAACAAACGTCACCGAACTATATCCTTCGACTACGAGCGACGCTCAAGCACTCTCGTCGGGACCTTTGGCACTCGAAAAATCAGCGGGTGGAGGGTCCCCTCCCCCCCCTCGATCGATCCACGCACCTGTACGGCGAAGGCGGGTTGTTCGCCAATTCCAACTTGCGGTATTCCTCTATCGGCGACAGGATATCGGTGACCGAAAACGGCGTTGAGTGCTGAAGCTGCAGCTGAGAGAGGTTTTGCTGCAGCAGGGCCGATTTTGGCGATAGGCTCATCGCCAGCTCGGCAGCGCTCAGCTCCGGCAGCGCCTCCGCCGGACACGGCGAGTAGCCGCCGCCCTCCGCGGACATCCGACCGGCCGGCACTCGACGCCACTCGACGGCTCAGCCTCTAGTGGCTCTCGGGGCGAGAGTGGCGCCCAGAGCCCCCGGCGCGGGTTACGGCCACTCGAGGGGCTCCGCCCCGCCGTGTGCGCGCCGTCCTATCGTGTGGGCCGCAGCTCGTGATTGGTGAGCGGCAGGGGCTGGGTGTAGGGGGCGCGGCGGGCCCGATGGCCCCGGCGGCCGTCCCGGGCGGCCCACGCTAGTGCGCCGCGCTGTGTAGTGGGGAGGCGTACTGGCTACGCTCGCACTGTGTCCGCGCTCGCTCGCTAATTATCCACAGTCGATATGAACTGTTACACTTTGTGTGCATCGCTAACACAAGTTTGGCGCTACGATCCTCAGTTACCTGACAGTGTTTGTTGTATTTGTTTAGACACCGAGTAATTTATTTTCATATTTATTCATAAGTGCAAGTAGGTATATTTTAATGTAAATTATAAAGGACTTATTGGTTTATTGACTAAGACCTACCTATCTATGTAAATGTTCCACGCTGAGCTTCGACCTTTTTGTATTGCTGCAGATCACACATAATAACACAATTTTATAAATCTTATGTTGTTTTATGTATTATCTATTCTTATGTACATGTTGTGTGTGATTAGTAACAAACAAATAAACGATATATCTATCTATCTATCTATCTATTATACTAAATAGTAATATACTACAATATACAGGTCTTAAACCTATTACAGACACCAGCTCCTCACAGCACAGTTCCATAATATTTTAATTTTATTTTATCCTAAATACCTATGTGTAAATTTAAGTTGTTTGTGTGGAGACATAAATAAATATATAATTGTTATTATTATTATATATTTTACAGATATTAAATACGGATATATAGATACAAAAACAATAAAAACGTCAGTAGTAGGTAGGTACTTGTTATGAATGTAACTATTAACTGTAAAAATTCTCTATTATTTTGCCTGTATGATTAAGCATTACACTGAAACAATGAATGGATTTACGCGTAACCTGTAGTAGTAAGTAAGTGCATACTTATGTACATAGAGTACATAGTTATTTTTAATCTGCGTTTACCTGATTTTTATTTACATATGCTTAAGTGATCCGGCTACTTTACGCACTTCGACTCTTTAAAATCTATTGTGCTTTTCCCTACCTTACCCCATCTTGAAATTAGAAGGGGTTGTTAGTAATGGGGATTACCAATCCCATTGCTAGCAATAAACTCTCTCAGGTCAGTCTCCTCGCGGTTCCCCCTGGAAACCATCTTGATTGGTTTATTGTTGAATTCGTCACGATGGGCTAACTGACCTGCTTCATCCTCACTTATCATCCCTCACTGGTGCCCCGCCTGTGTATACCGATAGAGCGAGCGGGGTCACCATTCCATTATCATCCATTAAAAAAGAACCTCATCTTGAAGATTTTATCTATCTACTAACATTTAGTGTCCTGCAATTTTTTTTTAATGTATGGTAATGAAATGGTAACGCCGCCCGCGCTATCGGTATACACCGGCGAGGCACCAGTGAGGGATGATAGGTGAGGATGAAGAAGCAAGTCAGTTAGCATCATCGTGACGAATTCAACGATAAATCAGTCACGATGGTTTCCAGAGGGAACCGCGTGGTAGTCGACCTGACAAGGTATATTGACAGCAATGGGGACTAACCTCCCCATTTCTAACAATCCCTCCCCCCCAGTGTCCTGCAATTTGATATAGATACCTACGTGTTATATTAAGGAAAGTGGCAGATTTAAAAAGTAATCGTCCGTGTAGCCTAACTTCAGGCTGCAGCTGAAAATCAGTGCTTTGCTTTTAAGCAAAACTATCACTGAGCTGTAGCCTATTTGGATCACTGCGACACACTTGGTGAAAACATATTTTCATATTTTATCTTTTGTTTTATATTTAAAAAATTGTAAATAATTTGATTGTATAAACTCATTTGTTAATTTACGTGTGTCATGAATGGCTTAAAACTTACTTACCAGAGGGAGACTTTGTACAAAAGTCGATTGCTTGGGTACCTCTGTGCCATTCGTGTTTCAACCGTGAAGCAGTTGTGTTTGCATGGCTGTGTTTCGGTTTGAAGGGTGGGATATGGCGGGAATTTACTGGGTACAGAGGAATAACACCTGAGTCCTCAGGAATGGCAACGCACGGAGGGTATCATGGGCGAAACAGTATACTCTGTTATGTCCATGTTACTGCTCATGTATATAGGCAACGGTTACCGCTTTCCATCAAGTGGGCCGTCAGCTTGTTTGCCATTTTTAAGTTGTATAAAAAAACCGCAGTTAGGCTTTGGTGCTGTTTTAAGAGGGACGCTGCTGCCCATCCCCTGCCCTTCCTTAGTCGCGTCTTACGACACCCACGGGAAGGGAAGACCTATTCTATGCCGGGACCACACGGCTATTAGATATTATCAGATACAAATATTATCAGATTAAAATGATTTATTAAACTGTAACTATTATACAATAACTATCCATAGGAGGGGGGAAGGGATTGTTAGTCATGCGGACTACCATTCCCATTGCTAACAATATACCCAACCAGGTCGACTTCCTCGCGGTTCCCCCTGGAAACTATCAATGGTTAATTCCTGATGAATTCATCATGATGGGCTAACTGGCCTGCCTTTTCATTCTCACCTGTCATCGCTCACTGGTGCCCCTCTAGCGTATATCGTTGGCGCGTGCAGGGTTACCAATCCATTATTATCCATTAAAAAAAAGCCTATCCATAATTGGAGATTTTTGTTGGTTTAACTACCTACTCTATAAATGAATTTTAGTAAAATAAAAAATAAATTGTTAATTAATTTATATATTATATGTTGATCTTACATTATACCTATCGGTTCGGAAATACTGCTGCTGGAACTTGATTCTAAAGAGTGGTTGTGCGTGGGAGAAAGTGCCTTGAAAAACGCACGGTGGAAGACCGCTATCCGTCCAGATGATTGGGATGTACTAACTAAAGTACTTTTAATATCAAAGTAAGATAGTGTGTCAATAGAGGAAGGCAACTAATAAACTAGCGGCAAAACTAATCAATCGTTATACCTAGGCAAGCAAGAGACTACAGCATGGAGTTCTTCAAAAGGGGGGTAAAGAGGTTTCTTCAGGGTCGGCAACGCGCGCGTAAAACCTCTGGTATTGCAAGCGTTCATAGGCTACGGTAACCGCTTACCATCAGGTGGGCCGTATGCTTGTTTGCCACGTCAGTGGTATAAAAAAAACATAGTCAAGCAAGTAATTACCTAACATTCAATTGCAGCAAGAAAATGAAGAAATAACACAACGTTTGTATAAAACTTGCGGACCCAACAGACCCTATCATAGGGGGGAAAGGGATTGTTAGTAATGGAGATTAAAAATCCCATTGCTAGCAATATACCCAACCAGGTCGCCCTCCTCGCGGTTCTCCCTGGAAACTATCATGGTTAATTCTTGATGGATTCATCATGATGGGCTAACTGGTCTGTTTTCATTCTCATCTATCACCCTTCACTGGTGCTCCGCCAGCGTATCCCATTAGCGCAGGCGGGGTTACCATTCCATTATCACCCATAAAAAAAAACAGACCCTATTAATTAATTGTGAATCTAAATACAGGGACGTCCTCAAACAATCTTTAAAGATTCACTAAAATCAATCCAGCGGTTTTGGAGGACTTCATTGAAATACATTTAAAATTCGGTACCAACTCCCAGCAGCGGTATTTTCGAACAAATAATAGATTGATTCCTTCAAGTGATGAGTCATATTCATTCCTAAAAAACCGGTAACACACCTGAAATTTATTGCAGTATTGCGGGTGCCTATAGGCGACGGTAATCACTTACCATCAGCTGGGCAACATGCTCGATTGCCGCCTGTGTTTTTTTTTTGATGGGTGAAAATGGAATGGTAACCCCACCTGCGCTAACAGAATACGCTGGCTGAGCACCAGTGAAGGGTGATAGATGAGAATGAAAACAGGCCAGTTAGCCCATCATGATGAATTCATCATGAATTAACTATGATAGTTTCCAGGGAGAACCGCGTGGAGGTCGACCTGGTTGGGTATATTGCTAGCAATGGGATTCTCAGTCTCCATTACTTACAATCCCATCCCCCCTGCCGCCTGTGTTATAAAAAAAAATGTATACATACAGAAGAAGTATACATGCATACATACATACATACATATCTGTCACGCGTGTCTCCCATTAGGGTAGGCAGAAGCAATGAAACGCCAAATGCTTCGATTCAAACAAACCTCTTTCGCTTCTTCCACATTCATCAATCATTTCATACACGCTCGCCGGTTACGGGTATTGTAAAAATAAGTACACCTGTAAAAAGTATAAATAAAGTTTAAATATAGACATTTTTCTAATTTTCAATGGTATTTTTGTTTGTAAGTTTTATTTCATTCCAAAAAATATTGTTATTCGCTTTGCCTTGGCCTATATTCACTTTGCCCGGGGCGTCAGGCAAAGTAGATAGTAAGTCGCTATTGTAAACTTAGCTTATAACTAATAATGTAATTTTAATGCCAAATGTTATATTATAATTTAAGTTCGTTTAATAAAGACTGATTATTTATAATTGTTTTAATTTTTCCAGTTAGAACTAAACGAAAATAGTCAAAAACACCTTAAGGTATTCACTTTTCCCGGGTTTCCCCTATACCTATTTGTGTAACTGTAACCATATTTACCTGGGGGGAAAGGGATTGTTAGTAATAGAGACTGAGAATCCCATTGCTAGCAATATACCCAACCAGGTCGAACTCCTCGAGGTTCTCCCAGGAAACTATCATGGTTAATTCCTGATGAATTCATCATGATGGGCTAACTGGCCTGTTTTCATTCTCATCTATCACCCTTCACTGGTGCTCCGCCAGCGAATCCCGTTAGCGCAGGCGGGATTACCATACAATTTTCACCCATTGAACTATATTTACCTATATGCAATTAAATCATTGCTTGATTGATAAAGATTTTGTACAAAATCATCGACATAATTTATGTAATAAGATTGCCCTAGCGATAAGACCGCCTTCTGTACCTTTATGTATATATTTGAATCTGTACTTTATGCAACTGTATTTCACTTTAATTATCTATTTGTTATTATATATTTTAATGTTTTTAGTGCAATAAAGAGTTAAATAAATAATCTTCCTTTGCCATTAATTGTAATAAACGTATTTTAAATAGAATGTTAGTTTTATTTCATTTATCGACACGTAGTGAAGATTTACACGAACCCTATCTACCTACTAGAAGAATTATTTATACAAAAGTCGTCAACTTGGCTATGTTTTGATTTGTAGAATGAGATATTTTAGCAAAGTTACAGCGTAGAAGTGTATCACCATAGTCTCCAGGAATGGCAACGCATTAATGGACGTTACAGTAGGTATATTTTGTAGTGACCATGGTACTGCTGCTGTCTATAGGCGATGGTTGCCACTTTCCATCAGGTAGTCTATCAGTTCACTAATCTATATTGCAACCGAATAAGTTCATAAATGTAATCAGTAATGTAATGTAGGTACATCTATAAAAATGTTATAACGTTTACTTCTAACTTACTGTTAAATGATGTTTACAATGTAAGGTTGGCAAACTGCAAACTGTTATTGTAACTTATAACAAATAAATAAATAAATATATTCTAATAATAATTTTTAAAAGCTTCCAATTCTCATGTCTATAGGCGACGGTTACCACTTTCCATCAGGTGAGCCGTCAGCTTGTTTGCCATTCTAAGTTGTATAAAAAAACTGCTTTTTTATGACTACAGAGGAATAAATGTAAAATAGTTCTAACCCAATTCCAAATTTAGTTTATATTCGTCATAAGCATAATAATATTGCTGTAATATCAAATGCTTAGATCAAAGTAAGCTTTAGTTAGAGAATGGCGCATTATACGCACAGAACCAGCGGCATTTGAAGTAAAAAAGAAGAATCTAATCTAATGATACCTCATTATTTCGTCTCTATAATTAGTCAATTGTGTAGTTTAGTCACTATGAGCGGGTAAAGAAACTCGTGTACCTTAGATAAACATTAATAATACAAAAGATAAAAATAAATAAACAATAAAAATAATATACACTTCTTTTTTGAATAATTTTGTTATGGGACACAAAATCTCTACCTGTACTGCCATCTAGTATCGATTAGTTACATCACATCGCTTTTCTGTTTGTATTTACCGCCATCTATTAAGAAGTTGATAAATTAACAGATATCACAGATTAAATATAGTACGTTATCTTCTCATTAGTTTAACATGAATACAATGTTATTATTGTTTATAATATTGAATGAAAACTTTTAAGAAAACTGTAAAGTTAAAAGTAAAAATAATGCTAAATTATCTCTTAAAAAGTTTCGTCTATTTTTTCTTTCCTATAAGTTTTTAACACGATAAAATTATATCTTCAAATCTATATGTAAAATAATTACGTTAAAATAAAATCTAAATTAATTTAGTATTTTATTTTAAAGATTAATTGCTGGATTTTAATGATAATTTGTTTCATAATGCTGTTGATCCAGTGACGCAGACCACTTGAACTTAAATCATTACAATATTAAATTTATTAAAATAATACTATTACACAAAATAAATGGTGTAAATCTTTGAAAATAATTATGTATTTTAAATATTTATTTTTTTGTAATATTTGCGAAATTTTCTTAAAATTTTATTCACTGGTCACACTTCGTGGGAGCTGGTCACATTCTCGCTGTCTCCGTTTCAGCAAGTATGTAAATGTCATTTTTATATTTTATTTTATATAATTTATCGTTGATCAAATATAGAATTCAAGTTTTTAAGTCCATATTCGTGTTTTGTATTAATTACGCGTGGTGTAACGCCGAAATGTGTGTGTTGGAGTGCCCTAACCTCGGCGCGGCTCGCATTCTGTGCATCACGTAACGTCGGGCATGGTGAGGAGCGCGATGGTGCTGAGTACCGAGTGGGCGCAGGTTGAAGTTGTAGAGCTCACTAATGACGGGAACGGACTCGGCTTCAACCTAGTAGGCGGCCGGAGTACTGGCGTCGTCATTAAGTACGTATTGCCTGGAGGAACGGCGGACAAAGACGGGCGGCTGCAGAGTGGCGACCACGTACTCCAGATCGGATCGGTGAACCTGCGAGGATTCACCTCCGAGCAGGTCGCAGCGGTGTTGCGGCAGGCCGGCCCCGCTGTCAGGCTGCTAGTGGCACGCCCTGCGGACCCGGCTGCTGCACTACGCGCCCCGATACCTGGCACAGCCCTCGTACCCACCAAGATTCTCGCCGATCCTGAACTCCTCGACAGACATCTGATCGAAAGTGGATATGGTGCTGTATACGATATATCTCAGTGTTACACCGAGTACATCAATGGGCAAAATGGTGACGCCGAAAACATTGTAGCAGCAGCTGTGAGTGTTGTTGGTGAGAATCCTCAGCAAATACCCGAGTATCCGCTTGTTGCACAGGCAGTGTCCCCGACCATCACGATCACTGTTCCAGTGGAGTTGCCACAATTGCCCGAGGTTGAAATTGTTCATGTGGATTTGAATAAAAATGTTTATGGCCTTGGTATAACAGTTGCGGGTTATGTCTGTGAGAAGGAGGAACTGTCTGGGATATTTGTTAAGAGTATTATAGAAGGTAGCAGTGCTGAACAAAGTGGTAAAATTAGAATAAATGACAGGATAATAGAAGTGGATGGTGTATCGTTGGCTGAGAAGAGCAACCCTCAGGCGGTGGAGATATTAAGAAATACAGGCATATCAGTTCATTTAGTATTAGAGAGATACCTGAGGGGACCTAAATATGAACATCTTCAATTAGCTATATTTAATGAAGAGAAACCCTCATCACCGACATCATCGACCACAACCCTTTCTTGGTTCCCAGTGCCTTCCCAAGTTGAGAACAGTGTTACTGAAATTGAGCCTGAAGCTGAATCCAACACTACAATAGACTCTAGTGTACTAGAAGTAGGAGAAGCTGAAGTGAATGAACCCACTCAAGAGGAGTTGGACAGGAGATTTGATGAAATATTAGCAGTTACAGAAGAAGAAGTGACAAAGAAGTGGGAGTCTGAAATTGGAACGGAGAAGCAGATTATTATTGCTGAAGTGCATAAACTTGAAGGGCTTGGCATTAGTTTAGAGGGTACAGTTGATGTAGAAGGAGGTCAAGAGGTCAGACCGCATCATTACATTAGATCTGTGCTTCCAGATGGTCCTGTTGGACAACAAGGAACACTTATAGCTGGTGATGAGTTGTTAGAAGCCAATGAGTACCGGCTGCATGGACTTACTCATACAGAAGTGGTTAATATTCTGAAGCATCTTCCAAACCGTGTGCGATTAGTTTGTGCTAGGAGCACTGAAAGTGGTCCTCGTCCGCTGATTAACCTAGCACCAGATAGGGAAGGATTTGAAGCTAGAAAGATCATATCGGGTAGCTTGAACAACTTGACAACACTTGTCAAAGCTCAGTCTGACACTTCAATTAATACTTCTAGTACAGCTACATTGACAAACCACTCGGGTCACTCTAGGAAGTCTCGTTCCCTTGAATGTGTGTCAGGGCTAGCCATGTGGCAGAGTAGAGAAGATATTGTACAGCTTGTCAAAGCTGATCAGGGTCTTGGTTTCTCCATATTGGACTACCAGGACCCTATAGATCCTCAAGGCACAGTGATTGTCGTACGGAGCTTAGTACCTGGAGGAGTAGCTGAGAAAAATGGTGAAATCTCCCCAGGAGACAGAGTGATGTCTGTTAATGGAGTCAGTATTAAAAATGCCACATTAGACCAAGCCGTGCAGGCGCTTAAAGGCGCACCAAGAGGGGTAGTGAGGGTGGGGATAGCTAGGCCACTGCCACCGCACGACTCTAAGTCAAAAAGTACCACCACATTGAACACTAAGCCAAGTTAATCTTAACTCATTGTGATTACGAAACTGTACTAGTCAACCTTAAAGTCATATCTCTTTACGCTTACCTGAGCTTATGGTGCAAGCACATGAGGGTTCCAAATACTCTATCACATGCAATGTGTCTCACCCATGACATTTACTTGAATGCAATACAAACATTTTGAAATTTTAAATATATTTCAAAACGTATGTAAACTACATTTTGAAAGGATGTTTGCAGTCTTAAACCAGTAAATGGCTTGCATTTTAGTAAATGTCAAATTAAGCTCACAAATTACATAATATTTCAGGACAGAGCTCAAATTCTATGATACAATAATAATTTACGCTTTACTAGGTAGACTATATGATATACTTGTATATGTAAGATTCACAAGTCGTTTTATAATGCACATGTTTAAAAAAAAATACGTGTCATGTTTTTGGTTACTTCCATCCCTTTTTAAAATACAATCCCTGTACTCTTTAAGACTCTATAGGTCATAAATTGAAAATACGTTTCATGACAAAAGATGCACACTTTTTAATTATTGTAATGATAAACTATTAAATTAATATTCATATTAATTAAAATAGTTATTGAGGTGTCACAAAATTTGTAGATTTTAACCTAAGGGAGCAATTACGAAAGTAACTTTTATGTAAATAATGAGAAAGTCGATTTTCAAACGTCATCGATTTATTGGTGGTACCAACATCAGGATTTGCTTGTGAATTGATTTCTTGCCAAGTTGACTATTGTTATATGTATAATATGCAAATTATATTGACTGTTTATTCTTTTATGAATTTTTTTACGCTGTTGATCTAAGGATAGGAGGAGATTTTCCAAATTGTAGTTATAATAATTATAAAACATGTTTTATTTTGAAACGATGGATTCTCTTGTTTCGTAAACATTATAAGGGCTTGTTTTGTAATGAATAAGTACCGGTTAAAATTCAAACTTAACTCTTGGTTAACATGTGTTTTACAATAATCCAATAAAACTATAAGCTATTTGAAATGTCAAAAATAAAGAAATGATATATTCAAAATTGTTCATTAAAGAATTGAACATTGATCATATGTTATGAAACGAGCCCTAAATCTATCCTAGGTCAAGAGAATTGTTTATTTTTAAATTCTATATGTTAAGGAAGTGCACTAGTGTTTAGTGAGCACATGTGATATGGGTGTTATTGTATAGCGTATTTATAATGGCTGTTCGTATCGTCTTGAATCTCTTTGAAACTCTCTTTTTTTTTATTATTTTACTTTTGTAACTGAGTAATAATGATCTAAGTTCATATCAAGTTGCTTCCACACAGAAATTGTACAATTTATTATAAATCAACTAGATGTATTAAGATGATGAAATAACCTATGTGGTCAGTGATGATTTCTCTATCAATTCAATTCAAATCAATTTATTTAGTGCATTCTACAATATTATTATGAAAGATGTTAGTACCTGATATAGTACATTGTAGACCGTGTCGGGCGCAGCAATTAGAAGCGAGCAGGGCGTCGATTTCTTAAATTTTCATAAAGATTTTAATAATTTTATTTCAAATTTTATTCAAATCCATTCAGGTGTTTGAAGCATGAGATGTAAGAGTGAAAATAAAATATTTTATTAATCATCGACATATCAGCCTTTAACTGTCCACTGCTGAACATAAGCCTCCCCATATGGGGGTGTAGCCAGTAGTTGCCACGCTTGGCCAGGCGGATTGGCAACCGCAGTTTTAGAATTGTTTTTAGAGGGACCCTGCTGCCCATCGCTAGCCCTCCTTTAGATAGATAGATAGATAATTTATTTGCATTACTTACAGCACACAAATTACAACATACATATACAAAAAAAAAGTGAGGTAACATAAATGATAAAAAAATACATAAAGCTAAATACAATTTTTCTTTTGTGCGTGTGCCATAGCAATACAAAATGGCCACAACTCAGTTTATTGCTTCGCCCTCGAAAGAGCAAAGCACTGATATTCTGTTGCGGCCAATGGGAATAGGGTAAGGTTTAGTCGATTCTTACGACACCCGCGGGAAAGAAAGGAGTGGCCTAATCTATGCCGGGAGCGCACACTATTATTTTATTATTCTATTAATAAAGTGACAGTTTATATGTTTATTATTTAATCATGTTTAAACGACTAAATGGATTTCAGTGATATTTAGTATACAGATAGACCACATAGTAAATTGACACATAGAATTACTTTTACCTTAATCCATATCTGCGGGATACTGTTGGTTTTGTCCAAATATAGTCTGTACCAATTGGGGGCAAATGTGAATAGGCTACTCGTGGGCCCGGGAGCCCCATCTTAGACCACATCATTGCTTACCATCAGGAGAGATCGTGATCAAAAATACTTCTATAATATGGTTTTTGTCACTGTTGTGGAAGCAAGATGAATTGAACTAGGTTTTATTTAAACAGTTGTGTTAGCAATTTGCAATGAATTCCACAATGTTTATTCCTATATTTATAGGCATTTTATTGTATTAATTGCAGTTTTAATCCGTTCTCGCTGATGTTTCTTTGGAAAATTTTTTTTTTTTTATATACTACTTAGAAAAGCAAACAAGCTGACGGCCCACCTGATGGAAAGTGGTAACCGTCGCCTATAGACATAAGCAGTACCATGGACATAACAGAGTATACTGTTTCGCCCATGATACCCCCCCATGCGTTGCCATTCATGAGGACTCGGGTGTTATTCCTCTGTACCCTGTAAATTCACGGCATATCCCACCCTTCAAACCGAAACACAGCCATGCAAACACAACTGCTTCACGGTTGGAACACGAATCATGTCTATAGGCGACGGTTACCACTTTCCATCAGGTGGGCCGTCAGCTTGTTTGCCATTCTAAGTTGCATAAGAAAAAAGTACACAGATAAGATTGTAAACATTTTAAGATTTTTACCTATCATTCGGAAATCTTTAAGTATTGATTGAACAAACCTTTGATGATATCTAAAAATTGCATTACTTAGGTGTTATATACTATATATCAGTCATTATTGTCCACTGCTGGACATAGACCTCCCCCTATTAAGGGATATTGCCAATAGTTGCCACGCTTAGCAAGCGGGTTAGCAACCGCAGTTATGCCTTGGTGATATTTTAAGACGCTGCTGCCCATCCCTCAACCATTAAGTTACCTTAGACGCACTTACGAAACCCACGGAAAAGATACGAGTAGCCTATTTCTATTCTATGCTGGGACCACACGCCAACTTAGATGTTACATTTTCTTTAAAATAAAACTGCAATGAATGCAATAAAATCAATATTGATCACAATTCTGACCGTTTGTTTATATAACACATTGCCATATCATCCCACCATCCAAACGAACACATACGTAAAGTGGTAACAAAATTTACAAGTATTTTATCTGCATTTATTTACTTCCGTTGAATAGTGATCTCTAGAATTAATATTTACATAAGTACCTACACAAAGTTTAATTGTATGGATTTATATAAATGAAGAGACTGTATGAGAATTATTCATTAACGTTGCCTTCTTATGTGCATTTAATACGATCCTTTATCTACGACTTTGATCACGTGATCGAGATACGCTCACTGAACGGAGTAAAATGGCGCCTATATCCTTCTCTATGCCGTATAGTACGTGTATACCAAATTTTAAAGTGATTTATTTAGTCGTAAAGCCACTAAGAGGTAATAAACTCACATTCACATTTATGAGTAAAAATATCTTGTAGATATACTCATATTGTTATAAAAAAATATGTACTCTATTCTATGCCATTGATCCATTCTTTGACCGAGTTCAAGTAAAAGAGGTTCTCAATTTATTTTTTTTTTTTTATAAATAACGCCATATGTTAGCCAATTGTTTGATTTATGGCACAAAAAGATTACATTAATATATATAATATTGATCAAAGATGTACAACAGGCGAGCTTAACTGTGTAAAAGTTCTCCTCCAACAAACCCTGATTGGAAAGGAGCATTAATTATTAAAACGGATATCCAATTTTTATGATTTTTTTTTCTTTGTTCAATCCCATCTTGGTCCTATATTGAATTTTGTTAGTGTTAAATTAATTATTTTTATACTTTTCAAATTTTACTCTCCTTTTTTATACAGTTCGTTACCATATTTTTATTGAAAATTACCAAAAACTTTTATTACTTATACTAAATATAGTGTCCTAATATCTTCTGTTATATAAATTCATACAAATAATTTTAATAACGATTCTGTCAATTTTAAACTAGTGTATTTAAATTAAGAGCTGTTATTAACAAACATTAGATAACAAATGCTTCGCGCAAAGCAATTCTAACCCTTATTTTGTAATGCCTACCTTACGTTAATTTGTCAATTTTGGAATTTGCGTAATTAATGCCCTAGACAAAGAGCAAACGAATCTACCGATATAATCATTTCGTTCAGCACTCGCATGTCTAGGGGGTCAGCCCCCTAGAGATGTAGCAAGCGAATTTACAGATAGAATCGTTTCAGTTACCGTTCTCATGTCTAGGGGGCCAGCCCCTTTGAAGAAGTGATAAATGAATCTACCGATAGAATTGTTTCGGTCAGCGCTTGCATGTCTAGGGGGTCAGCCCCCTTAGACAAGTGGCAAACGAATCTATCGGTAGAATTGTTATCGCTATCGTGTCCGTAAAATAGTATGACATAATTTTTTCTCATGTCATTAGAGCGTTAGATTCGTTTGCCATTTGTCTGGAAGGGGAAGAGGAGGGAGCGAGGTATTATTATCTTTAGAACAATCAATCTTCGAACGCGGAGATCGGTATCTTTGTACAAGATTTTGTTTATTTGTTGTTATTGATATTGTTTTTTAACTGTGCTTGCATGACTGTTTCGATTTGAAATTACAAAGTACGAAGACAACACCGTGGTCCTCAGGAATGACAACGTACGAGACTATGGGCATCACAGTGTATTCTGTGGTGCCAGTGGTGCTGTCATATCTATAGGCGACCATCACCAATTTATACCAGGTGGCCTGTCTGCTTGCCATTCTGAGTACCATAAGGCTGTTCAGATCCGATATGCCGCGCTGAACTTCGTGTACTCCATACACGAGAAAGTTTTTTTTTTTTTATTCTCTACGCCATTATTTCTTACGGTATTCGTACCTCAGCTGTCCCAGCCGGCACTTAGTGTACCTTATTGCCTTTTACCATAATACCATTGGGTACAAAACGTTTTAGATATTATTAAGTAGGAGTGGGTAATATATCGCAATATCTATATATATTTTAGTTATGATATCTGTATACTGGTACATTAACGAATATATTAAAAGTCAGTTATCCAAAAAAAGTAATATTGGTTAACAGACTTTTAACATATTCGAAAATAGATATCCGACCGATATGGGCGATATCGTAATGGGTTATGATCATTTTTTCCGCCATCGACGTCTACAGGAATCCAATATATCTATATCGGATCGGTATCTGTATTGCCCATACCTATTATTAAGTAATGTGGAAAGTTTAAGTAAACACGCTTGGTACTTGGTAGACGAACTAGAAATAATAACACGTAAATGAATAAAAAAAAATATCTAGTATTTATTGTCACAAACAAGAATTATTTTACTTGTATTTTTATTACTCAATATGTTGACGTACATTTTTATATTGCATTACATTTTACGCAGAAATTGGGAGTTGTGCAGAAAATGGCTACGTACATTACCTTAATTAAAATATAAATAAAAATAAAAGATGGCCGTTTTATACGTAACTCCTCAATATTTATAGAACAAAGGAAAGAATGCGTTCCTTCAGTGTAAAAAACGTGTCAGGTTGTATATTTTAAATGATGAGAATTGATATTTTTGTATTTATAACCCCGCTACATTGAAATCTAGACCAATGTTTCTAAAAGTTGTGATAGTTACGGACTCCTTTCAAAATGTCGGTCCCCTTCTCAGTCTACTGAGTTGTCAACAAAAAAAAAATACAATCTAATGTTTTTATATTTATATGTAGATTCTTTATTTGCTTTAAACATGGTTACATTAGATGTTCAGTTGTGTATACTTCGAGATACATGTTTCAGCGAAATACTGGCATGCAAAATTTATAAAAACACTATAACCTAGTCATTTTGTGCATAATATAGGTATGTAAAAAATAAATAATTTATTTGGCATATTGATCATTGAGCCTCTTTTTGACGAAACTACTTAAAAATATAAAAATAAAAGAAAAAATACGTATGTAATCAATTAACTAACATAAAAGTCGTTTTGTTTTTAAATTTGCATACAGTTATTTTGATACATTAAAACAATAGTCTATCTACTTTTTACTAAATAAATATCTCAAGTATAAAAAAGGCTTATTTGTTCATTTATAAAAGTCTACAATCATTATTTATTTGCTATATTCTCAAATTAATGACACTGATATTTTTGTTATTAACTGCGTTTCTGTACTTGCAAACATCTGAGGGCCTACCATGAAATGTTTTCCGAAATTTCGGAGCCAAACGAAACACAAATTTGATGTTAAAATTACATAATACATGCCGTTTGGAAATATTAAAAATGTTAAAATATTATTATTTTTGACTTTTATGATAGGATGTATGACAAAAGAAATGTTAAACTCCATTTATTGGTCCGATTTTGGTATAAACAAAAACACGAAATGGAGTCCGAAATTTCGGAATTTTGTTTCATGGTGGACCCGCTGACCCCTGCCCCTGAGACGTGACCCCCACGAGACGCTCAGAGCCCACTTTGAGAAACTCTGGTCTAGACAAATTTGTCTTTATACAATGTTCACCAATTCTTCCGTTCAGGCAGACTGAAATAGTATTAATGTTTTACATAATATTGTTATGATGTTAACCAGAAATATGTGATAAGTATTTGAGCAATTGATTCGCAGCGGAGTGTATTTAAATCTCATGTTCCTATTTATTATAATAAAATAGATTTTCGCGTGAAACGTAACGTGAAATTTCGGATGCATTCACGAAACGATTTTTTTTTTGTATTTTTATTTATAGATACATAGATACTCTTTATTGTTTCCTCCAAAAGATTACAATAGTAAACTTATTATAAATATAAATAATTACAAGAAATAATTTATAAAACTGTATAATTGTAGAGCGTGTACATCGCGTTCGTAAATGTAACGCGTCTTTCTTTTTTTTTTTTAGTTGATAATTGTAGTTTCGTGAATGTAAGTCTTCGACTCAAATTTTATTCTATACAATATGTTAATTAATGAAATCTAATCCTTAAAACCTAGTGTTAGTATTTATTAATAGGTTCTCAGAAAGATCCGGGGCCATATTGCCATATGTGTACATACCTATTATTATGTATGTGTTGGTACACATATAAGTTGTTCTTTTTTTAAAAATGTTTAATTTTTAATAATATAAGTTTTTTTTTTTTGTAATGAAGTAAATTTCTGACACCTAATCAAATTACTCTTCTCCATCCAAAGATTTCGTGGAAGAGATCGCTCTTAGCGATAAGGCCACCCATTGTTTTCTCATTGTGATTATTTCTTGTAATTATTTATATTTATAATAAGTTTACTATTGTCATCTTATGGAGGAAACAATAAAGAGTATCTATCTATCTAATGAATTCTAACAATAGTTTTGAAAAATGGATTTCGAAGATTAAAATACTATATATATTTATATATAGATTATAATTTGTTATGTATGTATATAACCAGCTATTACATATTTCTGGTAATACTCGTATTTCAATTGTTTATCGCATAATAATTGTGTTTAGTTGGTTGCACTGTAACATACGTATTTAACGACACCACAAACTAGCCTTATAATAAGAGAAATAAATTAATAAGAAATTTAATACATTGTTTTAATTCCCCTAGAGATTGCGCCAACTTTATTACGCCCTTCCCGAAAACCCTCATTCTTTGAAAAGAGCGTAATAGGATTTCTTAACCCTCTTTTGCATGATTTTTTTTATTGGTGAAAAATGAGCTCCGAGGCGGAAACTCGAGCTCCGAGTCGAAGCTACTGAGTCTTCAAAGCTCGAGCTCTGAGGGCTCGCAAGTCTTAAAGGCTCGAGTCTTAAAGGCTCAAAAGTCTTAAATAAAGGGTTCGAGTCGAAGCTCGAGCTTTATTTATATACCTGGTAATATTAAAATGAAATATTTTTATTTAATTGTGGTAAGTACGTATAAAATGAAATAAAAGGATAGAAAGTAAGAAAATTTTATTATATAATGAATGATAATTCGATTTTTAACCATGCATCTACCAATGCTTCTACCTTCTCCCAAGAAAGAATTCTGGCTTTCTTCGGAAAGAATGCTGGCCATATAGAATAAACTTTATCTAAAGGTCATTTATGTTCACTTGTTGATTTTTATGTTAAAACATCGAAAAGGCATCATCTGGGTCCTTATTAAAATAAGGACCCAGATGATGCCTTTTCGTTTTGTTCACTCTGTATAAAATCAACATCGCCATGACGTGATTAATGCCTTTGCAAAATGGAGTGCGATGTTTTAATAGAAAATATATGACGGCATACCTTGCACAACAATTTGTATTTCTATTTGTGTTTCTTAAAATGACACCATTTCCAACAAATACGCGGCTTTTTCGACACCATAGAAGATGCTGAAGCATCATTTTCTGTATGCGAAGTGTCAGTAGTATCAAACTCAATGTCTTCCGATATTACATTATCTTCCTCGATCATTTTGTAAATCTAACAAAGTTTAACCAGTAAAAACTACAATAAAATGTATTTTTATTTAAACCAGGCAAACTGCACTACATGAATGACGTATACAAGTAAATATTACAATAATATTAATAGTAATGTGGGTAGTTCTAAAAACCAGCGATAACACTGAGTCGATGATTCAATTAGTCGAAAACTCGGGAAACTCGAGCCTTTTAACAACTCTAGTCATACATATGAGGTCATATCTATGAAGTCATATCCATGGAGTCATATCTATGTAGTCATATCTATGTAGTCATACATATGAGGTGATATCTATGAAGTCATACATATGAGGTCATATCTTTGGAGACATATCTATGTAGTCATATCTATGAAGTCATATCTATGAAGTCATATATGGTATATGTAGTCATATCTATGGAGTCATATCTATGTAGTCATATATATGTAGTCATGTCTATGGAGTCATATCTATGGAGTCATATGTATGTAGTCATATCTGTGGAGTCATATCTATGAAGTCATATATATGTAGTCATATCTATGAAGTCATATATATGTAGTCATACATATGAGATCATATCTATGAAGTCATATATATGTAGTCATATATGTGTAGTCATATCTATGAAGTCATAGATATGACTACATGACATGACTTCATAGATATGACTACATATATATGACTTCATAGATATGACTACATGACATGACTTCATAGATATGACTACATATATATGACTTCATAGATATGACTACATATATATGACTTCATAGATATGACTTCATAGATATGACTACATATATGACTTCATAGATATGATCTCATATGTATGATTTCATAGATATGATCTCATATGTGTGACTTCATAGATATGATCTCATATGTGTGACTTCATAGATATGACTACATATATATGACTCCATAGATATGACTACATATATATTCATATCTATGGAGTCATAACTATGAAATCATATCAATGAAGTCACACATATGAGATCATATCTAGTGAGTCATATATATGAAGTCCTACATATGAAGTCATATATATGAAGTCATACATATGAGGTCATATCTATGAAGTCATATCTATGAAGTCATATCTATGAAATCATATATGTAGTCATATCTATGAAGACATATCTATGAACTTATATCTATGAAGTCACACATGAGGTCATATCTATGAAGTCGTATCTATGAAGTCATATCTATGGAGTCATATATATGTAGTCATATCTATGAAGTCATATATATGTAGTTATATCCATGCAGTCATATATATGTAGTCATATCTATGGAGTCATATATGTAGTCATATCTATGAACTCATACATATGAAGTCATACATATGTAGTCATATCTATGAAGTCATATCTATGAAGTCATATATATGTAGTCATATCTATGAACTCATACATATGAAGTCGTACATATGAGATCATATCTATGAAGTCATATCTATGAAGTTCTACATATGAGGTCATATCTATGAAGTCGTATAAATGTAGTTATATCTATGGAGTCATATCTGTGGAGTCATATCTATAAAATCATACATATGATTATAGTCATATATATGTAGTCATATCTATGATATGACCTCATATGTAGGACTTCATAGATATGGGTTCATAGATATGAGTTCATAGATATGACTTCATACATATGACTCCATAGATATGACTCTATAGATATGACTTATCTATGAAGTACATATGATGATACATATGAAGTCATACATATGAGGTCATACATATGAGGTCAAACATATGAGGTCATACATATGAGGTCATATCTATATAGTCATATCTAAGGAGTCGTAACTATGTAGTCATATCTATGTAGTACAAATACGCGGCTTTTTCGACACCATAGACGATGCTGAAGCATCATTTTCTGTAAGCGAAGTATCAGTAGTATCAAACTCAATGTCTTCCGATGTTACATTATCGTCCTCGATCATTTTGTAAATCTAACAAACTTTAACCAGTAAAAACTACAATAAAATGTATTTTTATTTAAACCAGGCAAACTGCACTACATATACACAGATATGCAAATATACATATACATACAGACACACATGCATATATACTAATGTGTACTCATAGCATTAACATTCGACGATATTTCATGCCAGAACACCGCCTGAAATTATATAAAGCCAAAGCAGGCCGCATATGAAATACTGTTCTCACCTGTGGGCAGGAGCGCCACAGTACCAACTCCTTCCGTTAGACAGCATTCAAAGTCGGGCGGCTCCAATTATCGATAGTCAACGCCTTACTGTCCGACTTGACCCACTGAAACTGCGCAGAGATGTTGCATCTCTGTGCATCTTCTACCGAATTTATCATGGGGAGTGTTCTGAGGAATTGTTCGGATTGATACCTGCTGCTGATTTTCACCACCGTACAACCCGCCACAAACTAAAGTTTCATCCCAATCATCTGGATGAGTGGCGGTCTTCCACCGTGCGTTTTTCAAGGCACTTTCATCCACGCACAACCATTCTTTGGAATCAACTTCCAGCAGCAGTATTTCCGAACCGATACGACAACATAACCTTCAAGAAAAGAGTATATTCCTTTTTAAAAGGCCGGCAGCACACCTGCAATGCCGCTGGTGTTGTGGGTGATCATGGGCGGCGGTAGTCACTTACCATCAGGTGAGCCGCATGCTCGTTTGCCCCCTGTGTTGTAAAAAAAAAAAATCACTTTTTCCACAACATTCACCATACAAATTAAATCTAATACTGATCTAAAAAAAAATTTTTTACTTTTGTGTGAACTTGATCTTTTATATAATTTTTGGGCATTCAATCTTATGATGGAAATGTCCACCATTATGCAAAGAAGGGTTGAAGGTTGGCAACGTGCTCTTGACATCCCTGGTGTTCTTCAATGGATGATAATGAAATGGTATCCCCGCCTGCGCTTTCGATATACGCTAGTGTCCCACCAGTGAGTGGTGATAGGTGACGATGAAAGCAGGTCAGTTGGCCCATCGTGACGAATTCCATTAGAATTAACCAGGATAGTTTCCAGGGGAAACCGTGTGAAGGTCGACCTGATAGGAGGTATTACTAGTAATGGGGAAATCAGACCCCATTACTAACAATCCCTTCCCCCCCCCCATAACTGGTGTTACCGGCGCTCATAGGCTACAATATTGGGTATTAGGCTAAATATATATACTCTATGGACTGCAGATCGGATTGGACATACGCCCAAAAACATTCCCCTTCAGCAGCTACCGAATAAATAGTGAGTTTAAATTAATTGCCATTATTTATTTATTTATTTCTTATTGCATTCCATAAAGTGGTTACTTATTACTTGCAATGTATCCTGTCAGATCGACCTCCACACGGTCCCCCTGAGAACCGTTATGTTCAATTTACAGAGAATTCGCCACATTCGGCTAACTGGCCTGACTTCATCCTCAGGTGCCTCGCCATCGTATACCGTAAGCATAAGCGGGAGCACCATTCCATTTTTGTCTATTAAGAAAAAGTACACTTCTCTGAGGTACAGAAGACCCAGAGTCGGACTGGGCCGGAAGGGCAAGCCCGGGTCTAGAGACAAGGGATTGTCAGTAATGGGGATTAGCCCCATTACTAGCAATAAACCCTGTCAGGTCGAACTAATCACAGTGAAGTGGCTGGAATAATATGGGACAGAGTGGCTCAGGATAGACAATAGTGGAAACGGTTGGAGGGGGCCTTTGCCAAATGGCAAACAGATCTGCAAAAAATAAGCATGAAGCAATTATTAGAATAAATTGTTTTGTTTTAAGTTTTTTAAATTTTATGTTTGTTTTAATAGCAGTACTAAGTTGATCTGAATAAAGGCTATATTATTATTATTACTATATATTACCCACCCCTACTACATTAGCGTTTACAACACAATAATTTGTATTGAAAATTTAGCATCGCCTCTAGAGGATGGTTTCAGAAATCGAAACTTTCATACAATTTTTTAATACACATGATCAGTTTTAATCTTCGTACAGGTCACACTATCTGACTAGAACCTCAAACTGCAAGTGTATAGGTATATCTATAAAAGTATCCGAAGATCTGTCAATGTGTTGTTTGTGCAGGCATGTGGGTGCCGAACTTGCCCGTAACGATAATAAGCGCAGTGGCCGCCAGCGCAGGCGCACTCTGCATCTTTAAGTAAGTACTTTTTATTTATTTTTATTTTATTTTATTTATAATTTATTGTGTACATTGATTGTACATAAAAATATGACAGAGGTAAGTAAATGTAAAAAAAGGCGAGCTTAACATACATACATACATAGACACACATATATACATACACATCTAAATATTCCTACACATACAAATAAATAAATATAAGTTTGTAAAGTCTTTTTAGGTATTATATTATTAAATAGTTGTTTCAAAACGGACGTATGGTTTCGGCATAGAATAGGCCACCCCTTCCTTTACTATATATAATATACTCTATCAGATCGACCTCCATACGGCTCCCCCTGGAAACCATCGTGATTATTTCTTGGGGAATTCATCGCAGTGGGTTAACTGACCTACTTTCATTCTCACCTATCATCTATCACTGGTGCCCCGCCAGCGTATACCGATAGCAGAGGTAGTTACCATTCTTTTGTCATCCATACCCCGAAATCATCTGGTGGCCATTCTAAAACCAGAAGCAGAGCTTCCAGATAGCGGGCAAGATATGTCTGACAGTACATATGCGCCTTTAATGCCTTCCCCCCCGCCCACATACACCCTGGAAAACACAACGCCAATGATGACACATCTAAAGTTCGTTTCTTCTTCAGAGACATGTACGGGGGCCCGCCGTACGACCGCGCCGTCCGTGCGGACAACCTGACGGTAGTGGTGACCGGCGCGAACAGCGGCATAGGTCGAGAGGCCGCCTGGGAGTTCGCGTGGAGGGGCGCTAAGGTACCAAACACGACCCACACAAGTAAATCAAGGTCTTGATTTATTCATCAGACTCTTTTTTACAACTACACAAATTTTTTAGAATAAACTCACAATTACAACCAGAGGGAGACTTTGTACAAAAGTCGATTGATACACCTGAGTCCTCAGGAATGGCAACGCATGGGGGTATCATGGGCGAAACAGTATACTCTGTTATGTCCATGATACTGCTCATGTCTACAGGCGAAGGTTACCACTTTCCATCAGGAGGTCCGTCAGCTTGTTTGCCATTCTAAGTTGTATAAAAAAATAGGTATATACAATATAGATTGGGCCACGTCTTCCTTTCCCGTGGGTGTCGTGAGAGGCTACTAAGAGAACTTAATTAGTGTTTTATGTGTATATGGTAATGCAATATATTCGCTAATTCTGAATCGATTTTGATATTTTTTTTTTCTCTATTTATTGTCCATGGATGCAATACTACCGGCCTTAGTGGGGAGGCACAATCTGGTACGCTCGGAAGCGCCGAGGTCTGACAAGGATGCCATAGTACCACCTAAATATTTAATTTGATATTATATTAACGTTGGTACTTTGGAATTAACAACGGATACTTTGAGTCGAAGCCATCGAAGATATGTCCAGGGTCACCAGTTTAATTGTTTATAATTACTCCTCTCCATCCAAAGGTTGCGTGGAAGAGATCGCTTTTAGCGATAAGGTCGCCCATTGTTTTCTCACTGTGATCATTTCTTGTAATTGTTTGTATCCATAATAAGTTTACTACTGTAATCTTTTGGAGAAACTAATACAGAGTACCTATCTATCAATAAACTAAAGCCGGCCTTGGTGATACGCGCGACCTCTTGCGTATTTATTTTTAGTATTTATGGTACGGCGCAGGTGTTCATGGCGTGCCGCGACATGACCCGGTGCGAGAGCGTACGCCGCGACATGGTGCTGGAGACAGGGAACAAGTACGTGTACTGCCGCCCCTGCGACCTCGCCTCCACCGCCTCCATAAGGCAGTTCGTACAAAGGTACGCACCATTTACTTTTATTATCAATAAAAATGTGACGAAATTGTAAACAGACGAGATACTGTCATCTTTTATGACTAAAACTACCGTTAGGAATTTATGCAGAAAGAAAAAAAGAAATCGGTGTAGCCATGGCGAGCCAATACCCATATATACAAGGGTATACAAGAAATCTTCCGAGTCAGACGCATGGGGCCCTGGGTACACTCCAGAACTTGATTGCGACCTCCTTTACTACAGCAGTATCGAATGAACTAGCTCACTCACCTTATGTACCGACATGCCTTCACGTAGACCGGCTGGCTAAACAGCAGCAGTTCCAAGATGGAGAGTGCGTAGCAATGTGAACTGTCTCGAACCTCAAGACACTAGAATCCACACACTTCACCAGTGAATGGTACAAGTATCCATACAGTTTTTGTCACAGCACAAAACAGAAACGTTCAGGGTGCAACTTGAATGTGGGTACCAAATTTATTCAAAGAATCACGCGACTCGTACAGTAGCATACAAAGCAAGAACAAAACAAACAGAAAAAAAAAACAATACAAAATGAAAAGCGTCAACAGTTTTCTGTAGCATTCTTCTAAACCGTTTTAAACATCGTACACGAAATTATGATCCTAAATTTGAAATAGCTACATAAATATTTTTTTTATACAACTTAGAATGGCAAACAAGCTGACGGCCCACCTGATGGAAAGTGGTAACCGTCGCCTATAGACATGAGCAGCCCCCATGCGTTGCCATTCCTGAGAACTCAGGTGTTATTCCTCTGTACCCTGTAAATTCACGCCATATCCCACCCTTCAAACCGAAACACAGCCATGCAAACACAACTGCTTCACGGTTGAAACACGAATGGAACAGAGGTACCCAAGCAATCGACTTTTGTACAAAGTCTCCCTCTGGTCTTCTTTTCATTTAAGAGTTTCCTCTTGTCGGTGCAACTAATTCATGCATCTTCTTCCAGCCAGCTTTATCCCAGGCCATATCCTTGACCTCCCTATACGACATGACACCTAGCGTCACCTTTATCTGTCGCATGTAGTTATTCCTCGGTCTTCTTCTCCCTCTTTTGCCCTCTATTTTTCCTTCTACTATGCTCTTAAAAAAAATCGTCATGTCGAAGGTGGCCCAACATTTTGCCTCTTCTATTCTCTATTAATATCAGTAGAGAATAGAATAGGCCTATATACCTAAGTCATTTTGTTCCCGGTCACAGGTTCAAATCCGAAGAGCCACACCTCCACGTGCTTGTAAATAATGCGGCCGTCATGGAGACCCCGAAGGGCGTCACGAAGGACGGCTTCGAGACACAGTTGGGGGTCAACCACATGGGACATTTTCTGCTGACAAACCTACTGTTGGACACCATCAAGGTAATTTGACTTGCGTTCCCGTATATGACGGCTCACAACGTCATATATGGCAGAGGCAACCAGTCAGTGGTGATAGGTGAGGATGGAGCAAGTCAGTTAGCTCATAGTGACGAATTCAACCGACCTTGCCCTCCCCCCCCCCCCCCGATTCGTCTTATAGATCAAGAAATTCCATGGCCTAGCGATACTAAGACCCTGAAATTTTTCGATTGATCGATGGTGACGATGGATACAAAAGAGAGTACAGCAGCGGATGTTGACAGGCGTCGGCGCCGAGCCGCGTGGTGGTGGTGACGTGCGACACCCACCGCCGCGGAGCCATACAGACGGCCGACCTGAACCTCGATAACAAGTACGAGCCCGCCGCTGCGTACGCGCAGAGCAAGCTCGCCAACTTGCTGTTCGCCAGGGAGCTCGGCCGGAGGATGCTCGGTAATGTTTGGTCTTTTCTTTTTAATAAAACATAAAATATTTTTTGGCAAAAATTACAATAATATTATATATAAGAAATATCTAATTTTTTTTAATGGATGATAATGGAATGGCAACCCCACCCGCGGTATCGGTATACACTGGCGGGGCACCAGTGAAGGATGATAGGCGAGGATGAAGCACCAGAGGGAGACTGTACAAAAGTCGATTGCTTGGGTACCTCTGTCCCATTTGTGTTTCTACCGTGAAGCAGCTGTATTTGCATGGCAGTGTTTCGGTTTGAAGGGTGGGATATGACGTGAATTTACAAAGTACAGAGTAATAACACCTGAATCCTCAGGAATGGCAACGCATGGGGGGTATGATGGGTAAAACAGTATACTCTGTTATGTCCATGGTACTGCTCATGTCTATAAGCTACGGTTACCACTTTCCATCAGGTGGACCAAAAAAAGCAGGTCAGTTAACTCATCGTGACGAATTCAACAAGAATTGTTCACGATTGTTTTCAGGGGGAACCACGTGGAGGTCGACCTGATATTACTAGCAATGGAGCTGTCAAACTCCATTGCTAACAATCCCCCCCCCCAAATCTCATATTAGGTAAAAGGAAATGACTCGGCTAATGCTGTAAGTGTTCCAGTGCAATGTGTACAGCTGCACAGCGCTGGTTTTCAGCCAGTCCCTCTCTTAACAAAATACAAACGGGTACATGTTGTTGCATGTTACAAGAATGTGCTTTTTATATTTTATATTTATATATTTATAATACGATATTTATAGAACCAGAAAGTGATTTTATATAAAAATCTATATGGAATGGAGAAGAATATAGCCTATATTCTTCACCATTCCGTATAGTATATGTATAACAAATTTCATATTGATTGGTTAAATTGTTAAGACGCTATAAGGCAGGGGTTCCCAAACTTATTTTGTCTACTGCCCACTTTGAGAATGAATTATTTTTAGCGCCCCCATTTTTTCACCTACTTAAAAATCACTATTACTTCGAGATCACCAAATCACCCCCCAAGCCTCTACACGACACCCCCATTTTTTTTCTCTTACCTCTTGGGTCTCTTACCGCCCCCCTTTAGGCCTACAGCGCCCAAAAAGGGGCGTTATCGCTTACTTTGGAAAAGGCTGCTATAAGGTAACAAACAAACTCACATTTATAATATTAGTACATATTTCATGTTGCTATAAAACCAACACCAGCTTTCCATGAATCCAGGGACCGGCGTGTCAGTGGCGGCCGTAGACCCGGGCTTCACCGACACGAACATCACTAGGCACCTGGCGATGATGAAGAGCATCACCAGGTTCCTGGTGTACCCGATATTCTGGCCGGTGATGAAGACTGCCAAGATAGGATCCCAAGTGATAGTGCACGCCGCTCTGGACCCCAGCGTTGCGGATAGCGCTGGGGACTATTATGTGTATGTATTTATTTATTTACTTATCTTTTTTTTTTGTTTTCATTCTTTTTTTATACAACTTATAATGGCAAACAAACTGACGGCCCACCTGATGGAAAGTGGTAACCGTCGCCTATAGACATGAGCAGTACCATGGACATAACAGAGTATACTGTTTCGCCCATGATACCCCCCATGCGTTGCCATTCCTGAGGACTCAGGTGTTATTCCTCTGTACCCTGTAAATTCACGCCATATCCCACCCTTCAAACCGAAACACAGCCATGCAAACACAACTGCTTCACGGTTGAAACACGAATGGGGCAGAGGTACCCAAGCAAACGACTTTTGTACAGTCTCCCTCTGGTAAATAATCAAGTATCAATTCGGGTATCTAACTACCCAAAACATCAGTTTTTAACAATTTATTTAAAATCTTTAAAACAAGCTTCAGATAAAATAATTGTACCCGTTTTATTTCTTTTTTATAAATTTCAAAATTAAAAATTGACCAAAATAATGTTAATTTCGATTTGTTTTTTAAAATTCCAATTTTGAAAATCTAAAAACAAACTAGTTAGATCTGAGTCGAACTCACACGCCAAGTGAGTTCACTCGATGATGCTCGATGCTCTATCTGAGACCAAATAATTAAACACAACTTGCAGGGACATGAAGAAAGCGGAGCCGTCCAAGGAGGCGAAGGACTTCGAGACGGCGTTTTGGCTGTGGCGGGTCAGCAGCAAGTGGACGCGACTCGAGGAACACGGGCCCGCCGTCAGAGCTGCCGCCTAGATTACTTGCTAGTTATTATCGCTTAGTTTTACCGTAGTTTTATTGACACCAATGAACGAAATTGCCTCATAATTTAATATTTTACTGAACTAGTTGTTAAATCTGGCTGAAATCCATATCACTGGTTATTCGTTTAAAAATATTTTGTTTAATTCCACCACCATTAGTATGTGTGCGACTGCCAACACTCGAAGATTGACAACCACTATTACAAGCAGAAGTTCCACAACCTTCCATATTAGCCGTCAATCTCCGACTGCCATTTTGTTCACGCACGTTTTGCATTACGTGTTTTACCCATAAACGAGACATCATCAGGCAAATTTTAAAATTAACTGTTTTAATTTTAAAATTAACGGTTTTTCCAAGAGACTACAGCATGGGGTTCTTCAAAAGGGGGGTAAAGAGGTTTCTTCAGGGTCGGCAACGCACGCGACTCTAGTATTACTCGCCTGACGGTAACCACTTACCATCAGGCGGACCGTATGCTTGTTTGCCACCTCAGTGGTATAAAAAAAAAACGGTATGAAAAGTTGTGAAACTTCTGGTAGTAACAGTGGTGGTCAATCTTCTAGGGTTGGCAGTCGCACACATACTAATGGTAGCGGAATTAAACAAAATAATTTTAAATGAATAACCATTTGATTGAAAGAACCATTGAAATAGTCTCAATTTATGGCGTATGGATGAGTGTATGTTTATAACTTTAGTGTAAATATTTTGCATTTATTGTTGTTTTGTTTGTTCATTAGAAGTTAATAAAAAAAAATATAGTAATTTTTGTGTATTATTTTTAATGTTATACATTAAACTAGATTATCAAATAAAAGATTTTATGGAATAAAAATAGAAATTAATCTTTATTTTTTTTTATACAACTTAGAATGGCAAACAAGCTGACGGTAACCGTCACCTATAGACATGAGCAGTACCAAGGACATAACAGAGTATACTGTTTCGCCCATGATACCCCCCATGCGTTGCTATTCCCGAGGACTCAGGTGTTATTCCTCTGTACCCTGTAAATTTATGCCGTAACCCACCCTTCACACCGAAACACAACCATGCAAACATAAGAGATTTCTCTCACATAAGAGATTTCTTCTAGCAAAACCTTTTCATGTAAATTGTATGTTATTTTGAAAATAAAAATTTAAATTATTTTGAAAGTCATACGATCTGCATATATTGTATAAACACATAAAACATGTATACACAAAGAATAATACAAACTACACATTATAAATTACATGAAACACAAACCCTGTAAACGTACATATACTTACACACACACACACACACACACATATATATATATATATATATATATATATATATATATATACGCACCGAATTGTCACTTTCTCCAGCTATGGCCATAGTTAATTAATTTTCATGTCTTTCATCCATTACTATATCTTATATAAATATTATCTGCTTATGCATAAAATCACATAAAAAATACCTCATTGTTATTATATAAAACATTTTTACATAACTGCTATATCAGGTATATATATGGGTGTCGTAAGAGGCGACTAAGGGAACATAATGATTGAAGGATGGGCCAAAGCATCTCTCTTAATACACCACTAAAAACCTAACTTCGGTTGCCAACCTGCCTGCCAAGCTTGGCTTGGCAATCCCCCCCCCCTCCAGTGGGGGAAAGGATTGTTAATAATATGGATTACTAATCGCATTGCTGGCAATATACCCTATTAGGTGTACTGGATCCCTGGTGTATTCATCACGATGGACTAACTGACCTGCCTTTTCATCCTCACCTATCATCCCTCACTGGTGCCCCGCTAGTGTATACCGTCAGCGCAGGCGGGGTTACCATTCCATTATCATCCATTAAATAAAAAAATCACTGGAAAGTTATTAGAAAATATAAATGGATACTCAAAATAAACAAAAGATGAAATATGTACAAAATGCATTTATTAGCTCAGTCCCATATCGAGGCATGATACTCTGGGCGGTCGAAGAGCAGCTCCCTGGGGCGCGGGCTGGCGGCGGCGGGCGGGTGGTGGTGCAGCAGCTGCAGCAGGCCGGTGCCGATGGCGGCCGGCACGCCCAGGATGATGGACTCCGATACGCCCTCGATACGGTCGCACTGGCCGTAGTAAGCCGCGTCGAACAGGTGGTCGGCTGTCTTTTCGAACTGTACGGGGAACAACATGCTACTGTTCATGTCTACTTCTTCATCTTTGTTTCCACTTGTACAACAGATTGTGCTCAGAGGAATTGTTCAATATGATGCCCACGGCCGCTTTCTACCATCGTACGGGTCGCCATCGGGAGAGAGTTCATCCTCAGATGTTTTCTCCCACGAACACTCAGGTTATGGAATGAGCTCCCTACCGAGATTTTCCCAAGAGACTACATGCACACAGCATGGGGTTCTTCAAAAGGGGGGTAAAGGTTTCTTCAGGGACGGCAACGCACGCGTAATACCTCTGGTATTACAGGCGTTTATAGCCTATGGTAACCACTTACCATCAGGTGGGCCGTATACTTGTTTGCCACGTCAGTGGTATAAAGAAAAACTCACGCTGGCGAGGTTGAGCACGGACTCCTTCATGCGCGCGAGCCCGTAGCGCGTGATGCCGAGCACCTCGCCGCGCGCCGTCATCTGGCCCGCCAGCAGCTCCACGTGCCGCCGGTCCACGCTCATGCCGTGCCCCGCCATCACCGCCTGGATCTCGCTGATGATTGTCGACTTGGCCGCCTCGATGCCCAGCGTCTGGTACACCTGCGCCAGCGCCGTACACCCAATATTAATATATTGATCATGCATGCATGCATCATCATCTATGGAGAGAGCTACGCTCGGAGTTTCTTTGTGTGATAAAATCCAAAATGAGGATATTCGCAAAAGAACCATACCAGAGGGAGACTTTGTACAAAAGTCGATTGCTTGGGTACCTCTGTTCCATTCGTGTTTCTACCGTGAAGCAGTTGTGTTTACATGGCTGTGTTGCGGTTTGAAGTGGTGAGATATGGCGTGAATTTACAGGGTACAGAGGAATAACACCTGAGTCCTCAGGAATGGCAACACATAGGGGTATCATGGGCGAAACAGTATACTCTGTTATGTCCATGGTACTGCTCATGTCTATAGACAACAGTTACCACTTTCCATCAGGTGTCATACAAATACAACTGCTTTACGGTTGTAACACGAATGGAACAGAGGTACCCAAGCAATCGACTTTTGTACAAAGTCTCCCTCTGGTAAAGTTTCTTTTATACCTTATTAATATAATAAGATTTAAATTGAATTTGTCCAATGCTGAAAATAGATCTACCACATAGACTGTCATTAGGAACGGTCCTGAGCCACTTCCATTCTGCATGGGAGATGAGAGACCAGAGGGAGATTTTGTACAAAAGTCGATTGCTTGGGTACCTCTGTCACATTCGTGTTTCAACCGTGAAGTTGTGTTTGCATAGCTGTGTTTCGGTTTGAAGGGTGGGATATGGCGTGAATTTACTGGGTACAGAGGAATAACACCTGAGTCCTCAGGAATGGCAACGCATGGGCGAAACAGTATACTCTGTTATGTCCATGGTATTGCTCATGTCTATAGGCGACGGTTACCACTTTCCATCAGGTGGGCCGTCAGCTTGTTTGCCATTCTAAGTTGTATAAAAAAAAAGATAGTTTAGCAAAATTTATATGAAAGGTCTTAATAAGACTAATAGATACGAAAAACAATAACTTTAAGAAATTATATCTGTCAGCATATTACTTTCGGCATAATACGAGATCTACTGTACTAACCGAACCGATACGACATCATAACCTTCATGAAAAGAGCATATTCCTTTTTAAAAGCCTGGCAGTACACCTGCAATGCCGTTAGTGTTGTGGGTGATCATGGGCGGCGGTAGTCACTTACCACCAGGTGAGCCGCATGCTCATTTGCCCCCTGTGTTGTAAAAAAAAAAGTACGTCTAGATGGCTTCTCAATAGTGAAAACCACATGAAATTTATTTTTTTATTTTTTAGGCCTTTTAAAAAGGAATATACTCTTTTCTTGAAGGTTATGTTGTCGTATCGGTTCGGAAATACTGCTGCTGGAAGTTGATTCCAAAGAATGGTTGTGCGTGGGAGAAAGTGCCTTGAAAAACGCACGGTGGAAGACCGCCACCCTATTTTATTGGTATACGTACATAAAAATATAATATAAAAACTCAAGTTCACCTCTAGAATATTATTGGAGGTGGTCTTGTTCCCGTTGACTCCGTACGTCGCTATGACGTCCCGCAGCCCGTCGCCCTCTACGCATAGCTTGTATCTGTACATAGACAAATCAATAGATAGGGATTTTTTCGTGGGACAATGAAGAGATGGATCTCCTCTACCATAACGACCCCCCCCCCCTCTCTTAGCAACGATAAACGGTAATGACCTGGTAGTGCCGTGCGCGTCGTCGCAGGCGATGACGGCTCTGGCGACCTGCGGCAGGCCCTTGACGACGACAGAAGGCAGCTGCCGCGCCAGCTGCTGCAGCCCCATGTTCAGCCAGCCGCCGTGCTTGCCCGCCTCGCTCGACACCTTGATCGCCCACTCTGACACTACCTGGATGTTGCCCGGCTTCACCTTCAGTTTGGACGTGCAAATTCTGTAAGAAGTACACGAATAAAATTTAGTAAAAAAAAATATTTTGTTTTTTTATACATGTCGGAAAATGATGGACCATCTGGTGGAAAGTGGTAACAGTCACCTACATAAACAAACAACACACTGTAGTGTTGTAAATCGTCGAATATATAAAATGATTATTAAAAAGAAAAAATAGATTCAGAGACAATTGTGTACTTTTATTAGAACAATGAAGGACAAGAAGACAATTTTTTTATTTATTTATTCAATAAAATAATTATAACATTACGACAGCAAAGGCCAAGTCAATGTTATAAACCTAGTGTACTAACATACAAAATATAACATACAAAAAAAAATATTCTTACAGATTGGTCCCATAGAAATTTTATCAAAATCGGTATAGTACTTTAAAAAAAAAACTGATTTTGTCACAACTAAAGTCGGTTCTTTGTGGATAGCAATCTTAAATTATTTTTCAACTACCTACATATCTCAAAAAAAAATTCTAAAAGGCTATTTAATTAAATCGTATACTTAATGTTACATGAATCGTTACGTTATTCAAACATTCCCTCCGAATGTATACGAGCGTACTTACGAATACACGATGGAATGCACGTTGACCTCGAGACAGAGCAGCCGTATCCTCTCCGCGTCCAGCCTGATCAGCAGGAAGCACTCGTTGGGCAGGTACACCTCGTCTATGTACGTCGTGATCTGACCACATAATGACCTTTGTTAGGGGGCAATGGAATTGCTAGTAAAGGGGTCTAACTGATCCATTACCAGCAATATATCCTATCAGGTCGACCTCCACGCGGTTCCCTCTGAAAACCTCGGAAACCATATCGGGGTTAATTCTTGTGGAATTCTTCACGATGGGCTAACTGACCTGCTTTCATCGTCACCTATCATCTCTCACTGGTGCTCCGCCAGCGTATACCAATAGCACAGGCGGGGTTACCATTCCATTATTACCCATTGAAAAAAAAACTTTTGTTAGTACGCTCCAATAATATAATAATAAATACTGTTTTCCTGTGTTCTCTATCCACCTCCCTCCTTTATTGGCTCTTGTTTTTGTGTGTGTGCTATTAAGTATCGCGGCAATCATATCTGTCCACAGCTGAACGTAGGCCTCCCCAATAAGGGTGGGGGGAGGGGGTTTGCCTTAAGGTTTCTTTTAACTCTATCTATACTAAAAGGAATTATAAAAATCGACTCTGATTTGGTCACATATTGCGTGACTAAGTTAAAAAATTAATCCAGACGAGTTTGTTAATAGATGTCGTTATTTACAGCAAATTATGTTTTAAAAAAAGGTCCCCCTAGGGGAGTTTTGCCAGTAAGTACCACGCTTGGCAGGCGGATTGGTAATCGCTGTTAGGCTTTGGAGATGTTTTAAGAGGGACGCTGCCGTCTATCCCTCGTTCTCCATTAGTCGCCTTTACGACACCCACGGGAAAGAATGGGTTAGCCTATTCTATCCCGGGACCACACGGTTTCCATGCCATTGACCCTTAGGCCATTTGTCTGATTATTACTTCGTGTTGCCTACAATAAGTACCTCTCCTAGTGTGGTCTTCTCTATTCTCCCCTTCACTCTTCTGGCGAACTCCTGATCCTCCGGATTCATCAGCTCGGCCGTGATGATGGGCGTGGATATATTCTTGGACGCGTTGATGATCTCCTTCACCCGCGGCACACCCTGCGTGATGTTCATGGACGCGACACCGGCGAAGTGGAAGGTCTTCAGGGTCATCTGGGTGCCTGGCTCGCCTATACTCTGATGATGAAACAATTTCAATATTATTTTCTCGAATAAAAATCCAATGGTTTTTTATCTTTTAGGCCAAGGTTTAGACCGAGGTTTTCCCAAGAGACTACAGCATGGGGTTCTTCTAAAGGGGGGTAAAGAGGTTTCTTCAGGGTCGGCAACGCGCGCGTAATACCTCTGGCAGGGGGACACGATGACGAAAAAAAAATGGCCGCGCGGAAAAATTTTTAATAGATGGCGATACTAGTCACGATTTACTATTAATACTTTCGTAAGTCTTAGAAAACAAACAAAATCATTTATAAAATATGTATACTTTTATTTTTAAAATCTCCTAAAAACGTAAAAATGAATAAAATAGATTCTTAAACCAAATCTCATTAGTTATATTAAAATTCAAAAATTGTTTTATTTCTATCAGGAAACTTGCGTGCTTCGATCTAATTAGTATCATTTAGTTAACGAGATCGTGCTACAAGTTTGTCCAAGTCATTTCACAGATGGCGTTGCTTCTATTTAGAGCACTACTAATAGATACAGTATTGCCAGATTGGATATTTTTCTCGCAATACGCTAGTTGACAAAATTTGGAAATGAGTTTAAAAATATAGCTTGGTATCTATTTTACTCTAAAAATATATTATTTTAAGAAAAATAAGCCATTTTATGATTTTTGCGTTTTTAGTAAAGAATTCAAAATTGACATCGAAAAAGGACAACACTGTCATGGATCAACACGTCTTGAATGACGTCACGCCTCGCATAACATTCGTGTTTGTTTATGACGGTCAATTGTTTTTATTAAGAAATAATGAATCCCTCATATTATAAATACTATGCAATGCCCCAATGTAAAATACAACGATAAAAATACCGAATAAATTATTCATATACGTTCCTAACAATAAGCAAATACGTAAAAAGTGGTTAGAAATAGCAAGGAGGCAAGATGCTTCTAATATATCAAGTGACTCAACACTTTATTTCTATGAAGAACATTTTGATGTAAGTATTAAGTCAAGTTAATGTATCTATTGGTAAATATAAAGTAAAAGTAATGAATTTAGCAAAATCTACCATATAAAATCATACCTTTATAGGTTATGTAACCATAAGTTATAAAATGATAGGACTTGAATATGTTTGTGTTATTTTTTTAAATTTATAACATTATTTTTGTTTTAAAAATGAAATAATTTATACTTTTTGTATTGCTTTAGTTCCCAAACGATATGATTAAGTATATGGAGTATCATATTATGGGAAAAATCTCTCAAGTGCGCATGAAGCCTGATTGTATGCCAAAGAAATTCGAATGCCAAGAAGATAGAAAGAAAGGTACATGCAGCGATATCAAACGACCATATATGTTGAAAAAACAAAGAATGTCAACAATCACAGAGTGTTTGAATGAATCAGAACAAAGTATGAGTAGTACATCAAGTTCATCTATCAAGAATACTTCAACAAGTTCAAGTATGTAATAAACAAAACAAATGATTTGCAGTTTGAAACATGTTTTAAGGTATTATTATTATGACCATATTGTGTTTATTTTTAGATTTTCAAAAAGTTGGAGAGGATGTACCTGAAGCTTTATTTGCACTGACAGCAAATAAGTCAGTTCAAGCATTAATAACACACAATTTCAAAAGTAAAGCTGTCCAAACTAAAATAAAATCAATAGAAAAGGCAGTATCATCTTTGAAACCATCACAAATATCTGTCTCCACATCCCCATTCAAACCAATGAAAATTATAAATTCAAGACCTGTGTCGGGCCTTGGCAAAATTACAACATATTTATCAAAGCAGAGCAGTCTGATAGTGATGTTTCTTTATATATACCATCTGCATCTACCTATATATATACCTATCTAAGATTCATTAATAAAATAAAACAATTTTATATTATTTGTATTTTTATTTTAGTTCTACACTGTTATATAGTGTTTTTCGAAAAATCCAACAAATCTTTGATTCTATTTTCAATATATTTTGGATCATATTGAACCATTAATACCTCAACCACTTTATTTTGGCTATAATCAGGATCAGCCACACAAAAGAAACAATTTCTCGTTACAGTTAAATACATTTATATTTGCATTTGAGTATAATACTTTTGTGTGGCTTCACCATTTTTATTGTAATTTTTATAAGTTTTTACACTATCACATATTTAAATTAACCCTGTTCGCCGCACCATAATTGTTAAATTTCAAGCTTTGACTTCCACGAGACAGGCTTTGCTTAGTATGGGGTCATAGTTATATTGTACCATTGGCTTTGTTTAAGGAAAATAAAGTTTATTATTTATTATTATTATTATTAGGCATTTAATTTCAATTAAGCCATCTATCAATATGTCATCTGGGGAACCAGCAATCATCAGGTAATCTGCATTTAATATTAGTTAGCACTTAGTAATTTTTTTTTCAGTTTCACCTCCACAGTCTTCCCTACTTGAACTTCTAAGATACGTCCGTCTCATTGATGCAATATCAGGTATTTTTGCCCCTAATATTAGAGACACAAGTGTACCATCATTCTTTTTACAGCCGCTAACCTCAAATGCTCTTGATGCGGTTATTCGTCCATACCGCAGCTCATGCCAAAGAGAGCTATTGGATTGTTCCCTTGTTTCCTCTTCAACTCTTTTTTTATTAAAGATGCAGATATCTTTACATTTTTAAGAAATTATCTACACATTTCTCTTTAAACTTCCACACAAACTGATGCATTGAAACTTAAGGAGTTCACAATCCTCAATTTTCCTGTTCTTTCCTTCTTCTAAAAACTTCAAAACAGATGAGTTTGACAGTATGAGAAGGCTGCCCTTAGATACAAATTTTTGGCCGTCATATATTTTATGGTATTACCAACTCTTGATAATTTTTTTTTCCAGTAGCATTCAACAGATGTGCATGAGGACTCTTCGCTTCGGCGATGAACCCACATTAAAAATGCTATTGCATGCTTACAACCGCCCTGTGAAGCTACGCAGTCTTCACATTGCACAGAAAGAACAGTCTCATCTTCCTCATCAACGACACTGTGCATCTATACAGTTTCGCATGAACTTTGTGCTCGGGACATATTTTGCACTTTATAATACATAATTTACCATCGCGCTTAAGCTGCACATAGCTTACAGCATCATCTCCGTATGAAGCTCGTGATGACCTGAAATAAAAAAATTGATTAATAAAATTAATTAATTAAAACTTTGTATTCGCTAACCTCTAAATCAGTTATTATTGCATAGTAAGTTGGTAGAAAGTAGGTAAATGCAAATTTCGGACTGGTACATGCTAAATAGATAAGATTTATGTTAGTTTTTTTCATTATACTCACAGAGAAGTTTTAACATTTCGGAATTCTGACGAACAAAAATCGGCGTTTGCAGCAAAAAATTTGCCAAGCATAACGGCGTCAAGTCTGTTCATTTATATTTCAATCCACGCATCAATCATTCCAAACACTGTGTCTGATGAAGGTGGCCTAGAGATTTATGTGTAGTGTCTGTGTGCTGTTTGTATGTCAGCCGGAGACGGTGTTACCTGTTGTACACGGTATCTGTATAGGGGATTACCGTGTACTTGTCTTCCACTTCGAGCAGGTCAAATTTGTTAAATTAATTAAATTTAAAACAAAATAATGTTTGTTAATAAACAAACAAACAATCACAACTTAACCAATTAATTAAAACTATAAAAGAAAAATATATATAAATTTTAAAATTGACAATTTTATTACACGATTAAAGGGGATATCGTGTAATCAATTTTCACATTTCAAATGTAAAAATAAATCAATTTCTATCTATAATTTAATTTATTTTATGTAATATAACTGAATAGAGACAATCCACAATGTAATTAGGCTACTTAAATACTAATACAATAATAAATAAGTAAAATAATAATAAAATAAAAATATATATTTTATTGCTATAATTTAGCTAAAATACCTACTATTTACTTCCCCAGAAATTTTATTTTTATATATTATAGATAACCTCTTATAGGCTTATTACTTAATATTATGTTTAATTTAGACTTTCTATAAGGAAAAAATCCACAAAAAGTTTTTCTGTCCCGCGTCCGGACTCGAACCACGGGCCACTGGGAAGTTAATAAATAAACAACGTTAAATTTATCTAATTTTCTAAAATAAATAATATATTTGTATAATACAATTAATTAAATAATAATTAAATAGATATAAATTATCGCCACAAGGTCCACCGCAATAAATATTTTTTACCACAATTCTTAAAATTTTTCAAAAAAAAAAAGAATTTAATTTAATTTAAATTCACTTTAAAAAGTATATTAAGCCATTATATCGACTTATTTAAACTTTTGTGGTCAAAAAACACACAAAAAGTTTTTGTCCCGTGTTAGGATTCTAACTATGGACCTTGGGGCAACAATCCAATTTTTTATAATTAAATAAATAAAATATAATTAAAATAGTAAAATAAAAGTAGTAAAATATAATACAATAATAAAATATAATTTAATTCATTTAGTTTTAATAAAATAAAATAATATATAATATAATTAATTAAGCAATAATAACTAGCTAGGATTGTCCTACGACGTCTTTATCCAAAATATATTTTTTTAATTTTTTTTAATAATTTTCTAAAAATATTTTTTTATTTAATTTAATCTATTTTAAATATCTACTATCTAATTTTTTATTTTACCTATAATTTTATTAACATAAAACAAGCAAAAAGTTTTTTAGCTGTGCCCGAGCTCGAAGTTAGGACCTTGGGGGCCCCAGTACCCAACTGATCTAATAAATGGTATAAAAAAATTTCCAATAAAATTTCTTGAAAACAACTACGCACTCAAAAACTAATTTCAGAAAAATATGAGCAAAAAATTTTTTTAATTCGGCGTCAATTATATTTTTTTCATTTGCCCATGCCTAACAGCAACAACATGATGTTTCGCGAGGCGTGACGTCACGCTTCTCTGATTGATGTTCAATGTCACGTGATTAAATGGCCAATTTTGCGCATTTTATTTTCCGTAAATATTGGTAATCTTTAATTATTTTAATGAAAAAAGTGTTTTTTTGGTTACTACATAACATGATTAATCATTAAACACCCTATGCCAGCCGATTTATTCTTAGTGGAAATAAGCCTATTACGGATAAAAATTAATTGTTCGCGAAACTGTAAAAAAATATTCTTGATAAAATGTTTGAAAAAAAGTCAAAAGATTTGGAGAAGTTTGCTTACTTTTTACATTTGTGGTATAATTAAGAATATTTAACACCTTCTTTTTCCTCTTGCTATCACAATGTAACAAGCTTTTATTTATAAAATTGGGAAGATTTAATAATTAAGGTGTAAATTTTTAGTGTTAAAAATATATAATTATGTACGATATGGTATTATTTTGTCGTAAACGAAGAAGCTTAATTATCGTTTAAGGTTACAATGACCTTGTAAAGTGTTATACTTCTTATTAGATATAATTTATTTTTAACTTTTTAGTTTATTTTATTAACAAATAGGTAATAAAAGCTTGTTTAAAAAAAAAGAATATCTTTTCTTTAATTTTATTGTGAGATGCAACGTTAGCGATAAAAAATGTTTATACATCCTCATACCATTCATCCCTCGACACGTGTTCACTACGGTATTGGATAAACCATCTAATCAATCAAACATAATCCAAATTCATCAAAAATGGAACAAACGTTTTTTTCCAAATTTGCTGGGGTTGCATTCACATCAACAAAGATACTCGTCAAGACGAGTTAAACGAGCCCAAATTCGATGGTTTTCCGTCCTTTTAATACGGAGTTCTTATGGCCACCTTTCTTAAGTTTTTTATACTCGTATAATTGTTTTGATAACCTCAGAAGGAAGTTTGTACTCCTACAGAAACATCAAAGCTACTATTTATCTTTAAGCTTCTATTTGTTTATTAGCTATTATTAAATTATTGTAGTTTATTAGTATTGTAGTTGGTTGCTAAATATAACAAAATGTCTTCATTGATTTAACTAGCTACCATACATTTTAAATGTCTGTTTTGGAATCCTGCATTGAGGAGGAGGGCGTTGATATTCGCGACACAGTTTTATACTTCTGCGGATATCATCGTTTTTCAATAATATTGTAACCAATGTTTTTGTTCCAAATAAAGAATTATTATTATTATTATCTACATATACTGCTCACATTGATGAAGTCGTGGGTAAAAGCGAGTGGACAATAATGGCATGGTAAAGCTGCTTGCGATATTGGTAGGGCTGGTAGGGCACCAATAAAAGATTATAAATGAAATAGGTAATGATTAAAGATTTTGGGAAATTTAAGAACTAAGCTACTACACCGATTTTGATAAAATTTCTATAGAACCAATGTGTAAGTATATCCTTTCAGATAAAAAAATAATTTTCCAAATCGGTTTACAACTGACGAAGTTATGAAGTAACAGACATAAAAAAATACATTCAAATTGAGAACTTACTTCTTTTTGAAGTCCATTAAAAATAAAGCCACCTCATTGTGACGAATTTATCAAAAAATTCCTACGATAACATCCAGGTAATAAATAAGATCGACATTGACAGGATATATTATTTCATGATTTATTCCTGGTGAATTAATCATGATGAGCCGTCTGATTTGACTTTATCCTTGTATATTATACCTTGTTGACTGGTAAATACTCTGCTAGTATATACCAACAACGCAAACGGTGGTAGGTTACTATTTTATTAAAAGTTAGTGACTGATTTCATCATCATCATCATCCTCACACAGTACTAACATTTTGTTCCACAAAAACGCTTTATCTATCACAAAATTTACATGCAATAAACGCAAGAACATATAAAGCATATTGAATTAAAGTAACTAAATTAGTTCAGCAATGACAAATATAGAACGATATGATAACATGAGTATACTAAGTACTTATCTATTTATAAAAAAAAAACCTAGCACACTCGTAGAGTTACGTAAAGTAAATCGTATTACGAATCATGTAAAGCGAGCTATTTAAACTCCTACGCAGTCTCGTGCAATACTTACCTACTGAACAATATATGTATAAACGCAAGACGAGACCGCCGAAACGATTCAAATAGATAGGTAATTATTATTTATATGTATAGGTAGAATATTCCACAATAATAGCAAACGCCACAGAGATTTACGCCATCTATAGGTAGCTTACGCAATTAGTAATCATCGGTAAATTAATTTATTAGCTTGAGCTGGCGAGCGGCAAAGAAAGTAGCGGCATCTAGTGCACATATGAAAACTAAAAATTAAGCCGAAGAATAAACCGACTTAGAGCTTCTCATTTGTTTGTGAGATGATGTATCTGTACTAGTATAGTATTATATTATCTGTGCCTCTGGTATTGCAGGTGTTCATAGGCTACGGTAATCGCTTACCATCAAATGGGCCGTATGCTTGTTTACCACATCAGTGGTATAAAGAAAATATCCTATTATTTATAAAACTTATGATGTTATTATGGTATTATAATATCTGGCTTTATGCCAGACTTTCATCACCCAAGCTTCACAATTCTGGAATGTTATCCGAGAACTTTGGAGTCAATTTCGTAGGTCAGTTAGCCCATCGTGATGAATACATCGGGAATTCAGCACGATGGTTTCCAGGCGGGAGCATGTAGAGGTCGACTTGATAGGGTACATTTCTAGCAATAAGACTTTTTTTGAATTGGTGATAATGGAATGGTAACCCAGCCTGCGCTATCGATATACACTGGTGGGGCACCAGTGAAGGATGATAAGTGAAGATGAAGCGGGTCAGTTAGCCAATCGTGACAAATTCAACAATGAACCATTCATTATGGTTTCCAGGGGGAACCGCTAGGAGATCAACCTGATAGAGTATATAATTAGTAATAGGGTTGGTAATCCCTAAGTTGGGGTTGGCTGCTTGAGCGACCTGCGCGGCGAGCGCGCCGACGGCGGTGCCGGGCTCGATGACGCTGCGCTGGTACTTGTCGTGGCACACGCGCACGAAGCGCACCAGCTGCGCCAGCGACAGCCGCGCCACCTGGCGGCCCAGCGCCGCCTGCACCGCGCGCACGCGCTCCGCCTCCGACTTCAGGAACGTCCTACCAACCACCATGGCGTGAATTTACTGGGTACAGAGGAATAACATCTGAGTCCTCAGGAATGGCAACGCATGGGGGGTATCATGGGCGAAACAGTATATTCTGTTATGTCCATAGTACTGCTCATGTCTATACGCGACGGTTACCACCTTCCATCAGGTGGGCCGTCAGCTTGTTTGCCATTCTAAGTTGTATAAAAAAAAAATATAAACCACACACTCAGATTAGCTCCACATTTGTCGTGTCTTCGGTCGCCGATCATCCGCATAGAAACGCCAATACATCCAGACTTTGTACAAAAGTCGATTGCTTGGGTACCTCTGTTCTATTTGTGTTTCTACCGTGAAGCAGTTGTGTTTGCATGGCTGTGTTTCGATTTGAAGGGTGCGATATGGCAGTGAATTTACAGGGTACAGAGAAATAACACCTGAGTCCTCAGGAATGGTAACGCATGGGAGGTATCATGGGCGAAACAGTATACTCTGTTATGTGCATGGTACTGCTCATGTCTATAGGCGACGGTTACCACTTTCCATCGGGTGAGCCGTCAGCTTGTTTGCCATTCTAAATTGCATAAGAAGAATACTAACAGCAATTCATTCTTGAACTCCGGTGTGCAGGTCTTGAAGTCGTCCAGTGCAAGTGTTTCCTCGGCAGCCAGCACGATCCCGTCCCCGTCCAGGGGCTCCTCGTCCCTACAATTGACATTTTCATAAATTGTTCTTGTAAGTTAACTTAGTATTTGTACTGAATTATAAATGCTACAGTAACCGTTTACCATCAGGTGGGCATATGCTGGGTAACATACAAAAACATATAAAACATATAAAAGATAGAGTAAGAAACAGTGTGATCAGAGAGATGTGTGGACTGACAGACGATGTAGTGACAAAAATCGAAAAAGGAATGTTGCGTTGGCTTGGTCATTTGGAGAGGATGGATGAAAGAAGAATTACGAAAGAGATTTATCGAGCAAGAATGAATGGAGATGTCGGTAGGGGCCGCCCTAGACGTACTTATGTTGACCAAATAGGCGACGTGCTGAAGAAGGGCCAAATTAAAAGTGCCCGTAACCGGCGAGCGTGTATGAAAAGATTGATGAATGTGGAAGAAGCGAAAGAGGTTTGTTTGAATCGAAGCATTTGGCGTTCCATTGTTTCTGCCTACCCTAATGGGAGACAGGCGTGACAGATATGTATGTATGTATGTACATACAAAAAAAAGCGGGTTAAGTCAATGTTATTTATTTATAAGTGTAACAATTTAATTTAATAATTTAATAGTTTATATTTGGTCCAAATTGATATTGTTAAAAATTATTGATGTTAAATATATTATTAAAGAATTTATTTATTTATTTATTATTATTATTATAGCTTGTTTGTCACCTTCATCTACATCTACACTAATATTATAAAGAGGAAAGAGTTGTATTTTTGTGTGTATGTATGTTTGTAATGAATTAACTCAAAAACTACTTTGTCGATTTCAAAAATTCTTTCACCATTAGAAAGCTACGTTCACCCTGAGTAACATAGGCTATATTTATTGCTAGAAAAGATTAGGGATCCCTACTAAAACTTTAGTAACGCAACACAAGGTGTAAAATAAATGCTATAAAATATCTTCCGTCGCGTGTGCTGCGGAAACTGTTGGTGATAGAACAAAAGTATGTTCTACAATATTGAAGAAAATATCAATAGCTACAAAAAACTTAGCGATACTATATGTCCAAGTGTTATCGTTATGCCACAATAAGCACTTTTTAAAATGTAAAACTGTGGAGGCGTGCGAAGGCGCCAGGAAGGCGTGGTGGCGTGGTGGCGTGGTGGCGGGGGGCGGTATAACAGAGAAGGGCGGTGCACCGTGCGTGGCAGCGCGCGCGCACGTCGGCCAGCACGCGCGGCAGGTGCACGGGGCGGCCGCGGCCCTCCATGCAGGCGGGGTCCAGCCCGTCGCTGCCGTAGCGGAACTGCACCACCTCGCCCGTCGCGTTGCGCACCGTCATGTCGTAGTGCAGCACCAGGTCCTCCAGCGACTGCCCGCCACACACAATGTTCTATTATTGTAGGAGTACACTTTTATACATTTCATATTCCTGTTACAGTCACTGGATAGTTACAATTTTTAATACAAATATTTATAATGTTTTGTAATAATTAATATGTGCGCATGTACGTGTGTTTGTGTGTGTGCGCGCCTGTGTGTGTGAGTATGTGCGTGCGTGTGTGCGTACGTGCGTGCGTGCGTGTGTGCGTGCGTGCGTGTGTGTACGTGTGTGCGTGTGTGTAACTTTAATTTTTTAATAAGCCTATGGACATGTACAACACCAGAGGTGTCACGTGTGCATTGCTGACCCTGATAAGACCTTAATACACTTTTTTTGAAATACCTCATACTCTAGTCTCTATGGAAAACCTCAGAAGCGAGTTAATTCTACAGCTTGAGTATTTGCGGAAGAAAAATTCCTTTGAAACAGCATTGTACGCGATCATTTAGATTCAAGCGTGTTAGGACAAATTCCCTATCGATGATGAGCGATGCGATGATAAAAGGTGGCATCATTTCAAACAATACCTCAGAATACAATCCTTTGTACAAGCGGTAAAACACACAGAAAGAGGCAAAGTCTCGCCTTAGACTTAAGGGCTCGATACCACCTGGGAACTTGGGATCGTCGACTACTCTCACAGCCCGTCTTTAAACCAAGTCAAGAGGACCAAGCTGGTATCCATTTTTAGCAATATAAGCTATCAGGTAAAACCATCCTGGTTAATTGTAGTTGAATTCGTCAGGATGGGCTAACTGGCCTGCTTTCAACCTCATCGGTCATCTATCACTGGTGCCCCGTCAGTGTATACCGATAACACAGACAGGGTTACCATACCATTATTACCCATTAGAAAAAACATAAAGAAACTTTAACTATCAGATATTGCGTACAGTGTTGAAGTTACCTTGACGAGCCTGCGCTGGAGGTAGCCAGTCTCGGCGGTCTTGACGGCGGTATCGACGAGCCCCTCGCGGCCGCCCATTGTGTGGAAGAAGAACTCGGTGGGCGTCAGCCCCGTGTAGAAGCTGTTCTCCACGAAACCGCGCGCCGCGGGGATTTTGGCTGTACATTGAGGTCATGTTTAGCAACCCACTAACGGCCATTGATAGGGAGGATAATGGATTGTTAAAGATGGGGATTAGTAGCCCCAATACAGGGTGTATTCAGGGGTCAGGTCGACCTCCTCGCGGTTCCTCCTGGAAACTATCGTGTTCTATTCCAAGTGAATCCATCACGATAGGCTAACTGACCTGTCTTTATTTTTTTTTTTGTACAACTTAGAATGGCAAACAAGCTGACGGTCTACCTGATGGAAAGTGGTAACCGTCGCCTATAGACATGAGCAGTACCATGGACCTAACAGAGTATACTGTTTTGTCCATGATACTCCATGCGTTGCCATTCCTGAGGACTCAGATGTTATTCCTCTGTACCCAGTAAATTCACGCCATATCCCACCCTTCATACCGAAACACAGCCATGCAAATACAACTGCTTCACGGTTGAAACACGAATGAGACAGAGGTACCCAAGCAATCGACTTTTGTACAGTCTCCCTTTCAGTACAGAGTGAAAATGAGATTGATTTTATGGCGTTTAGCTGTCATTGGTTTTATACGCCTCATATATAATTAAAAATAGTGTTCCACTAATTTCAATTGGGACAAAACCAGTTATTTTGAAATTCAAAACTACTAAACCGATTTTAATAAAAAATTCTATAAGACCAAACTATAAGTATATTCATTCAGATAAAAAAAAGAATTTTCCAAATTGGTTTACAAATAAAAGAGTTATGAGGTCACAAACATAAAAAAAAATCTAATTTGGCACCTTATTCTTAATAAAGTCGGTTGTAAATACTAACAGTGTCTCTCGAAGTGCGGCAGCGAGCGGTCCTCGAAGCCGTTGGGCACTCGCTTCCCGTTGAGGGCCTGCTGGCCCACGCACGCGATCATTTGCGATATGTTGATGTTTGAACCTGGCAACACATTTTTTTTACAACACGGGGCAAACGAGCACGCGGCTCACCTGATGGTAAGTGACTACCGCCGCCCATGATCACCCACAACACCAGCGGCATTGCAGGTGTGCTGCCGGCCTTTTAAAAAGGAATATGCTGTTTTCTTTAAGGTTATAATGTCGTATCGATTCAGAAATACTGCTGCTGGAAGTTGATTCCAAAGAATGGTTGTGCGTGGAAGAAAGTGCCTTGAAAAACGCACGGTGGAGGACCGCCACTCGTTCAGATGGTTGGAATGAAACTTTAGTTTGTGGCGGGTTGTACGGTGGTAAAAATCAGCAGCAGGTATCAATCCGAACAATTCCTCAGAACACTCCCCATGATAAATTCGGTAGAAGATGCACAGGGATGCAACATCTCTGTACAGTTTCAGTGGGTCGATTCGGACAGTACATTAACAAGATATGTTCATCATCAAACTCCTACTACTTGGGGGAGAAGGGATTGTTAGTAATGCTAGACTAAGACTACCAGTCCCTTTACCAGCAATATATCCTGTCAGGTCGACCTCCACGTGCTTCCCCCTGGAAACCATCGTGCTGAATTCCAGTTGTATTTATTACGGTGGGCTAACTGCCCTACCTATTCATTCTCACCTATCATCCCTCACTGGTGCCCCGCCAGCGTATACCGTTAGCGCAGGCGGAGTTACCATTCCATTATCATCCATTAAAAAAACTCCCAACTTGCATTAGGCTGAGATTTGAGTCCCTGGGCTACTATCATTGTACACAAATGCCTCTACAGTGGTTAAAGCATATATACTTTACCTGCCTGCCCCAGTACGAAGCAAATGCCAAACATTTTAAATGATCGAAACATAATACAATCATTTAAAAAAAAAACATGATGATGATATCAACCATTAATTGCCCACTGCTGGACATAGACTTCCCCCATTTGAGGAGGGTTTTGCCTGTAATTGCCACGTTTGGCAGGCGAGTTGGCAACCGGAGTTAGGCTTTGGTGACGTTTTAAGACGGACGCTGCTGCCTATCGCTCGATCATTAAGTTCTCTTAGTCGCCTCTTGCGACATCTATGGTAAAAGAAAGTGGCACATTCTATGGCGTTTTATATTCTATTCCATGTGGCGTTGTTGTTTGCATCGTACAAACTATACAGTACCTTTGGAGCCGCTTTGTGCCATAATGAGGGGCGCATTAGTCGGGTGCAGCTCTCTGAAGCACGCTTTTGCTGCTAACTCTCTGGAACAAACCGTTTATTTAGTTTACACCGAGAAACTAGACTACAATAGTAAAGTTGGAACTGAGTAAAAGACTTCCTAAAAGAGTTCCTTTTATTTCGTTATCTCTTTTACTCGTTATTACCACGTCTATCTTATATCTCGCTCGCACACATCTCATCCATAACATTTGTAAACTTTTTCAGTCTCTTCGTTCTTCGCTTTCATTCAATTTCACATTTACTCATTCCCTTACAAAACGTGAAAAGTCGACATTTTAATTTCCGATCGAGTTACGAGAATCTCAATAGAATTACATGTATATTATTTGTATATTTATTTGTATATGTAACATTTATTATTTATTTATATTTATATTTACATTTATTATTTATTTATAACAACATAACATTCATTATTTGTATATGTAACACGTTCATTGGCTACATAGTTTACGCTGGGTCCGGCTTTCTAGATTCCGCCAATGGCCTCATAATTTTATTATATATTATATACCTAGCGGCCCGTCCCGGCGTCGCACGGGTGGACATTTTTAACATTTCCCTTCACTGCTCTGCACCTATTGATCGTAGCGTGATGAAAAGTATACTATAACCTGCCCAGGAGTATGAAGAATAATTGTGCCAAGTTTCGTTAAAATCAGTCGAATAGTTTTTATTTCTATAACGAACATACAGACAGACAGACAAAAATTTTACCGATTGCATTTTTGGCATCAGTATCGATCACTAATCACCCGCTGATAGTTATTTTGGAAATATATTACATGTACAGAATTGACCTCTCTACAGATTTATTATAAGTATATATTACGTTTATGTAACGAATTCTTTATTTTATTTGTGTACATATTATTAGTCTTTATAATCTGTGTCATTCTTTGAAGGCAACAATAAAGTTCATTCATTCATTCATTCATTCATTCATTCATTCATTTTATTTTGTGGTCAAACAATGAATCAATATTATATTACTTGCAATAAAACATCTAATGGTATCTGTTATTTATTTATTTATTTAGAATATAATATCAAATGGAGGCGAATGTAATGGACACACACAATGCATTTTATTTATATTTCTTTTTATTGTTATATTTAATGAGGAGTTACGCGACTGACTCTTGGCCACAACAGAATATCAGTGTTTCGCTCTTTTAAGGGCAAAGCAATAAACTGAGTTGTGACCATTTTGTGTTACTATGGCACACGCATGAAGGAAGGGAACGAAGGGAGATTGTTAGTTTCTATATTTTGTTTTTTTTTTTTTTTGTTTTGTGCTTTTATTATTTTCATTCTTTTATCTCTTTTACTGTGTATTATGTGTATGTATGTTTTTTTTATTGTAATTTGTGTACTGTAAGTAATGTAAATAAATTATCTATCTATCTATCAAATTTATTTTTTATTATTTGTTTTCACCTATTATAAATATTTTTATTACAACAAATGGTCGTGTCATAGTTAATTAATGCTTACCTGATACTACTCAGCTCGCTCAGCATGACAGCCTCGAGGGTCTCCTCCATGGTGCAGCCGGGCTGGCACTGCAGGGTGCCCTTCTCCATCTCCAGGATGTACCCGTCACATTTGGAGTACCTGACCATGAGTACCGTAGGTAACAATGAAATTGTTATAACAAAATGTAATGGAAGACAGAGTCATTTAGCTCCCTAAAATAAACAGCTGGCTTATAGGTCATACTCGTGAACGGGCGTGACTTGTAGGAACTGATGTACATTTTATACATATATTTTGATATTGAAAGGTATTTAGAGAAAGTCTATTATGTCTTTGTGAAACTTTGCTCGTATCTTGCTTGTACCGCCCCCATGCCCCCCTCACCATCATCATCATCATAATATCAGCCATTACCTGCCAATTGCTGAACACAGGCCTCTCCCATAGACTGCCATAAAGAAAGATCATTAGCCACTTGCATACACTGACTCGCTGCAATGCCTTTGAGGTCGTCACTCCATCTAGTAGAGGGGAGTCGTCCAACAATGCATTTTCCCGTATAAAGTCGCCACTCAAGAAACTTCCCAATCATCATCAGATGTATACGTATTGTAATATTATTCCTATTATTTTTTTTGTTTTCAATTCTGTTTGTTCGTATTTTTTTTTTGTTCACTCCTATTTTTGTTGCTTTGTGTACAGCGCCTTGTATCTATATTGTTGCTACTTGTGGCTTGTTTTGTGATACTAAACTGTATCTGTTTGCTCTAGTGTAGCCCTGGTTTCCTATGAATAAATAAATAAATAAATGTAAAAGACACAGTACTGTACTATATTGTCTGGTACGGCTACTGGAGTATTCCATGGAAGAGTGGCAATGAATAACATTTATCTATACCTTTAGCATTTATTCAAGGAATGAATGACACTAATAAGACTATGGCATACCCACACATCTTGTTCTCGTAATACCCACATAATATATGCTTATACAAGTACAAAGAAATTTGGTATCGAAACAAACACAGTGCGTTCATTGCGTCACTGACCCACTGTCGAGCAGCTTGTTCTTGGCCTCGATGAGTTTCTTGCCGGGCGTGACGTCGATGATGCCGAAGCTGAACCCCCGGTTCATCATGTAGTAGGAGGCCATGCGCGCCAGCCTGAAACGTATAACCGTCATCAGTTACAGCTATATTTAATTTAAATACATACATATATCACCTTTTTATTAATTTTCAGACTTTAAAATTAAATTTAGTTACCTTTTATCATCATTTTAAATGTACCTAACAGAATCCTATTACAGTATGTTGCAAATTAAATAAAAAACGCTTCCAGATTCCCCCAAAACTAGGACAAATCCGGGAAAACCCGAATGGATGGCAACCCTAAGTATATGCTGCTTTTTATATATGCTACCGGTCACGCGGACAAAGTCGCGCGTAAAAACTAGTAAACTATAATAACTATGTATAAGGCTTTAAAAATTTAATAGTAGGAAAAGGGTTATTCACCTCCACATGCCCCTGACGGCGTACTCCTCGCCCCAGTCACGCAGCAGGATGTAGAAGATGCTGCTCTTGGTGCCAGATCCGAGGGTGCTCTTATCCATCGATCCGCACACTAGCTCTGAATTTCTTATTATTACATCTAAAATAAAAATTATATTCATTCTATATTTTATTGGACCTAATACACTTCCTTGCAGTACACCATCCTTCATTATTGTTTCAAGTACAGTAGAATTAAATTGGTTACACAGGTTACAATCTGGGTTTGTTGTACGCGTCCGTGTAGCCTAACTTCAGGCTGCAGCTGAAAATCAGTGCTTTGCTTTTAAGTAAAACTATCACTGAGCTGTAGCCTATTTGGATCACTGCGACACACATGGCGAAAACATATTTCCATACTTTATCTTTTGTTTTATATTTAAAAAAGCGTAAATAATCTTTTTTTTTTTTTGTTATACAACTTAGAATGGCAAACAAGCTGACGGCCCACCTGATGGAAAGTGGTAACCGTCGCCTATAGACATGAGCAGTACCATGGACATAACAGAGTATACTGTTTTGCCCATGATACCCCCATGCGTTGCCATTCCTGAGGACTCAGGTGTTATATGATATATGCCATATGATATAGCCATAATACGTACAGGAGTCCTGCACGCACATGTCCGCGTTGCCGGTGTAATTCTTGCCCTTCGTCTCGAGGTTCGCTTTCACCTCACACCGCTTGTTTGGCTTCATGATCAAACTGGAATAAATTAATAATAATAATAAACATTGTTCAAACAAAAATGCTGGTACACAAAAGGTTTTAATAACCGGTGAGTGATTAAATAAATAAGTACATATTTATTGTTATTTACGGCCCAGTTCTTATATAAATTTACGATTGAAGTAACTCAAAAAGATCTATATAAATTTCAAAATGAAATAAAAAAAGGAACAAAAAGAAACATAATGTAATAAAGTTGTGGTGCTATAAGGTACCTATTTCTAATAATATTATATATGTATGTTGTAGATTAGAAGGGCGTGTGTGTTGGTGTGCGTGTGCGCATATGCGCGTGAGTGTGCGTTCATGAAAAAATTAAATTATTCCAACTTCAGTTATGGCAAGTACTCGCGCCCTGTGGCTTTATGGGTAGCGCTACTGCGCTGGAGGGGGGGGGGGGTCCCATAATGTCCTCCCGCCTCCCCGCCCGTTATATACGCCTATGTTACCCTGTCATAGACGTATATAACGGGCCCATATGGTCCCCCTAAAAACTGTTGCTATTAATTCCTAATGAATTATTCTCGATGGATCAATTGACCTTCACCCTCACCTATCACTGGTGGCAGACCTGTTAGCCCAGCTAGACGATGACATAACAATAACACAGATGGAGTTAAAATTCTTAATCAATTGTATAAAAAATACTTTTTGAAATGGAGTGTTTAGTGTTCTATTGTTTCTACCCAAATGGGAGACAGGCGTGACGATATGCATATACCAATGTACAAAATAATTACCTAAATATCTGCTTGCCAGTCCAGAGCATCGCCGGCTTGAGTATGGCCGGGGGAGGCATGTCAATGTTCATGGTGCTGTCAGGACCGGCCAGTAGACAGGCGGCCAGCTGCTGCGCCTCCCCTTGAGTGAGGAATGTGTCGCGCTGCGTCAGTAAGTACCCGCCCGTGATAAAGTCCTGCGTCGCCGCGATCAGCAGCTCACCGTTGCGTGGCGTCACCAAATTCGACTTGTTCTATGGGAATATTATATTTTTTTATTTGTAACTGATGGCTAACTTGATGCAAGAAAAAAAGAAGACATTTCCCCATCAGAGGGTATACCACATACTGTCAACTTACCCCCATTAGTATGAGTGCCTCGGCGCGCGCCTCCTCGGTCTGCGGCAGGTGCATGTTCATCTCGTCGCCGTCGAAGTCCGCATTGTATGGAGTACATACGCACTCGTTGAACCTGAATCAATTCACATATACATTACTATACTACATGTGCATGGTCCCGGCATAGAATGAGCTAACCTTTCCTTTCTTCTGGGTGTCGTAAGAGGCGACTAAGGAAGGTCGAGGAATTGGCAGCAGCGTCCTTCTCAAAACATCTTCAAGGTCTAACTGCGGTTGCCAAGCGTATGAGATTGGAGACTGGAGATTTTTATTCAGTACTGGACAGTTAAAGGCTGGTATGATAATACTACTTATATGAGAAGGCCGCTCACTGATATAAAAAAAATTTAAGTCCGTCTTCGTTAGAAGAACTATACGAAGGCCTTATACCCTCGACTGTTTACCCTCACTTATAAAAACACAATTTTTAAGCTATATACATAAAGAGTAGGTACATCAAATAGATATTCGAAGTTTGGACTTCGATTTTTATTCCAAAGTGCAATATTGCACTCTGGAATAAACGGCTGATAATACCAACCTGAAGGTTCTCTGCGGCTGCACCTTGGCGCGGTGACACATGATGGAGAGCTTGTGCAGCGACGGCTGCCGGTTGAACAGCACCACGTCACCGTCCACCAGGTGGCGCTCCACTATGTCACCGCACTGCAAATGTACATAACTAGTTATCACGTGAAAACACATACAATGAAAACAATGGAATGGAACTTGTACGTTTACTAGTATTTAGTGATGTAGTTCATGTTTAGGATGGCTGGGCTGTTTTTCTAGTGTGCTGATAGTTTTATGGTTTAAATTTCTTTTAATGTAAATTATATGTATATAATGATTACAATAGCATGTTTTCTTACAGATGAAGGTAAGCAGTCAACGTAGTCCATGAAGACTTGTAACCCAGACCACTTGTACTTTTGAAATGTTAAACCTAAAACTCCTAATTTAGACAGCCTATAATAAAGTTACTAATTAGACTATTTCATTGCCTTATGATAATGAAGTAAAAATACAAGGCAAAACCGTCACTCTTTTCCATCCATGGGTGGGCAACCCATGGATGGAAACCCATAAAAGAACTAAGGGAACACAGCTATACACACAATAGATAAAGATATATTTATTTAACAAAGTATGTTTGCATTGGCACAGAATTTATCATTGCCTCCTACACTGGGCTGAGCGTGTCCTGTAGGAAGCAGTACCCGCGTTATCATATACATGCATACAGATATTAAACATAGGCTTTTTAGCAGTACACTGACAATTGTGTAACTAGTCTGTATAATGCAATTATTTCATTTAGATCTCACCACCAATACACATGTATGAATAAGTATTATGAATGTATGTGTGTGTGTGTGTAGTGTGTGTGTGTGTAGTGTGTGTGTGTGTAGTGTGTGTGTGTAGTGTGTGTGTGTGTGTAGTGTGTGTGTGTGTGTAGTGTGTACGCCTGCCAAGCGTGACAACTACTGGCAAACCCCTCCAAGGGGCGGAAAGGGATTGTTAGCAATGGAGTTTGACAGCCCTATTGCTAGTAACATGCCTTATTAGATCGACCTCCACGTGGTTCTCCCTGGAAACCATCGTGAACAATTCTGGTTGAATTCGTCACGATGGGCTTACGGACCTACTTCATCCTCATCTATCATCCATCACTGGTGCCCCGCCGGTGTATACCGATAGCGCGGGTGGGGTTACCATTCCATTATCATCCATTAAAAAAAAATCCAAGGAGGAGCCTTATGTTCAGCAGTGGTCAGTTAAAGGCTGATATGATGATGATGATGAAACCAACTAAAAGATCAGTAATCATTTACTTTTACAAGCTCTACTTTGATTATATTTGTAATATGAAGTTACAGTACATACCTTGAGCTCCTGCGCGATCTTCTCCCGGTTGCCGTACTTGAGGTACTTCTTGTGGTGGAGGCCGCGCTGCTGTACGTAGTTGGCGCCGGGGTGCACATCGGGCCCGTTGCACACCAGCTGCCGCAGCCACGCCAGGTTCGCCGGAAACACCTGCTCCGGGTACGTAAGGATCTTCGCCACGTGCACTGGCACACCCACCTGTAGTATTTACACTCGAATATTATGTGTCATTCGCGTCTAAAGGCAACCATCAGCTCGTTAGCCAAGTTTTAAGCATCATACAAAAATATTATGAGACAGCAAGGTCACCTCAAAAATGAAGCTTGTCTAATGGTAAATGACTTATATATATATATATATATATATATATATATATATATATATATATATACACATTTGCCCTTCATACGCTTTCTGTTTTTACCTAATGGTTAGCTGGTAGAGAATGCCATACGGCATTAAGTTCGCCATTTGTACAAAGTTTTATTGTGCAATAAAGAATAAATAAATAAATAATGTATGAATGAAAAACCGGTTTCCATACCTCTTGTATCTGCAGATTGGGGTCTGGCGAGATGACAGTGCGACTGGAGAAGTCCACGCGCTTCCCGGACAAGTTACCGCGGAACCTGCCCTGCTTGCCCTTCAGGCGCTGCACCAGCCCGCGGCCTGGTTTCTTCGGCTGTAACCAATTATTGTTTGATCACCAGTTAATAGTTGAGTTAGACGGAGCAAACGACCAATAAATACTTGTTCTTTTTAATGTAATTTGGAATCTTTTATTCATAAACAAACTGACAGCCTGACCTGATGGAAAATGATAACTGTCGCCTACAGGTATGAATAGCAGCATGGGCATCACAGATATACAGCCACGTCCATGGTACCCCTTATACAATATAATTCCTGAGGACTATAGTGTTATGCTTCCATACCCTATAATTATATATGTCATATCTCACCCTTTAAACTGAGGGGGGAAAAGGGATTGTTAGTAATAGGAATTAGAAACCTTATTGCTAACAATAAACACTATCAGATCGACCTCCTCGCGGTTCCCCCTAGTAACTATCGTAATTGATTTCTTGTGGAATTTGTCATGACGGGCTAACTGATCTTCCTCATCCTCACCTATCATCCCTCCCTGGTTCCCCGCCAGTGTATCCCGATAGGGCAGGCGGGGTTACCTTTCCATAATCATCCATTAAAAAATCAAAACCCTTTAATTGGAAACACAGCCTTGCAAGCACAACTACTTCACGACAGAAATATGAGTGGGACATAAGTAGTTTATACTAAATTTAGACGTCTCTTACACAAAGTGTCCCTCTAGCAAATTACAGTAAGCGAGGGTACCTGCATAGACAACGGTATGCCGGACATCTCGCTGTTGATGTAGAGGGCGGCGTGCAGCTGCAGGTAGTCCCAGTCCTCCTGCACCAGCTCGCTCTTGCCACCGCTCGCCATGTGCCGTGATATCACGTCGTTGATTAGCAGGATCTCTGACTGCTTCATGGTGAGGTCGTCTTCGTTTCTACATAGATAGAAAGATATTTTTTATCATTTTCTCCAAAAGATTACGAGGGGAGGTCAAGGTTAGTTCGCGGAATAGAGGGGTTGGTGGGGGTTGGTTTACTCGTCCAGGTAAACATGGCCCTGGGAATTCGCGCGCGTATCCCCGCGCGCTTCCCATTGAAGAGTAGGGCGCTTAACATCAGGTGCCTGCTCCATATTTTGAGTCGGAGCCCGCAAGCCGGTGCGGGCCAACGCCGTTGGGGCTCGGTGGACTTCGAAAGGAACCCGGGTCCGCAACACTTTGGCGCGTCGAGGGATGCCGTGGTGGTTTTAGCCGGTAGGAGTACGGCAGTACCCATACGCCTCCCCCGGGGCATATGGGTCTGCATGATGCATTTCCCCACGATAAAAAAAAATTCGTCCAGGTAGTCTCTTGTTAAGCAGCTCATTAAGATATATTCCAAGTTTGAACCAAATTGAGTCATTAACTTTTGAGTTATCGACCAAGTGAATCGGGAAGAAGTCAGCGAGTATGGAGAAAATTTAACACCGCGCCGTTATTAAGTTCCTCACCAAGCAAGGAAAATCCGCTCAGACGATTTTTCAAGAGCTGTTAGGAGTCTATCATATCAATGCACCATTCCACCCTTGCCTGCTTCTGAACATCGGTGAGGTTGTGCGGCACCCAGCGTGAAATTATCCTCCGCACCCGTAGATGCACGTGTAGAATCTCGTGAAAGCTTCCTGATCCAATCTGCAGTATATGCTGAATCTCTTGGTATGTAACTCGTCTATTGTTTTGGATCAAATTTTTCACTGTTAGCACGTTTTCTTCCGTAACAGCCGTCAAAGGGCGACCACTTCTTTCTTCATCCCCAAAGTTAGTCGACCGCGCTTAAATTCATTATACCAACGATACACGGTTGCCTTAGAAGGGCCTTCGTCCATGAATGCCATTTGAAGTCTACCGTACGATTCGTCCCGTTACAGGCGACACTTTAAATCGTAAAAATCATAGCGCAAAAACGTTCTCGACGCAAATCCATTTTTCAATGAGACACGGTAATTTTAATTAGCTCGCAAAAAATGTGGAGGGAAGTTTTGAATTTAGAACGTACCTGTTTTTACTTATAAGTAATCATATTTTTAAATAAATTATAACTGGCCAGTCTCACATACATAAAAACTTTTTCTCGCAATACTTTCTGAGTGACTTGGTATGACGGTCATAAACATGAGTAAATTAATTCACTTTAGATTTTTGTGATACAATTAATTAATATTTAAAAAATGTTTATAAATAAAATATGTAAATAAAATACATACGTGCCAGCTTTCATTTCTGACGCTACACTGGGTCTGATACAAAGTGGTGGAACTGGCAGCCGGGTGAGGATCAAGTCTTCGGGCCGCGTGAGGCTTACGTTCATGCCCAGCAGTGGGATATCCTCGTCTGGTATCCGACGAAATAAATTCAGTACCTGCAAATTATAATACTGGTAAAACTTAATGTAACTTTTAATATTTTAATAAAGTTAAAAGAATATGATCACTTATTTATTTATTAAATTTATCAACTTATTTCTATTATATTTATAAGCTTGATATATCCTCAATTCACTCCCTTAGCAATCACAATATATGAAATATAATAACATTTAATTATTGGACACTCTCTAAATAATTTATTTCCATTCTGTGAAACTCGACAAGTTTACAAGTCAATATATCCAAGTCTGGATACTGGTTCACGACACCAATTTATTTATATTATGTTTCATACAACATTAATATTTGTACTTATGATGAAATATTGTTTGTATTGATCAGGGCAGAATGTTTCCCCATACATAATGAGTATTTATTCAAAAAAAAAAATTAAATGTAACTAACAGTTGTCTAGTAATATCCACAATACACAAATCTATATCTATGTGATCACGCTGAAAACCCCTATAGTTAAATCCTGGTGAATTGGGGGAAAGAGATTGTTAGTGATGTAGTTTAACAGTCCCATTGCTAGCAATAAACTCTATTAGGTTGATCGTCGATCTTCACTAAGTCCCCCCTGAAAACTATTGTAGTTAATTCTTGTGAAATTAGTTACAATGGGCTAACTGAGCTGCTTTCATCCTCACCTATCATCTCTCACTGGTGTCTTGGTAACATATGCTATTTGCGCAATCGGGGTTACCATTCCATTCTCACCCTTTAAATAACAAAGAGATTCCTGATGAACTAGACATGTCAACTAACCTATCTTATCATGCATCACTGATATTTATTTATTTAAACTTCAATGTACAATTATATAAGTAAGAGTACATATGGCGGACTTAACACCTAATGGTTTTCCCTACCAGTCAACCATGAGGCAAGCAGAAAATTTGAAAATTAGGCAGTGCATTTACTATATATTATTATTACACTGATATCCCACCAACACTTCTTATGAAAAAAGTTTATATTGTGATGTTTGTAACACATTGGATGATGTTCATCATATGATATCCGAATATACGAAATACAAAACACAAAGGGAAGTATTGATACAGAAATATAGTCTCAATAGACGGGAGATTGGTTTATTTTCAAATATACTCGCAGAACCACATTCCGGAATGGCAAAGTCTTTAATTACTATATTTTTGTATCAATAATTCCCTTTATCAAAATAGACTACTAAGATAATATGTATTATTTATTTATGTATTAATATTTTAATGGCAATGCATGGGGAGTATCATGGACGTAACAGTATACTCTGTTATGTCCATGGTACTGTTTAATGTTTAGCACTTTCCATCAGGTGGGCTGTTACCTTGTTTGCTATTCTAAGTTGTATAAAAAAAAACTGTTAAAAAAAATATACATACCGTCAATGGATTCAACTCTATAATAAGACCACTGTTTATCATGGCAGCTAGTTCCTTATTAGACTCCTTAGCATCATTGAAATCTTTCAACACTCTCTTCACAATAGGATCAGACGATTTTTTATTTCTATACTTGTCATGGATAATCTTGAGGATTCCAGCAGGGCTCTTCTTGACCATACCGTTTAGAGCATCACACGAGGGACACTTGGTGCACGTTTTGGCCTTCTTGAGCACAGCGGCTCGAAGACTCTTTTTATGTAGATATGTCAGTTCAGGGTGCATGAATTTTCGGCGATAGGATTTTTTCAGGCTCTCCTGCAGCATTACTTTACCACATTCCTGTTAAAGAAGAGGAATTGTAAAACTTTGAATTGTATTATTGAAATAGAGGATGTAACATAGGGTAAAACAATTATTTCTTGTACTCATATAGAATTTTGATAGTGGTTTATAGCAATCAATCTTCTTTGTCCACTTGAGTTTCTATCACCAAGCATTTGCGTTCCATGACTGTGTTTTGGTGTTATAGGCAAAATATTGCAGTAAAGTTATAGGGCATGGAAGAATAATACCTAATTCCTCAAAAATGTATATATCCGAAAGGTAGCACAATATATTATGTGAGAGTCTATGGTACTGTCGTTTATAAGTGACAGTTACCATGTCCCATCAGGTGGTCTCTCAGCCAATTTGCTATACTAAATTGTATATAAAAAAGACAATATTTATAAAGTAATCATCATCATTTCAGCCATTAACTGTCCACTGCTGAACATAGGCCTCCCTCTATTGGGGAGTTTTGCCAGTAGTTACCATGCTTAGCAGGCAAGTTGGCAACCACAGTCAGGCCCTGGAGATATTTTAAAAAAGACGCTGCTGCCCCTCCCTCAACCATAAAGTTCCCTTAAGTTATTTCAAACTACACCTGTGAGAATGGAAAGGATGGCCTATTCTATGCTGGGATCACATGGCAAAAACTAATCACCATATTAATTATTAACTTATCACTGTTAAAAATAGGCTCCTTAAACTAATATAAAGTGTTTAAATGTTGTTTTAAAAAAATACATTTAGTCAATATTGTACTCATACATACATACATACATATTATTATCTGTCACGCCTGTCTCCCATTAGGGTAGGCAGAAACAATGGAACGCCAAATACTTCAATTCAAACAAATATTGAATATTTATTATTTTATTTATTCAATATTGTACTCACTTTACAAATAGTCTGCAGTATGGTGATGATAGAGCGGAAGTAACCAACATGAAACACTGGCAGAGCCAGTTCTATGTAACCATAGTGTCCAACACATTCCGCCAAGCCCAGGCCACAAGTCTCACAGTTGGCATCCTTCTGATTTGTGCCCTGTATTCAAATACAAAAAAAAATATTATTAACACCCTATTATATTATTGAAGAATAAAACTTGATGATATGAGTATTGTTTATACTTAAAATGAGGTTCCCACCACCTATATTAATGTAATTTAAGATATAACAAAACATTTCATTTCATCTATCTCATAGGTTTAACATTACTATTATATATTACTACTATATATTAGCTAGGTAATGCCACATCAAGAAGTATGTATGTACACTTACCTGATATAAAATCAATTTAGATATATCCAAGTACCCTCAAGAAGACTATATGGCAACATTCATGAATGAATATTTTTATTTAAACAAAAATGCAGCTATACAATTAAGTGAACAGTGGTAACTACACTAGGCTCTATACTAGTGGTTACTTAATACATATTTATTGTACAATTTTATCAATTTATTTATCAATTTTTGTACAATTTTATTATTTATTTAATATACATATAAAATTCAAAAAGGAATTAAGTATTTCTGTCAGTTGTCCAGTGCCCATTATTATACCTATGTAGTATGCACTCACAAAATAATGTGCTACCACTCAGACAGTGCAGTTTTTGTTTGTCATCATAACTTACAGAAACTAAACTTAACTTGTTTTTTTCAGTTTGGGTTTTCTATAAATTTTAATTGTTTTATTGTGGAATATAAATAAATGCATCAGATAACTATATGCACCTACAAATTCACAAACCCATAGGTCAAGTTCTGCTTATGTCTATTTATTTATTTACTTGATTATTATTTATTTATTTATTTATTTAACACTTTATTGCACAAACATAACATGATTTGTTAAACAATGTTCAATATGTATAATGTAGTACAAAAATTTATGTGATATTTATTTATTTACCTACCACACCTGGCGTCACTTATTGTTATAATAACTATTCTATCTCTCAACTGGAGCAAATAATACAAACAGATACAAACCATGCGTCGATCCAAAACACCATATGCGGCAGGCACCCTCTGGCCATCTTGTGCATATAGATTCTTCGTGATAACCTGAATGTGAGCAGCATTCTGTATAGCTGATGCACTGTCCACATTAAATGTTACATGGGAACTGAAACAGTGAAATTAATCAAAAAATATATTTCTATAAAAACATTTTTATAATATTTTAATAAATAAATATTTTTATGGGGCTTGGAATGGCCAATAATCTAGTATATCATCTGATTGAAAATGATAATTGTTACTATAGCCATCAACAGCACCTTGGACATTACAGACTAAACTGTAAAGGGCATGAAACCCCAAAGCCGATGCCATTCCTATGAATTAAGATACACAGCTTGTGATTTCACTGCCATATAACTTCAAAACAATACACAGCATACGAGAAGACGACTTTTGATAAAAGTTCTCATTTATTAAATTATACTAATATATTTAATAGTAAAAATATTATGCAATATTTGGTCAATGGCTACCGGCTTCAATAAGACTAAACTTTTTATTACAAAAATCTTAAAATTAAATCATTTTATAAAGGAGGAATCAACCATATGAATGTAAACATAACCTTTCTTACATTTTTCTCCCCACGTAAGTTTCACGATATTGTTCCTTAGGCATTTTTTACAAATAAATTATATCACATTTCACATACTATATAAATATAATTATGTGTTCATTAATAATAAATATGAGTTTTTATTCTGGCATGAATAACAAAAGGAAAGAATTAAACAATACGGGAAAAATAGCATTAAAGGATAAGCAATTTCTTTGTGACATTTAAATGACAGTAATAACAAATCTGTATAGCTGTCAAATTGTCGTTTTGACGTTCCGGATTAACAATCTGAGGGCCTACCATAAAATGTTTTCCGAAACTCCGAACTCTAAAACCAATTCCATCTTATCTAATCATCACCTTATTAGTAGTTACATCGCTAAACACATGCAATTCCATATTTAAATAAAATTACCTAGTTATGAGACTAAATTACAGGAAACTCATTTCTATCTTAGAAAGTGTTCAATATTGCGATATTATCTTCATTAATACTTAATCTTTGTGACACTGTTCATATTTTAATAAACACGATGATTCAGTTATATAAAAATAAGTTTATTAAAAAAGTCATTAAGTGCAATATAATAAATAGATTTAAAATTAGAGACTCTAATCATTCCATAGGTTTTAATAATGTTATTTAGATTTAAATTACAGTAAGATGGACGCGTTCAAAGTATGTATAGTAAGTAGATTTTTTTTCTATCCAATTAAAGAAAAAAAAATATGAAATCAAAAATTTATGATCGCACTTTTAAGCGGCTATACCACTTTATGCATTCTTAAACTACTAAAAAAAGGTAGTATCATTGGTAGATATAGAAATAGATCTAAAAGAATCCAAAAACACTATCTTTAAGTTATATTTAATCAATAGTAGCAAGAAAGCATGTTAATACTTTCACCTAAAAATAATCGACAATGGCATAAAATAAAATAAAAGAAATATTTATTAGATGTATAATGTACTAAGAAGGACTTCAATCTTTATCGTGCATTTAAAGAAATATATTCTATCAGATTATACTATTATATAGTTGTAATATAGTTGGCCATGTGGTTTCGGCATAGAATAGGCATCCTCTTCCATTCCCGTGGGTGTCGTAAGAGCCGACTAAGGGAGGATGAAGGATGGGTAGAACTGAAACTGAAGCCTAACTGCAGTTGCCAATCCGTCTGACAATTTTTATTAATTTTTTATACAATTTAGAATGGCAAACAAGCTCGGCCCACCTGATGAAAAGTGGTAACATGACATGACATGAGTAATACCATGGACATAACAGAGTATACTGTTTCGTCCATGATACCCCCTATGTGTTGCCATTCCTGAGGACTCAGGTATTATTCCTCCGTACCCAGTAAATTAACACCATATCCTACCCTTCAAACTAAAACACAGCCATGCAAACACAATTGCTTTACGGTTCAAACACGATGGAACAGAGGTACCCAAGCAATCAACTTTTGCACAAAGTCTCCCTTTGGCAAGCGTAGCAACTACTGGCAAAACCCCCTAAAGAGGCTTATGATCAGTAGTGGACAATTAAAGGCTGATATGATGATGATGATAGTTGAAATAGTCGAAAACATGATGATTGATGATTTTTATACATACATACATATCTGTGAAGCCTATGATGATAATGATAATGACTTTTCTTATTTAAATATAACTATAACATAATTATAATATTACTATGGCCTTATGGGAAGATTTATGTTCAGCAGTGGACATTTAACAGCTGATATGATGATTATGATGACAATATAATTATATTACGGTATTTAATATTATAGTGTACACTACAATTTATACATACACATATACTCACTTAAACACACTACATAGAATATGTTTAACTTCTTGATTTGTATGTAAATTATAATTATTAATATTAATAAGTGAACTTATTATAGTTATTAAATTTGAAATTGTTTTGCAAAAAAAGACAACTAAATGAAAAATAATCTTTTTTTTTTAATTCAATGTAATATGTTTTAATTCAATGTAAAATTTAAATTTACTTTATTTCAACATAAAACAAATTTATCACACCAAAAAAAAATTCTACTATTTAGTAGTTAAATAGTTCTGTTGACCACACAGTTCATATGTTTCTGGTGGAAAAAGAAGCGCACAGCGCGCCGTTTTTTGGCTTGTCAACCGAAACCACGCAACAATTTTCTCTTGTTATAATCGTGATAAATGTAACGAATTTCCTGATGTGTTATTTAAAAGAGCAAAGTGTCCTACATGCGGTGCTAAACAAAGTGTAATACAATTACCTTGTTATCGTATATTGGACTTAAAACAGTTTTCCCACCGTTGTGACCCGCGAACTCTAACATGCCTCTATTGAAAAGGAAAGCCTTTGAGAAATCGACAGCGTCGGAGTACCTTCGGGACGATGACGAAGTTTTCCACTGTGAGATCACGGATGAGATATTCAAAGACTATGAGTGAGTATTGTGAAATTGTAAAAATTCGCGCATTTTCCGCGGTTTTGCCTATAAAAGTGTGTTTTATCAATGAGATTAACCGTTGCTTTTACATCGGGGCGCTAGTTCGCATAGTTAGACTAGCGTGACATGATGTTTTACAATTTGGACGATGCGCGTCGCGTTTTTTATGTTTTTTACTTTTGTTTATGTCAATATTTGTTTATAGGGAGTACTGTGAGAGGATTATACTGGTCAATTCGATGGTGTGGACATGTGAGATGACAGGAAAGAATAACTTGACATATGCAGAGGCACTGGAGAGTGAGAAAGCAGCCCGAAGGTCTCTCAAAGACTTTCCCATGGAGCTGCGTATACCGATATTGTTTCTGGCAGCAAGGACTAAGAGAAGTTCCTTTGCTGACATGTCTGAGGATGTGTTCAATTTTGTAAGAGAGAGATACTTTGTAGGTGAGACAGTGGAGGCATGCCTGGAAGGTGACATCTGGAGGGAAGCACATGTGTTATCTGTGACTGCACAGAAGCAACATCCTGACAGGTTGGTGCAGCAATTATTCATGTAATTACACAAGTGATAATTATTTTCCAATTATATGTTATTGGGTATATTTATAGAGATTGCAAATGCTAAAATGATTTATTGATATTATTTATTTTATGTAAACTTTTTTTATATTTTTAAGTAAGTGCACAAGTACAACTTCTGTATGTCGTGCTATATAATATAAATACAATCAAAAAAACTCTGTAGAAGTAAACAATTGCTTTATCTAAAATTAATCATTATAAAGAGGCAAGATTTAATTTTTTTGTAAATTTGTTTGTTTGCTTGTCATAATAAATTCCAAATTCCACTGAACGCTAACTGTTAGTTGTTACATTAGTTGCTTATTTATTTAAACTTCATTGATTAATGAAAAGTGTTTTAAAATATGAACTTACTGCTATTGGTATTTATTATTACCCATCCTTTTTAGAAATATATAAAGTGAAGTGTAAAATGGACATTAGAACAGTTTAAAAAAATATATAACATGAGTATTAATTAAACTAATTATGTATTTAATATAATTGCACATTATACATTATTATACATTATAAAATACATAATACACCTATAGACATATCAATTTATTATACATACATACATATCTGTCATACTTATCTCCCATTAGGGTAAACAGAAACAATTGGACACTTAATGCTTCTATAAATTTATTTTTTAAATATAATTGTATTGATTTGTTATTAGAAAAAGCTAGTACATGCCCTTGGCTAATCTAGGCAGTGAGATAAGTAATTTATTAAAATTCCTAAGTGTCAATTCAACATGATCGCTCCAAAAGAGTTACAGTTTTTTTTTTAATGGATGATAATGGAATGGTAGCCCCACCCGCACTATCGATATACACTGGCAGGGCACCAGTGAAGGATGATAGGTGAGGATAAAGTAGGTCAGTTATCCCATCGTGACGAATTCAACAAGAATTGTTCAGGATGGTTTTCAGGGGGAACCACGTAGATGTCGATCTAATAAGGCATATTGCTAGCAATGGGGCTGTCAAACTTCATTGCTAACAATACCTTTCCCCCCATTACAGTTTTATTATCTAATGGGATGATTAAGTGAGACTTTGTACAAAAATCGATTGCTTGGGTACCTCTGTCCCATTCGTGTTTCAACCGTGAAGCAGTTGTGTTTGTATGGCTATGTTTCGGTTTGAAGGGTATTTACAGGGTACAGAGGAATAACACTTGAGTCTTCAGGAATGGCAACACATGGTGGGTATCATGGGTGAAACAGTATACTCTGTTATGTCCTTGGTACTGGTCATTTCTATAGGCGATAGTTACTACGTTCCATCAGGTGGACCATCAGCTTGTTTGCCATTCTAAGTTGTATAAAAAAAAAAAGATTATGGGACATCTCACTCTGTACTCTTGTCTATACAAATATTTATCTATCTTATGATAGTCCATGAGGAGGCTTAAGTATGGTAGTGGACATTTAGTGCTGTAATGATGAACTATTGTCATAATAATAATAAACTCTTTATTGCGCACAGTAGAGATGTATACAAGGAGTATGTATACAGAATGTGCTTATACAAAAGGCGGCCTTATCGCTAAAAGCAATCTTTTACAGACAACCTGGTCATACCTGGTTATTTGCAGAGTAGACATGTAGAACTGTACTTAAATACTAACTTTTTGCCTACTTCACTTTGTATGTATGGATTTTAGTCCGACCTTCCCTAAGAGATGTGTCTTGTGTTCAAAGTGTTTATAGTTATACAGATCTATAGAAGTTTTATTTATTTATTTAAATAACTTTATTGACTTTGGTGCGATATTAAAATATGGTACATAAGGCTGACTTATTGTAAGTAGCATTTTCTACCAGTCGATCATTATTAATGTTTTAGAATCATTATTTATTTATTTAATGCTTTATTGCACTATTTATTAAAATTATAGATACAGTAAACTTTCATGTAACTTTATTTTTAATCATTATCCTTTTTAGGAAAATGTTCAAGCATTTTTGTTGTTTTTGAATTTTTGATCAACAAATTTGCTGTCTTAATTATTCTATGAAATGGGTAGAAATTTATATTTATGTGTGTGCATGGCTAACGGCCTGTATTTTAATCTGTGTGTGATGAAACACCAAAAAAACTATTCCAGCAAAACAACACTACCATCCTCATCCTACTGTTACGAAGTGGAGCAGTTTGATGAGAGTGAACCATCAGCGACCGGCCAGATCGGCACAGCGCCTCATGACCGCGTGCGCAGGCGCAAAGGCGTCTACACAAGGGATAAGAACAGGCTGTTCTTGAAGCAATTTGTTGAATTATCATCCCCGGGTGTCATTTCAATAAAGGTAATGTAAATATGTACTAAAATTATAAAGTGGAAAGATTAAGATTTTTATGTATGAGTGTGTTTGTTTTAATGGATAAATTAAAAAACTACTCAACTGATTTCATAAATTCTTTCATCTATAGAAAGTTACTTTATCAGCAGGTAACACAGGTTAAGTATAATTAATTAAAAAAAAAAACATTAAGATCTCTATGAAAATTACAATAATATAACTCAAGACACCAATATTTGCCTATTAAATCTAATATCATTATCATCATCGTATCAGCCTTTAACTATCTGCTGCAGAACAGAGGCCTCCTCCTGTTGGAGTGTTTTACCAGTAGTGGTCATGCTTGGCAAACAGGTTGGCAATCACAGGTAGGCTTTAAAGGTGAATGCTGATCCCATGACAATTAAATTTCCTTGCTTGCCTTTTACGACGCCCACAGAAAAGGAAGGGATGGTCTATTTTATGCCAAGACCACTCAGCGATAAAAAGTATGCATAAAAATCTGTAATATATTTTTCTCAAACATGCTTGGAAATGTAAGCATTATTTTGACAATCTTCTTCGAGATAAATCAAAATTGCCGTACTGGCCAGATACATGCGGGCAGCGGCCGGCAAAAGTTGTATGAAAATCCATATTTGTCGTGTTTTGCGGCCAGATAAATGACAGTGTAATCTGTCCTGTAATTTAAAAATGGAATGACCTTTTACTTCAAAACATGGCTACCTAGGAGGTAACTAATAAAAGGTTTTATTTAAATTTCGAACTGGCTTGCAAATAGAAAGGTGTTTATCGAAAAAAAAACAAAGGAATATTATGGCGCTTGAAAAATTATTATTATTCGTTAGTAGTCATTGAACTTAAAAAGTAAAATTGTGTTTTTGATTTCCGCGATTGTTTGAGAAAAGTACTATACAAACCTTGGACACAACTAGGCATTAATGGACTCACGTATGTGTGCCTCGGCTACGCCTCGTCCCACATTTGCACGTTCGTCCATCAAAGCCTCAGTTGCTGGCCGCTGCAGTAATATACTATTTTTTGTATAGTTACAGTCCGTCAATAAAAAGTTTGCATGCTAATATTGGCAAAACATGTTCGAACTATAACGTCATTAAAATACTCAGTATGTAGCTACTGCACACACATGTTCATTCAAATAAATTTATTTTTATTTGTGTATAATATTACAGTCACTCACACAAAATCACTGGTAAATGTAACATGTCTATAATTATAATATTATTGTTATAGAAAGCGGCACTGGATAAATACAACATCAGCAAAGTTAGTTTCGATCAGATATTCACTGGTGGACCACCAGAGTTCCCTTCTTCCAAAAAGTTGATGAAGAACAGCTTGTCACCTGCAGCGTCCAAGAACCAAACGAAGCCAAATTCAGCTAACAAATTGAACAAATCCGGCAAGAAAACTAGTCCAGATAAAAAGGGCAGACAGGAGTCCATGGATAAATTTGTTAAAAAGACAGAAAAACCTGAAGGTAACATAACTATTTAATATACAAAGAAATCTTGAAAATTTAATTTTATTATTCATCTTTCTCTTTTTGGATCAAAAGGGATTAATGATTTCCAAGAGACTACAGCATGGGGTTCTTCAAAAAAGGAATAAACAGGTTTCTTTAGGGTCCATAACGCGCGTGTTATCGTCTCTGGTATTGCAGACGTTCATAGGCTATGGTAATGGCTTACCATGGGCCATATGATTGGTTGACACCTCAGTGGTATAATTTTTTTTTATAAATATTGCACAAAATTTAATAGAGCTTACTTCTATTTAATAAAGATTTCTGTTGTATATAATATGTAATAAACGTACTATAAATATATCTAGGTTAAATAAATTTAATTGTAGATTATTCATAAAAATATCGGAATTCTCATAAAGCCCTCTCTTTCTTTTGTGCTTCAGATAAGCATATCTTGAATTCGCATATGGAGTCAGCTAAGCCGTTACACATTGACCCATCAGGATCTTTTATGCTTCTATTTGTGATTTGCTGTGCAGCTGCACATCAAGTGTTCCATGGATTCCGATTTCTCACCTGCTCAGTCTGCACAGTGTGTCCAAAGACAAACCCATCTTGTATAGTATAAGCATTATTAGCATATGTCCAGTTAGGGCACCCATAATGAGTCTTGTCTGTTGTCTGCCACTACTGTAGATGAGTCTATCCCATCTCTCAGCATTGTCGTTTAAGAACTTTCTAGTATGTTTAGGACCCTTCAAAGTCCTCTATTCCTTTTGCTGTTTTTTCTCACGTATTCCTCAAGGGCAGAGTTAACAACACTTGATGCAAGTACAACATATGGTTCAGGACCTATCATTTTTCATTTTTGATCCCCTTCTCGACATTTCATCGGCCCTTCATTACCTTTAATCCCAATATGTCTAGGGACCCATACCGAACTAACCTGTTATGTCTACCCAAATTATTTAGGTTTTGAATAGTATATAATTTTTTTTTTGTGCTAAATTTTAAATTGTAAGTGTAATAGATAAAATAGCTTAGTATAAGGTTTTACTTTTTATAAATAAGGGGTTGAATGTGAATATTAAAAAGACTCCATTTTCCGCGCTTAGCCTCTCATTTGGGCCGTTGTGCGTATGAGTCGTGGCTAGTACAACCAATCTAGCTCCGCCCAGAAGCGCAGAAGCTTCCTGGGTTCTTCACAGGTCTCACGGAGCGACCTCACCGTTCCGAGGATTTCTAAACGTTGATGGACCACAGCCTCACATTCCAGGATTACATGAGCAGCCGTTTCTTCGGCGTCGAAACAACCTCGACATAGAGGGCTGTCTGTGGCTCCTATTGTGTATAGATGTTTGTTTAATGGACAATGGCCCGTTATTGTCCCTATCATTATTTTGAGGTTTTTTCTATCTAGATGTAATAAACGTTTTGATAGTCGTTGATTCAACGTAGGTACATGAATAAGGGGTTTAACTTATATTAATTGCCTTAACAGTAAAACAAAAACCGCCAATTGACCCGGCGGCCAAGAAGAGCGCCCAAGAGTTAGCAGAAAAGATGCGTCGGGCGGAGGACCAGATGCGACAACGTAAGGAGGAGGAAAAAGCAAAGAAGAAAGAGAAAACTGCCCGTTTGCAGGCCTACCTCAAAGAATGGCAGAAGGTCAAAGATGATTTGGAATTAGAAGATCATAAGGTTAGAATAGATTATTATATAATAGTTATATAAAAATAACAGATCACAGAACCTCTTGACTTCTTTAGTACAGGTATAATTGTAATGCTAGGTGCATTGGAATTCGTCGCGTTGGATACTCGGTAGTCGTACAAACGGGAACCCGGGATTCAACAAGCGCCTCGAAGTACGTCGTGTGGTTTTTAGTGGGTACGAATCCCACACACCCCAGCTGCCCTCCCTCCGGCAGATGGGACGGTCTTGTTAAAGATTTTCCACACGTTAAACAAAAAAAAAGTGCATTGGAATTAAGATATAATAAATTCCACAAAATACATATATCACAATGCAAAAAGCTGTCATCCTAAATACATGTCGTATCCAGCGCAAATTGTTATAAGATCCTATCATTGATTAATAAAAACTTTTGGAATTACTTGGTCTAACAAACCCATAATAAACCCATAATTTGAAAACCGAAACAAATGTATTTGAGAATAAAGAATAAACACAGTATAATGTATAAATAAATGGCCGAGTGGTCCCGGCATAGATTAGGCCACCTCTTCCTTTCCCGTGGGTGTCGTAAGAACCGACTAAGGAGGGGCTAGGGATGGGCAGCAGCAGCGTCTCTCTTAAAACATCTGTAAAGCCTGACTGTAGTTGCCAATCCACCTGCGTAGCGTGGCAACTATTGGCAAAAATCCTCCAAGGGTAAGGCTTGTGTTCAGCAGTGGACAGTTAAAGGCTGATACGATAGTGATGATAGTGAATGTATTTTTTTATACATCTTAGAATGGCAAACAAGCTGACGGCCCACCTGATGGAAAGTGGTAACCGTCGCCTATAGACATGAGCAGTACCATAGACATAACAGAGTGTACTGTTTCGCCCATGATACCCCCAATGCGTTGCCATTCCTGAGGACTCGGATGTCATTCCTCTGTACCCTGTAAATTCACGCCATATCCCACTCTTCAAACCGAAACACGGCCATGCAAACAACTGCTTTACGGTTGAAACATGAATGAGATAGAGGTGCGCAAGCTAACGACTTTTATACAAAGTCTCCCTCTGGTATAAATATATGTATATAATAAATATGCAATAATACATATTAGTTCTCCCCCTTCTATTGAAAAATGCGTGACATGTATTTAAACAATCATATTGCTGAAAATTATAAATAAATTGATGAGGTAACAACCCAATATGGAAAATGTTTGGACTTTATAATTGTAATATAATGCAGACTAAATACAGTTTTACATTTGCATACCTCTGCGGGGTGCTGCATGTTATGTGCCTGTATATGTAACTTCGTATTGTACCATGTAACAAGGGAATAAATATGATTTGATTTGAATAAAGCAAAATTAACTTTACTTATACTTGTACCAACATGTATAAAACATGATGGATGGTAGCCTTTGGCACTTGGTCCTCTCTGCCTATCCCACAGAAATATGGCGTGGAGAGAGATAATAGAATAAAATATTATTTTTGCTTATGTGCACATTTTTATTGGTCTTGGGATTTTTTATATTAATTGTGCTTACAAAAAATATATCAATTACTTATCTAGTATTCACAGTACAAGCTTTGCTTAGTTTGAAGCTAGGTGGCGCTTTCTTATATGTCCAGTGATATCATTATTTACTTTACAGATTATACCAAAAGGCACACCAGTTGAAATCGAGGGTATACCTCAGAAGCACTTTGGTGATTTCCTCTCGGTCCTGGAATTTGTTTCCATATATGCCGACGTCCTGAAAGTTAAAGACGTGTTCCACAATGAGCTGGATCTGGAGACGTTTCGGAAGGCTTTGACAATTGAGGAGCATGCTAACTTGTTCAGTGATTTAGTACAGATGTTCCTCACGACAATTTTCTCTCTTCAAGAAGACGAGGCTGAAGAGTATAATGAGAATAAAGGCATTCAGGAGTCTACTGGTATGTTTTCATAAAACAAAAATTGTATATTAAATATATTGTTAATGATGTGCGTTTGCGTTTTGATTATGAATGGATGATGATGATGATGATGAATAAATACACCTAGTATTTGAAGCGGTTTAACTAGGGTAAATAAAAAATAATAATTTTGAAGCGTTGATATAATATAAATTTGATGTAATGCGCTGAAGGTTGTTTTGCGAGTAAGTTACAATTTTGAAACCTGAAAGGTCATGTAAATTTCTCCTGCGTTATGATTGGCGTTCTCGCGATGTCGTGATGAGCGACTCTTGTGACTGGTTGATGTTGTGTGTGATTATCTATTAATAACTTAGCAGTCATCCATTGGTTTTACCGCTGAAACCGCTTCATTATACGCAGGAGTGAATAATATTCATGGCATATTGTTAATGCTTTAACAATATATTAAATATGTTACTTCTTTTATGCATTTTGCTTTTCTTTTTGCGATACATGTTTCACTTCTAATCGAGGCGTCTTTAGGCAAATTATTAGAATGCTTCACGTAGCCTAGTGTTTAGGATTCTAAATAATTTTAATAAAATAACCAGTGATACCGACTTCCATAAGATAACACTTAGTTCAGTAAAATACCTTACATAGTAGACAGAGATAACGAATTGCCAGAAATCTCCAAACTTAACCTTGTACTTTTAGCTTATTATTTATTAGATTTCATATTTTAATATTTATTAAAAAAAAAATATTTATGTTTCCAGAAGTGAAAAAGGAGGACACAGAAATTGGCATGAACACGGCTGTGGAGCTGGCTACGAAGGCCAGCAAGTGGTCGCAGACTTACCTCGGCACGCCACTTAGCAAGCTGCCCCTGGACGCCACTACTGTCAGTGAAGTGTTAAGGTAAGCAAATGAACCTGATATGAACCAACATGAAGCTTATCCTGTATATAATATTACTCATTAATGATTCATTCGATTTTTAGCTTTAAAAGCTTCTAAAGAATTTCACTGGAGTTCTAATGATCGAATTTCAGTCTCTGAATTTGTATTTAGACAATTAAAAAAATATATTTTCGTTTGCTTCTTTTTCTGAGAGATAGGAAATGCTATTGTTACCATAACCCATGTAAACCATGCTGTTGGTACCACCATGTTTCTTCCTTCCACATGGTTCCGCCCCTGAAAACTGTTGTTTTAATAAATATAAAATATGTATGGGTATTACCAAAGGGAGACTTTATACAAGAGTCGATTGTTTGGGTACCTCTGTCCCATTCGTGTTTCTACTGTGAAGCAGTTGTGTTTGCATGGCTGTGTTTCGGTTTGAAGGGTGGGATATGGCGTGAATTTACTGGGTATGGAGGAATAACACCTGAGTTCTCAGGAAAGGCAACGCATGGGGGGTATCATGTGCGAAACAGTATACTCTGTTATGTCCATGGTACTGCTCATGTCTATAGGCGACGGTTATCACTTTCTATCAGGTGGGCCGTCAGATTGTTTGCCATTCAAAGTTGTATAAAAAAAAAAGGAGTATGTAGCAATATTTGTGAGTTTACGATAATAAATCCCCACCCCCCCCTCTCTCTATCTCTGGAAGGAAGGAATTTCAAATGTGTCACAGGAAACAGTAGCCAGTAGCTTAGAACTCTTTCTTATTGTTGCCTGGAGACTTTTGTACATCAGTGGACAATGACTGTAACAATAATGATAGCTTGATGTTTCACATGAAGTTAACCGCTAATTAATAGCTCACTGAGCAGTGGTTGAAGTGCATGGTGTGGTCCCTCGCAGGCTGCACCTGCTGTCGTCGGGCGCGGCGCCGGGCAGCCGCTGCGCCACGTGGCGCTACCACCAGCGCGGCGGCTACAGCAGCGCCGACGACGCCGGCCTGGCGCTGCGCCGCCGCCGCCCCGAGCTGCTGCGCCGCCTCGCCACCAGCCACGTCGCCGAGCTCCACCTCGGTACGTCGCACTGGCCATTAAAAACAAATACAACTTACATATTATACATTACCAGCTGACTCGACAAACGTTGTTCTGCCATATATTTTTTTTTTTCTGGATAAAAACACCCTAATCACCTAGCAGTATGAAATATACTTTACAAACCTATTCTCATATTTATGAAATATATATAAACAATTTCATAAAAAATCGGTTGAGATGTTTCGGAAGAGTTCGACCACAAACATTGTAACACGAGATTTTTAAATATAAGATTTTATATATATGTAAATTATGGATTTTACTTTTCAGATGACAAGTTGCAAATCCTCCAGTGCCTCATGCATCAGATCCTGAGCTACGCGACGGTTCGGGACATCATTGAAGAGAAACTAGAGGAGCTCAGGAACACTAAACAAGCGCTCAGGTTGTTGACGGTGAGCACAGCTGAACTATACATAATTATAAATAACGGCAATTATTAACTTGCTTTATTACTATACTTGAAAAAGACATTTCTTAATTCTGGGCCCAGACACTGTAATGTTCCAAAAAATTGGGAAAAATACTACAATTAGTAGAAAAGTATAATTAAATTTATTTATTGAGTTGTTTATGGGTACAATTGTTCTTTTTTTTTTTTTATTTATTTGTCATAATTATTACTGTAAGTTATAATCTATTAACAAGGATATAGCCATGCCAAGGACACCATAAAACTTTTAAACACATTTCTAAAACAACACTCCTACTTAAAAAAAACCTTTTGTCGCTTCTAGGCAAATGAGCGCAAACGAGAAGCACAACTGATAGCCGCCAGACAAGAGCTCAAAAAAGAAGCGGCCGCTAAAAAAGAGGAAGGGAAGTTAACTGGGGAAAAAGCTAAGGCCGTCGACGAAGAACTGCGACTGGCGACAGAGAAACTGAATAAGGAGAATGAAGTTAAAAAGCACGAGTACGAGAAGCGATCAAAGGAGCTGCAGGTGGCGCTGTTCGATTATACATCGTATATTGGTAAGTGCAAGACTGATTGTCATTTGATATAATTAAACACTAATATTATAAAGAGGAAAGATTTGTATTTTTGTGTGTATGTTTGTAATGAATAAACTCAAAAACTACTTTGTTGATTTCAAAATTTCTTTTCCATTACCATTAGAAAGCTACATTCACCCTGAGTAACATAGGCTATATTTATTGCTAGAAAAGATTAGGGATCCTTACTAAAACTTTAATAATGTAACTCAAGGTGTAAAAGAATGCTATAAAATAGGTATCGTCGCGTGCGCTGCGGAAACTATTGTTGATAAAACAAAAGTATGTTCTACAATATTGAAGAAAATATCAATAGCTACAAAAAACTTAACGATACTATTATCGTTATGTCACAATAACCAGTTTTTAAAATGTTGTAAAAATGTCCACCTGTTCGAAGCCTGGATGGGCCGCTAGTATAATATATGTGACAAACGTTTGCTGGGTGCGCAGGGTCGGACCGCGCGTTCCGCCGCTACTGGGTGAACCAGCGCGTGCCGGGGCTGTTCGTGGAGGCGGGCGACGAGCCGCGCGGCGGCTGCCGCGACAAGCCCGTGCCGCCCGCGCCGCCGCACCCCGGCGACACGCTCGCCTACGTCGCCGAGCTGTTCGAGAGCGAACGCGAGAGAGGTCAGTGCCCCGCACCCCGGCGACACGCTCGCCTACGTCGCCGAGCTGTTCGAGAGCGAACGCGAGAGAGGTCAGTGCCCCGCACCCCGGCGACACGCTCGCCTACGTCGCCGAGCTGTTCGAGAGCGAACGCGAGAGAGGTCAGTGCCCCGCACCCCGGCGACACGCTCGCCTACGTCGCCGAGCTGTTCGAGAGCGAACGCGAGAGAGGTCAGTGCCCCGCACCCCGGCGACACGCTCGCCTACGTCGCCGAGCTGTTCGAGAGCGAACGCGAGAGAGGTCAGTGCCCCGCACCCCGGCGACACGCTCGCCTACGTCGCCGAGCTGTTCGAGAGAGGTCAGTGCCCCGCACCCCGGCGACACGCTCGCCTACGTCGCCGAGCTGTTCGAGAGAGGTCAGTGCCCCGCACCCCGGCGACACGCTCGCCTACGTCGCCGAGCTGTTCGCGAGAGGTCAGTGCCCCGCACCCCGGCGACACGCTCGCCTACGTCGCCGAGCTGTTCGAGAGAGGTCGGTGCCCCCGATCTGTTGGAGTGTTAGTAATGAAGTCGACCTCCACGCGATTCCCCCTGGAAACCATCGTGATTAATTTTTGATGAAGTCATCACAATGGACTAACTGACCTGCTTCATCTTCACCTATCATCCCTCACTGGTGCCCCGCCAGTGTATCCCGATAGCGCAGGCGGAACTACCATTGCATTTTCGCCCATTAAAAACAAAACTGTTGGAGAGTGAGTACTAAAGTACTCAATGTCCCCGTCTTCAAGGTAGGTATTATTATCATTTCAAATGTAAACTATCTACTTCTGAACATAGACTTGTCTCATAATAAGGTTTTGCCATTAGCTGCTACACTTGGCAGGCGAGTTGGCAACCGCAGTTAGGCTTTGATGATATTTTAAGAGGGACACTGCAAGCTCAAAGTTAGTAGAGTATACAAAAACGAGTCGTCGAGGTGCATCTTCATATTTTCTACAGTACGTATAGTGGACGTAAGGCCTTATTGGCATTGTTAGCTTTTAAAGCAGTTGATTTTTTACCATCATTGTTGATGTATGCTATTAAATAACACTTGAATTGTATTATGAACAGCGGGCAGCGACAAAGAGAACGACTCGGGGCCGAACTCGCGCGGCGGCTCGCCCAAGAAGCCGCTGGCGAGCGTGAACGGGCTGCACAAGTTGAACGGCCTGGACAGCAACACGCAGCAGCTGCGCGAGCTGCTCGTCTGCACCGGCGACCTCTCCTCCTGCCTCGTGCACGGCACGGTTAGACACATTTTTATGTATATTTATTATTACATGCTTTTGACCTGGATGGAATTATGTATTTTTTTATGAGTGAAAATGGCATGGTAATCGCGCCTGCGCTATCGATATACACTGACGGAGAACCAGTGAGAAGTGATAGGTGAGAATGAAAAGACAGATCAGTTAGCCTGTCATGAAGAAATCAACAATAAATTAGTCACGATAGTTTTCAGGGGGAACCGAGTGGAGGTTGATCTAATAGGATACATTGATAGCAACAGGGACTCACCTCACCATTATCAACAATCTCTTCTTCACCCTATGTACCTATGTACCTGGCAAAATACTGGCCAGAGATGTCAGAGAATAATATAGTTGAATTTATTTGACTTATGGGCTCCAGGGAGGATGGCAAGGAAGTTTTGCTTACAGTATATATTGCTAGCAATGGGTTTATTATTAAACCCTTATGCTAGTAGTCGTATATTAATCTCAATTCCGTCGTATTTGTCCTATAAAGGCCGTAGCAAGGTCTAACTGACCTAATTTTATCCTCATTTCATTTACACTAGTGCTGTACTATTGTGTAGACAAGCTCACCATACTATCTCCATTCATTGAAAAATGAACAAGGGTTTTTCCAAGAGACTACAGCGTGGGGTTCAAAAAAAGGGTCAGTAACGCCCGCGTGACGCCCCCTGGTAATGCAGGCGTTCATAGGCTACGGTAACCGCTTACCATCAAGGGGGCCGTATGGCGGATCGGTATTAGAGTGTTGTTGAGTGTTGTCGTTGGCACAGGGCGAGCACCGGCCGCAGTGGTGGGTGTACCACTCGGCGGAGCAGGTGGAGGCGCTGGTGGCGGCGCTGAACCGGCGCGGGCTGCGCGAGGCCGAGCTGCGCCAGGCGCTGGAGCTGGACCGCCGCAGCATCCTGCACTGCGTCGCCAAGTGCCCGCTGCACCTGCTCAACCCCGCCGCCGCGCCCGTCAGTCGCTTAATATCCCACCACTGGACTCTGTCCTTACATTGAGATAGTTATTAGGGGACGTTCAAGTATTACCTTACGTAATGGGGGGGGGGGGGGGGGGGAGGAAGGCTCTAGTAAAATGTTACGATGCGTTACAAGTGCGAATAGATGAGGGATTCGAACAATGCGTTACGTAATTTTTTTTAAATTTAATTAAAAAACAAGGGAAATAAAATCTCCCAAGCTGGCAACACTTTTCGTTTATGTTTTACGGGGAGTCCCTCTACTGTATTGTACGTCATTTTTGTTGTTGACAGTATTCGTTAGTGTTGTGATTATGTTGTTATAAATATGATCACATAGATGTTAGATAACGTTTATGGAATGGGAGAGCGACACAGAAAACTGTTATGACGCGTTATATTGGAGAGGGTAAAAATCTTTATAAATTGCGTCACGTAATACTCGAACGTCCAATTAATGATTTAATCATAAGTACCACTGGTGCACACTTGAAAAGTGCATACTGTCAGATATATTTCTCAAATTGTTGTTTATATCTTGTAGTAGGCACCAGATGATATTGGAGTGTTCCTGCGTCATCTAACCCTAAATGCATACATTATTAGTATATATTCTAAATTTACAATAAGCAACAAACTATATAACATATGATGCGTATTTAAATTCGCTCGGCGTATGATCAATTTTACGCGATTTCCGCCTTTGGAAAAATATTGTAAACGTCGAATTGTATATTGTCTTATGTTACACAAGCATCACTTTTGGTGAATGTTTTTTGTTGAACATTTGCTTTATATTTATTATGGGTATTTGTGTGATCAAAGATACATTGACAGATATATTGTTTACTTCCATGTTACGTCATCATATATTACAGATCGTTTTTGATCACGTGGTACCAGATAAAAGATTTTTTTTTTCTTTTGGGAATTTTATGCATAATGAATAAAATATTTTGTCAGATTAATTAATGCCGCTTTTAAAGTACCTAGACTTTGCGGATGGCGGATTATATTGTCAAATAGTTTATTAATTACAATGGTTACATAAAGATTTATGGGGAAGTCACGTAGAAGTGGAACTCATAGGGAGGAGGCTAGTAATGTATAGACGAGTCCATTAGTGACAAATTGATCTGTACGCAGACGGTCGGCGCGGCGGCGGCGCCACGCCGAGGAGCGCGCGGCGCGGCGCGGTCGGCGCGCGCGGCGCTGCCCGAGGCGGCGTCGCTGGCCGACGCGCTGGAGCTGTCGCTGCGGGACCACATCCTCGAGCTCGAGGAGAAGATCTTCCACGGCTGCCTCGGCGTGCTCAAAGTCAAGGTTGGTCAGGGGACCGTACATTCCCGAATCATAAAGGTGACACGCTCAGACTGTAGAATAAGCTTCCTATTGAGGTTTTCCCTTTAAACTACAGTGTGGGTCTGTTCAAAAAAGTTGTATTAAGGTTTCTTCAAGGTCAACAACATGTGATATTCCTAGTGATGCGGGCGTTCATAGGCTGCAGTGACCGTTTACCATCAGGACTATAGCTTTATATCACAAAGTTGTCACTTTTATAATATTAAAAAAAAATATGTCACAATATAAAATAAAAAAAAAAAATAAACATTTTTACCACACCATCTAGTATTATCAAAAAAGAATTGTTGTAGTACGACACTAGATGGCGTTCGATATAAGAAGACAAAGTGCCGATTTTCATAAAAGGAACAAATCATTTACGACGTCCATTATTCCTAATTATATAACTGATTGCACGTGTAAACAGGACCGCGAGGCGTGGCGCGGCACGATCATGGTGCGCGGCTACGACAAGCAGGCCGAGTACCTGACGTGGGGCCCGCAGCGCCAGTATCGCGACGACTACCACCTGCCCAACGGCGTGCTGCGCCTGCCGCCAGGTAACACCATACACCACCACCACTACCTGACCACCACCACTACCTGACCACCACCACTACCTGAATAGCCATACTCGTGAACGAGTACTGTAACAGACTCAACAGTTTTAGAACCACCGATAGATGATAGGTGAGGATGAAGCAGGTCAGTTAGCCCATCGTGACGAATTCAACAAGAATTGTTCACGATAGTTTCCAGGGGGAACCACGTGGAGGTCGACCTGATAGGGCATATTACTAGCAATGGGGCTGTCGAACTCCATTGCTAACAACCCCTTTCCCCCCCCCCCCTCCTTTGGGTCACTATCTATACACAAATAACATTTGCGCCTAAATTTAATCTATATAGCTTTTTTTTTTTACAACACAAGGGGCAAACGAGCAAGCGGCTCACCTGATGGTAAGTGACTACCGCCGCCCATGATCACCCACAACACCAGGAATATACTCTTTTCTTAAAGGTTATGTTGTCATATCGGTTCTCTCTCTGATATAAACGAATTGAATGTAAATAACATTTTATATCAGCATCATTACTTGGTTGTTATTGAAAATAACGGTAGATGGCGTTGTAATTTAAAGCAAATTTGAGATGAAAAGAAAATCAATTTTTTTTTTATATAAAACAATATTAATAATAATGTCCCCACTGCGAGTTATTCAATTTGGCTAAATACCAATACATAATGATTTACATAAAATATTTTCCTATCGTTCCTTCAGATATAGATGAGACGGATGTGAAGATCCCAGTTAACAAGTACCGCGACCCTGGACACTACTTGGAGGCGCCGCGGGCCAACGGCGTACGACCTGACCGGGGCACTCCGGGGCTTGTTCGGACCCTCGCCTCCGCCCTGCTGCAGGTGGAGCAGGCCCTGCACCACAAGTACCTGAAGCGGCCGCTCGGTACGTACGTCACTTCCTTTCCATCCTGCTGCTAGTCCCTGAATTTCATCACATAAAGAGCATTTTTTTACACTGTAAAACAATAACCGTAATTATAATATTTATTTTTATCTATTCTCGTTAAATATCTATGAAAGAAATAAGATTATTACAAATATTTTAAGATTGCTTGGGTACCTCTGTCCCACTCGTGTTTCAACCGTGTAGCAGTTGTGTTTGCATGGCTGTGTTTCGGTTGGAATATTATTGATATAGCGTGAATTTACAGGGTACAGAGGAATGACATCTGTGTCCTCAGGAATAGCAATGCATGGGAGGTAGCATGAGCGAAACAGTATACTCTGTTATGTCCATGGTACTGCTCATGTCTATAGGCGACGGTTACCACTTTCCATCAGGTGGGCCGTCAGCTTGTTTGCCATTCTAAGTTGTATAAAAAAAAATGTTAATTAGGCAAGATTTTCATCTAATATCTATCTGTCCCTTGAAATTCCCATAGGGGATTGACGTTAAGCAGGCGGCCGGTCGTAAAACTATAAGCCAAATCTTTTTGTAATATGGATAAAAAATATATTACGCCGACCCCAAATAATAATCGGGATAAGGGTAGGAAAATAATTAGGATCTATCTATCCCTTGACTACAAGACATTTAATAGAAATAAATACAATTCTGGTAATACAGGTCTGGATGACAAAGAACGCAAAGACCGCGAGGCGAGAAACAAGCCGCTGGACCTTGAAGCGCTGGAACGCTGGGAGGTGTCGCTGATGGAGTGCCAGAGCTTCGCGCAGATCGTGCTGCACCTATTGACGCTCGACTCCAGCATCACCTGGTCGGCCAGCATACTGAACGCGAGCTGCAGACTGTGCAGGCGGAAAGCGGACCCCGACAATATGCTTCTCTGCGACGGATGCAATAAGGGACACCATTTGTACTGCCTCAAGCCGAAGCTTGCGGTAAGTCAACATACCTTTAACGCCCCATGCTTCTAGTCCCAAAAGAAGGGATTCCTCCACCATGCGTTTTTGTAGATATTTTCTTTGTACAGCCAAAGTATGGACCCGACGTATTTCCGAACAAAAATGGCATACCAGAAGGAAGCTTTGTACAAAAGTCGTTTTCTTCAGTACCTCTGTCCCATTCGTATTCCTACCGTGAAGCAGTTGTGTTTGTTAGGCTGTGTTTCGGTTTGAAGGGTGGAATATGGCAGTGAATTTACAGGGTACAGAGGAATAACACCTGAGTCCCTAGGAATGGCAACACAAGGAGGGTATCATACGTGAAACTGTATACTCTGTTATGTCCATGGTACTGCACGTGTTTGTAGACAACGGATGCCACTTTCCATCAGATGGACCGTCAGCTTGTTTGCAGTTGTAAGTTGCATAAAAAAATTGAAACTTACAAGAAAAAGTATACTCCTTAAAAGGCTGGCAACACTTGCAATTTCTCTAAAGTTGCGACTGCCTATAGGCGGCGGTAATCACTTTCCATCAGGTAAGCCAGATACTCGTTTGCCCGTTATGGTATATATATATATATATATATATATATATATATATATAATTTTAAATACACCATCGGGATCATCTTTGCATAATGGTGGAAATTTCCATCATAACATTGAATGCCCAAAAATTATATAAAAGAACAATTTCACTTTAAGTTGATCGTGTCTGGATACCTTTTTAATGTCCATTTCAAAAACAAAAACCATAGCTGTCAAATTTATTTTTTTAACCATTTTTCTTTTAATTTTGAACATGAATTATATCACCTTGATTTATTTCACCAAACAAAAAAATCATGCAAAGAAGGGTTAACGCGATGAAGTTGTTTTTGTACGTACTGTCTGTGCCTGTACTCAGTGTGGTGATCACGACGTGGTGCCACGTCGTGATTACGGCAATAAAGAAGCAAGTATGTAGGTACTGTTTACCTGTAAAGGCTTTTTACATAGTGTTAAGTCCCGATAGCGTATTTAAAATATATGTAAACAACGCGATAGTTTAAAATTAACTATTACAATGTTGGCTAGACGAATTAGTACTGTCTTTCATTATTGGTAGAGTTTTCCTCGAATCTTATCCTGGATATGCAAAGAGAGACTACATTGTTTTCTTAAGCTGAATGGCAGCCATATTGACAGTGAATATTTATTTATTTTTAATTTACAAGTGTGTAATAATTATTTTAGTATTGGGTAGATTGGTTGAATTCAATTATGCTCTCTGAAATGTGTGATAATGGAGTTTGGATGGCTACAGTTGACCAATGACTATTTTACTAACACTTTTTTTTATACAACTTAGAATGGCAAACAAGCTGACGGCCAACCTGATGGAAAGTGGTAACCGTCGCCTATAGACATGAGCAGTACCATGGACATAACGGAGTATACTGTTTCGCCCATGATACTCCTCATGCGTTGCCATTCTGAGGACTCAGGTGTTATTCCTCTGTACCCAGTAAATTCACGCCACAACACGTGTATAATAATGATCATTGCTGGTGGAATGTGGTCGGAATTACAACCTCAGACAGCTATCCTGAGAGATATACCGTTATACAATAGTAACGTCAATGTAATCCTTAGCCAACCTGGCAGCCGCAATACCAAAAACATATCTTCATCATCATATCAGCCAATAACTGTCCTCTGCTGAACATAATCCTCCTCGTATTGAGGGGTTTTTGCCAGTAGTTGCCACGCTTGGTAACGGGTTGGCAACCGTAGTTAAGCTTTGGTGATTTTTTTTAGAGGGACGATCCTGCCCTTCTCTCGACCATTACGTACCCTTAGTCACCTCTTAAGACACCCACGAGAAAGGAAGAGGTGGCCCATTCTATGCCGGGACCAAACGCCTATATTTGTAGGTAATGGGTCCCCTGACAACTGATATGACAATTTCCTATGAGGCTGTCATAGTCATCCACGTGTACTTTTTTTTAACGTCTGGAAAATGCTTTATGCAGACCCATACACCTTGTGGAAGGTAAATGGATACTGTTGGACTCCCCCCGTAAGGTGGGGGTGTACCCACCAAAAGCCAGACGATATACCCTCTAGGTGCCATATGTCGGAGACATGGGTTTGCTTTCGCACTCACCACATCTCCGACGGCAGCGACCCGCCCCCAGATGGTAAGAGCAGGTCTCCTCTCTCAAGATAGGGTGGATGGCGTGCTCACCCTACCACTCGGGGGAACCCACGTGTACTGTAGCCTCAATAAAAAAAAAAATAAAAAAAAAAGTATAATCATGTACATATCCCCACTAAGGTGATTTATCTATATTCCATGCTGACAGTCCGGTCCCACAAGAAAGGTATGCACCCATTGTATCTGTCTCTGAACTTTGTTAAATAAATTCGTTTTTACTTCACCCTGTAAAGGCCAGCAACACGTCTGCAGTTTCACTGATTTTGCGGGTGCGTATGGGTGGCGGTAATCACTCACCATCAGGTGAGACGCATGCTCGATTGCTCCCTACGTTATAAAAAACGTGGCTCCTGTATAGACAATTTTATATAAGCTATGTCAAATAGATAGATACTCTTTATTGTTTCCTCTAAAAGATTACAATAGTAAACTTATTATAGATACAAACAATTACAAGAAATGATCACAGTGAGAGAACAATGGCCGGTCGTATCTTGATGTCTTCGTGTACAACAAAGACTGTTCAGGAACTTAAAACTAGGGGGCGTTGCCCTCATATGATTAATAGTAGTAATACAGTAAAAAATCGATTGTTTTTTTTTTTTTAAAATAGAGTGAATGCATTTATACATAGGTACCTACATCAACGATCAACATTAAATATGACATTAAGCTAGCTAGTTGTAAAAAAAAATATTGTGTAATATATACTTATAATAAATCTGTAGAGAGGTCAAATCTGTACATGAAATATATTTCCAAAATAACTATCAGCGGGTGATTAGTGATCGATACTGGTGCCAAAAATGCAATCAGTAAAATTTTTGCCTGTCTGTCTGTATGTTCATTATAGAAACAAAAACTACTCGACGGATTTTAACGAAACTTGGCACAATTATTCTTCATACTCCTGGGCAGGTTATAGTATACTTTTCATCACGCTACGATCAATAGGAGCAGAGCAGTGAAGGGAAATGTTGGGAAAACGGGAGAAGTTAAGCTTCCATCGCGTGTGCAGCCTTAATGTCCACTTTTTAAAGTGTAAAAATGTCCATCCGTGCGACGCCGGGACGGGCCGCTAGTAAAGAATGAATAAATTAACATGCATTTTTTTATTCAACTTTTAATAGAAAGTACCGGATGGCGATTGGTTCTGCGATCAGTGCAAACCGAAGGAGCGGACTCCTCGGAAGAGGAGGAAACTGTTTTCCGAGGAGGATCTCGAGGAGGCGCTGGATGATAGGTATGTATTACAATTCATATAATATAATAGATAGATAGATAGATACTCTTTATTATTGTTATTCAAGATATAAACAATTACAAGAGATAATCACAATGAGAAATCAATTGGCGACCTTGTCTCTAAAAGCTATGTCTTCCATTTTAACCCTTTGAGTGCCGACGAGCGTCATAGCGCTCGTGAAATCAGTCGCTGTTTAGTTTGCTGTAAAAAAAAAATATTAAAATTGGATAACTTTTGGAGGAGATACAGTTTTTTTAGAGACGTGGGTACAATGACATCAAAACGAGAAAGATTTCTTTGGCATTTTTAAGTAGATATGAGGAAAAAACAGTGGCACTAAAAGGGTTAAATCTTAAATACATCTAGAAAAATAACCTTAATATTAAATTCACAATTAAGTTTGTGTCCGAAAACAAAATTGTCAGACTATATGTATAAATTTTTTTCCTAAACTACCATATATGTATTATCTTATGAAAGTCCATATCACTAATTATTTCATTAGAATTATGTTATTTAATTACTATACCATTATTTTTTATTGAATGATAATGCAATGGTAACCCCTCCTGCGCTAACAGTATACGCTACCGAAACACCAGTTTGAGACGACAGGTAAGAATGAAAAGGCCGATCGGTTAGCCCATCGTGATGGATACGCCTGGAATCCAGCACGATGGTTTCCAGGGGGGACCACGTGGAGGTCGACCTGACAGGGTATATTGCTAGCGAACTAATAGTCCGCATTAATAACAGAAGCAATAAAACGATCATGTAATTGTAGACATAGTACGTTTAAATAAATACACATAATGTTAACAGAGATTTAAAAGAGTAACTGTTGAGTTTCTTGCCGGCTCTTCTCAACAGATAACAACCTTCCGAACACTGCAGTAGATTAAAAAAAAATTAAAATGTACAAGCACTTTTAAATCGTATTTTTTTAACAAGTCTATTTGTATAAAGATGGCTAGAATTTGAATTTAAACATATTGTCTTTTTTTTTATACAACTTAGAATGACAAACAAGCTGACGGCCCACCTGATGGAAAGTGGTAACCGTCGCCTATTGACATGAGCAGTACCATGGACATAACAGAGTATACTGTTTTTCACCCATGATACCCCCCATGCGTTGCCATTCCTGAGGACTCAGGTGTTATTCCTCTGTACCGTGTAAATTCACGCCATATACCACTCTTCAAACCGAAACACAGTCATGCAAACACAACTCCTTCACGGTAGAAACACGAACGGGACCGAGGTACCCAAGCAATCGACTTTTGTACAAAGTCTCCCTCTGGTGTCTATTTATAAGAGAATTGATGTTAAAGCAATTAGGTCTTAATTCATACGAATGAAGTGTCTAGTAGTATTCGATAAAAAAAAAAACAACTTTTCATTTCTGAGTTATTTCCTTTAGAGAGAGAGAGAGAGATATTTACCTTTAAATCTGATGACAGTGTAAAGTCTAATCAATCAACACGGTTTTTTTTTAATGGGTGATAATGGAATGGTAACCCCACCCGCGCTATCAGTATACACCGGCGGGCACCGAAGAGAGATGATAGATGAGGATGAAGCAGGTCAGTTAGCCCATCGTGACGAATTCAACAAGAATTGTTCACGATGGTTTCCAGGGGGAACCACGTGGACGTCGACCTAATAGGGCATATTGCTAGCAATGGGACTGTCAAACTCCATTGCTAACAATCCCTTTGCCCCCTTCAATCAACACGGTTTAAATGCAGCAATGCACGCGCTAATCTTTTTAAATCCCTAACGATCGCACTAGTGTTCGGGATGCATTCGGATTTCTTTCGTACTGCACTGTTGTATTATAGTGTCGTACAGTTCTCTGTCAGCATTTCACGGCAACGCGCGCGTCTCTATTCCAATCAATTTCGCCAGCAATCATGGAACGCAGTGCACGCTCCTAGTAAATATTATTTTAATATATTTTTTTAATTAAACTTCTGTGTGGAAACCGTACAGGGTCAAATTCATGTTAACCCAACAATAGCACAGTGCTGCCGCCAATTTCTTTGTTTTTTTTTAATGGGTGATAATGGAATGGTAACCCCACCTGCGCTATCGGTATACGCTGGGAGGGCACCAGTGAGTGATGATAGATGAGGATGAAAACAGGTCAGTTAGCCCATCGTGACAAATTCCACTAGAATTAATTAAAGATGGTTTCCAGGAGGAACCGCGTGGAGGTCGACCTGGTGGGGTATATTACTAGCAATAGGTTCATTAGACCCTATTACTAACAGTCCCTTCCCCCCAATTTCTTTATGTAATTTTTATTAAGTAACTTCACACATATACTGAATCATGGCGGTTAGCGTCACTCATTATACATTAATGATTATATTACCGTGAATTATATTTATATATTATACATTGTTATATTTAAATCAACATCTTTTGTTAGCGTCAATTGTACGCGCAGCAGTAAGTACATTATGGTCCTTCGAGCCTTTTGACCTAATGTGGTCAAAAACAGGATCAATAGCGAGTCGGTTACACTACCATTTCTTAATAGCAATACTCTTTGAACTGTCAGTGTAGTGATCATTTTACAAGTGATGAACGATGATAGAAACTGTGATCTGTATTTGAAGCAACCGAATTATCAGTGAAGTGATCATAAGTGATGAACAATGATAGCAGAAACGGTGATGTGTGTTTGTAGCAACCGATTTGGTAATAAAAGCCTGATCTGCACTATAGAAGACATTTAGAAATAGCAACCAGCATATCAGCAAATTGGTAACAGCAAATATCTACCATCAGCAATATACAGCAATCATATAAGCATCTGTAAAGTAAGATCTACCCTTTTTTATTTTTTCCCATCACCATCATCATCATATCAGGTTTTGCCAGTAGTTGCTACGCTTGGCAGGCAGATTGGCAACCGCAGTTGGACTTCTGAGATGTTTTAAGAGGGAGGGCTGCTGCCTATCCCTCGCCTTCCCATAGTCGCCTCTTACAATATCCACGGGAAAGGGACTTTTTCCCCATATTTTTGTTTAATTATTCAACATGGAGGACATTATTGCAACACAAGAACGGATATTGGAAGTAGGAAAAGCCTTACTCATCTTCCTACCCTTATCCCAAACATTTGGGGTCGGCGTAATATGATTTTGTCCATATTACAAAAAGATTTGGTTTTTAGTTTTAAGACCGGCCACCTGCCTGTCGTCAACCCTCTTTGGGAATGCATTTGATTGTAGTTTCCGCCACCGGCGGTGTGGAGGAAAGGATTGAGGAAAAAAGGAAGGGAACGTTGGAAATGCGTAAAGGAAATTGGTGAAGGAGAGGAATAAGGGACTTATGTGGGAAAGGAAAGGGGAGGGGGACACTGCAGTTGCGGAAAGGACTGGGACACTGCAGCGGCTCGGGAGGCCGGGGTCGCATACCTGTATGCCTTTATTCTAGAATCAGACAGATTTCTAGAGAAGAACACCGCTGACGCCTAAAAACCTTACTAATTTATTTTAATAAAGGACTGCAAAGACCCTAATTCATCAGAAATAATTAATATTTATTTATTTTTATTTATTTATTCACAAGAAACATGGTAAGTGTATAGATGTTACAATAAGTATAAGTCCTCATATTTCGCCATAATTAGGCGTGCTAATATTAAAACTTAAAAAGAATAAATATTAAATGAGTCATTAAAATTTGAAATGTTATATAAAAAAATACATAAATACATACATAAATAGGAAACTAAATACTTTGGACACTTGTTGGACCGAATTCCAAACTAGCCGTCATGAATTAGCGAACTGTAATGATCAAAGTCATGAGTATTTAACATATGTTTGTTTATAATTAAGAAACCAGTACTATAATAATTCAAGGCCATTCATACAGCAGTCCCTAATATCTGAACCAAAATCAAGGCCGCCTTATCCAGAGCCAGGGGACTACGGATATCTTAAATCGCGGGATATCGTTAGGACAACACATAGGATGTAAGAAATGATGGTATAAGGCAGGGGGAAGCACAAAAGATCCGTATGGGTCGACGTGCATCGGCTTAGCTGACCCCATATGCGAAAAATAAGATAAGATAAGGCCGCCTTTCCCATTAAAACTAGCAATCTTTCAGTTTCCATTCAACCATCAACACTTGGTTCTAGAAGTTTACGTTGAGTCGAGCAAGAAGGTTCTTTCCCTTCAATAAATATTGCTATCGAGACTGACAGTAAACCAGATTTAAAGTAAACAAAAAAAAAAAAACTGAATTCGTGCTTTTCATCATACATTCTCTAATATATACCTTAAGAATATTACAGAGAAATGGGGGATTAAGGATATTTTATCAAATGACCAATCAGGGTGGACAAAAATAGACTCACTACACTGGGAATTAGATAGTAAATACAAATAAACATTTTTAAAATAAGAGCAAAGGTATAAAGCGATAAGAAATCAGTTAAACATAAATATAGAGTCAGCATAATATCATCGTGAAATACTACACCGCAGTTGGAAGCTCCCACGTTTCATGGGAATTACCACCAGTGGTTATCATTCCAAGATTTATTTAATGAGTCTGTACACATATGTAATAATAAATTCTTGATCTAAGTTAAAAAATGCAATTCTTAAAAGGAAAGTTGAAAAGAGAGGCAGAGAAAATAGTGCATTACTTGCATATTACTTAAAAAAAAAAAAAATTAATGGCGTGAATTTACTGGGTACAAAGGAATAACACCTGAGTCCTCAGGAATGACAACGCATGCAGGGTATCATGAGCGAAACACTACTCTATTATGTCCATGGTACTGCTCATGTCTATACGCGACGGTTACCATTTTCCACCAGATGGACCGTCAGCTTGTTTGCCATTCTAAGTTGCATAAAAAAAAACATAAATACAAACAAATACAAAATACATTAAATAAGTCATCAGTTTTACAAGTAGTTATAAAAAATGCATGTCCATTGTGTAATAAAATGCAGTGAATATTTTATAGCAAACATTTCCTCATGTTACGTTCGCTTGTAAAACGAAACGCGTGTGAAATTGTAATTGTCCATTAATTATTAATTCAATCATGGCAGTAAATGCTTTTCCGAGAGACGCTGTTGTCTATGGCAAAGTCAGCATATTTCATTATCAAACGAGGCTTTCATAAAACCCAATACGATCTCGAAGCTTCGAAAACACGTGAGCGACGTCACTCAAAATGTATCGAATAACACATCCGAGCCTCTAGACCAGTGATTCTCAACCACTGTGCCGCAGCACTTTTGTGTGCCGCCAAATTTTGCAAATATTTAAAATTTTTGTCATAAACTATTTATGCAGTGTGTTGTAGTAAGTAAATAATTTTTATCTTGTTCTTTGTGTGCCGCCAAATTTTGAAATCGTTAAATATGTGCCGCAACAAAAAAAAGGTTGAGAATCACTGCTCTAGACAAATGACAAAAGAATTCGTCGATGGAATCGACACCGCTAGCGAGTCCGTGAGTTGAATGAGTCACCCGGCGTTGCTATCTCATTCTATCTTAGCAAATACATCAAGCATTTAGATATTGTGTGTGGCAAAGAAAAGGAAATGACGTAATTTTTTGCTTGATCAGCAGTTTGAAGCACGTAAACAGCGACAGTATGTCTCAGTCTTATCACTAACGTTGGATATATTGCGAATAATTTGTTTGAAATATTGTACCAAAGTTTTGCAGATAAATTTAGAAACGATATAAAATAATTATGCATGAATGGAACAAGCATTTAGTGAGTTTATGCAAGAAACAGCGAGCGTGTATGAAAAGATTGATGAATGTGGAAGAAGCGAAAGAGGTTTGTTTGAATCGAAACATTTGGCGTTCCATTGTTTCTGCCTACTTTAATGGGAGACACGCGTGACAGATATGTATATATGTATGTATGCAAGAATCAGACCTCAATAGTCGAGGCCGAGTATATTTTGTGAAAAAGAAGGGAAAATAATATGAAAATCCAATACAAAGCATTTCATCATCATCATCATCATATCAGCCCTTAGCCGTCCACTGCTGAACATAAGCCTCCTTGGGGGGTTTTGCCAGTACCACGCTTGGTAGACAGATTGGCAATCGCAGTTAGACTAGAGATGTTTTAAGAGGGACGCTGCGGTCCATCCCTCGTCCTCCCTTAGTCGCCTCTTACGATACCCACGAGAAAGGGTGACCTATTCTATGCCAGGACTACACATATGTAAATATAAATACAAACTATTTAATATATATTTAAATAACTTAACAAATAAATTGAAAATACAAATTCAGAGAGAAGACAATATCAGTGAGTCAACAATGTCAGCAATTGTACCAAATAGTTCCATAATTTATTTATAAAATATGCAAATTAATTTACTTGACTATGTAGTGGATGTTTATCATACATTTAATTACTTCGACTCAATTAAAAAACTTAAATTAAAGAAAAAATGGTTAAAAAATAAATTAGACAAGTATGTTTTTTTTTCTGCAATGGACATTAAAAAAGTCAGGATCAACTTAAGGTGAACTTGGTATTTTATATAATTTTTAGGCATTCAATGTAATGACGGAAATTTCCACCATTATGCAAAGAAGGGTTAGAAAAAAACACAGCAAGATGAATATTTGGAATACATTCCAAAAATAGAAATTCCTAGAATAATTGGTAGATAATTACTGGTAGAGATTGCCATCAGGCATTAAGTCCGCCCTGTATAAATATGTGTGCAAAAATATAAATAACTAAATAGGTTATTCGTGGGTCCTCGAGCCCCATCTTAGACCACATCATCACTTTCCATCAGGTGAGATCGTGATCAATCATGGGACCCTTCAACAGTAAAAAAATATATTTTTTCAATCTGATCACACTTACCAGTACAATTCAATCTAATGATATTGACAACAAGGTAGAGATAAAATAGGTTGGTGATCAAATTCAAGATTGAAGGAAGTAGAACCAATTACAGATAGCATATCATACCACGATGAACATCATAACGTGGCAATCTACCTATTGTATGGTACAGCGTTTATGATGAGAGTTATCTGAACTCGCCACCGCGTAAGGCGTCGACAGCAATTCCGACAGTGACCTCGCAGGAAATGACGTCGACAGTGTGCGTGGTAGTGTACAGTGTGCGAGTGTAAGTGTCCAGTACGGAAATATAAAAACACTGCGATCATTACAAGGACAATGAAATATAATCGACAAGTGCACGTAAACTCGAGTGTCCAATCATTTCTTATTTTAAAATGTTTCATGGTGTTATTCTGTTATTCCGGTCTGCAGCATGTAGTACGGTATAATCGTACAGCGTCGAATTAATGTTAAATCAGCAGTAATGATAAAATATTTCATAACAATCGGTACAATACGACGATAGTTGTTGTGATCTTCTAGTACATGTTATCACCTGTATCAGGAGCATCGTGCTGCCGCCGATTCCTTTATTTTGTATTAATATATTTAGTAATTTCACACATATATCGAATCATGGCGGTTATCGTCACTCTTTAGACATTAACAATTATATTACCGTGAATAAATCGTTATTAACTTTTAAATCAATATCTTTTACTACTGTCACTTGTACGAGTAGCAGCAGCCCGTACAATTTCAGTCTGCATACCTGCTTACCTAGTTAACGCTTTTGTTTAAAGACGAATACTGTACCGGTCGCGTGAATTTCAGCTCGTCGTCGTCGTGTTCGTCGTCGACGTCGTCATCGTCGCCGTTGCTGTCGGCCGTGTGCGGCACGTGCGGCAGCGGCGGGCGGCTGGCGGCCGCGTGCGACGGCTGCGGCGCCCGCTACCACCGCGAGTGCGCCCGCCCCGCGCCGCCCGCCCGCGCCGCGCGCCGCTGGCGCTGCGACGCCTGCCTGCACCCCGCCCGAGGTACGTACTGCCGGCCCTCCGCCTGCCTGCCTGCACCCCGCCCGAGGTACGTACTGCCGGCCCTCCGCCTGCCTGCCTGCACCCCGCCCGAGGTACGTACTGCCGGCCCTCCGCCTGCCTGCCTGCACCCCGCCCGAGGTACGTACTGCCGGCCCTCCGCCTGCCTGCCTGCACCCCGCCCGAGGTACGCATTCCGCCCACTTTAGGTATGTAAGAGGAGCCGAGTGGGCCATGTCCTACTGAAAATTGCCTGATGCCCACCCATTCAAAGAAATATCTGTGAATATTTACTCACCTTTTATATCAATAAACTGAATGGTAAGTACAGTGCTTCCAATTTTATAGTACAAAAAATCTGTTCTGTGTTGACACTGAAACAGATCATAATTATTTATTTTTTGTATCTGAATGATGTTAAATAGTATTTAATAATTTAAACATTAATCACTTGAAGTGACCCCAAATGATCAGATTTTTACATTGCATGATGATAATATCCACACAAAATTGCAATTGCGACAGTTCGTGCCTAGTATTAAAAAAAAAAACAACAGACATAGACAATAAGCTAACGTGTACCGTAATGTCCAAAGAGCACAGCGTGCGGCGGTGCGCGGCGGCCGCCATCTCCAACATCCACCAGTACACGCGCGCGCTCGACAGCCGCCGCAACAGCTCCGGTTCGTCTCGCCATCGCTCTCGCCCTCATCCTCACACTTCGCCACAACTATGCCGCTCTCGCTCTAACACGCAGCACGCTATACAGTTTATAATCGATTCTGTCGTACTCTTAAATGTTGTTCAATAAGAATTTACTGAACAAGGTGTTATTTTGCAAAAGTCAATATCATTGGTTAGTCAATTAGAAAAAAAATCAAATGAAATTAGGTGAAACGCGTGTCACAACATGTGCGTGGACTGAATGAAGGTCGGAGATTGATGACTAATATGGAAGGTCGTACAGCTTCTATAATAATAGTCAATCTTCGACTATTTGGTAGTCGCACGCGTACTAAAGGTAGCGGAATTAAACAAATTAATTCTAATCGACTAACTAACGTTCGAGAAGAGCCTACGCACATGAGGATAATTGTCGAGGTATATTTTTTATGAAATAGAACACTTAGTAATCGTATGCGATATATTTAACATACATAATAACTAATATCATTATATTTCTCATGTGCCTTCTACTAAGCGGAGTCGACTTTCAGTCTGTATTATTTATGAAACAAACTGGGTGTTCTGGGTTGTTTCATTCTTGTAAATCTGATTCCTCATACAGAGTATGCTTGCTTGAGAACCAACCTATTGATGTGATTGTCTAGCGCTTATTATTAATAAAATAACAATATAATTATCCGCAGAAAGTAACCTCAGAACTACTCCACAGCACAGGCAGGCCATATCTACCTTTATGTATCATTAAAGAATTTTGAAGAAATGTCTTGAGAATTATATAATATTTATTTATAGTATATGTATTTATAGATAGATACTCTTTATTGTTTCCTCCATAAGATTACAATAGTAAACTTATTATAAATATAAACAATTACAAGAAATAATCACAATGAGAAAACAATGGGCGACCTTATCGCTAAGAGCGATCTCTTGCAGGCAACCTTTGGATGGAGAGGAGTAATTATAAACAATTTGGTGGGAGGCACGATGAAAAATTTTGTTAGTTCTAAATATGGGAGATATGATACATATAATAATATAAATATTATCCCTACTCATTATTGTATTTATATACGTATTTATGTAATATTTTATTATATATTTTAATATTTTATTTAACTGTATATTTGTTTATGTACACTAAATATTAATAGTTGTAGCACTTCAGCTGCCCGCTAGCAACATGTTTTCTTACTGTACTGGGTTGACTGGAAGAGATCTCTGTCAGAGATAAGTCCACCCTTGTTCACAATATTTATAAATGTATTATTTTATATGTAAGTTACAAGTGCAATAAAGAATATATATTTATATATAATATTACAGAATCGGTTTCAATATCCTCGTCGTGACTGCCAGCTCATCTCATTACACTCATTACCGCGCTTTCGGTGTATATTATCGCTTTGACAACCGCCATATTTGCCGCTCTTTTTTTTTTAATTGACACTTCACCTCTATGGTGTCGCCATCTGTCTTAAAACTTGGGTCTTGGTTTCTTTTGCCTTACTTTGCTACGGTGTTTAACCATAACGTAATACATAATATAACAAAATAATAATATTTCTTGTAATTATAACATAGTTATAATACGAACCTCGCACATAATTGTGTTATTATTGGATGGAAGTGTAATAATCAAATTAATAATACCATAATTTATTTTATTTCCTGAAAAATAATCTTTTATTTACTTTTAATATTTCTTTAACTTTCCCATGGGTGTTGTAAGAGGCAACTAAGGGAAGTTAACGGTCGAGGGATGGGCAGCAGCGTCCCTCTTAAAATATCACCATAGCTTAACTGCAGTAGCTCACTCGTCAGCCAAGCGTGGCAAACACTAGCAGAACTCTCAAATAACAAAATCAGGGAAAAATCGCCCCCCAGTCCCCAGGTTTTATAGGTGGCTCGGGACCGTTCCTTATGCCCGTTCTCCCCAAATTTCCTTGTACGTTTGCAAATCCCCCCAACGGGGAGGTCTATGTTCAGCAGTGGACAGATGATAAGCTTGATAAGGTGATAACGATGAGCAAGAAATCTTTTGTGCAAGTATCTGAGAGAATGTAGACCAGGGTCTGCCAATCGTTTTTGTGCCATGCCCCACTTAAACATTTCTAAAATTTTATGCCCCCATACATAATTTTTTCTCACAAAGTTTGACGACTCTAATCGCCCAGTTGATGTTTTGGTAACGTCAAATGAAATTATACCTAATAAATATATACAGCATTTTTTTTAATTAACTTTTTTTTTTTTTTGTTAAATTTGGCACCGATATCTACTAGCATTGCATTTAAATGGCCCGGAGCAAGAGGGTTAAAATCGCTTCGAGTCCATTTTTCAATTGCCCTTCCTTAACTATCAAATTGCCCCCCTGTGGAGCGTGGGCCCCACGGTGGGAAACACCGATCAAGACTGATAAGTCTATTGTAATCAGATAGATATTCGTGTATTACGTGCTTTTATCACAACAACATGTATTACGACTGCTTTTGAATAAAGAAATAGGCATTGATCTAATTCTCTGGATATGCCCTGATGAGTGGATTTATTAAGGTCCATATAACAAGAGGTCAAGTTTTTTTGCAGTTGAACGTGGAAATAAAATAATAATTTATGAATTTCAAGCTATAATATTCCGTATCTTATAAAACCAAGATCGATAGATTCATCTCTAAATCAGCATGCGTTGTATGTAATGTGCTAACACTACATTTGAGCTTCAAGACAAACCATATTTTGTTGTATATGTACTATATAGAAGTAACATAATATTATATTTGTACAGTCTACAACCGTACATATCGCTCGAGCAGCATTTTTGTCTTATTCACATTTTAACATAAATAATAAAATCAGTTCATGTAATAAATAATTTGTCATTAAAATTAACTGTATTTACTATTTTATGAATAGTGCAATAAAGTGTAAAATAAATAAATAGATAAAGTCGTGTATCGACCCTGTGTACTCACACATCATCAATATATTATCATCTTTTATTTACGATATCTTATCAGCAGCATTCACAATGTATGAACCATACATCTTCTGGTCCTTCGAGCCGGACTACCTAACACTATGTATGTTCTGTATTATTCAGCAGATTCTGACGACAGCGAGTACAATACAGCGCTGGTGAAGCTGAAGGGGCGACGGTCGCGCGGCAGCAAGGAGCAGTCGCCGCTGCAGAACGGTGGCGCTAAAAGAGGGCGAAAGTAAGTATTTTTTTTTTTACAGATAGATATATAATTTATTTGCATAACTTACAGCACACAAATAACAACAGACTGTATGTCTGTAAAAAAAGTAAAAAGAGATAATATAATGCAAAAATACATTGCTCCGCCCTCAAAAGAGCAAAGTACTGATATTCTGTTGCGGCCGTTATTAACATATTTTATTCTTTATTTAAGAAATATTAATTTACTACCATTTATCAAAATTTGTTTCGGTGATCCGAAACTAAGTTTATGATAATTAAAATCATATTAAAGATTTATTTTTAATACATTGTTGTCTAGAAACTGTAATTCAAAATATGTAAAGAATATTCCTTCTCTTTCTCTGTCTACAGTCTACATTTTCTGTATGCTGTAGGTACATGTGCTATATCTTTAAGTTAATTTTTCTTTCTTTTTTTTCTTTTTAGACCAAAAAGTCACGCAAACACAAGCACAGGCAGGAGATCAAAGACATCTCTAACGAATGGTGTAGACGGTATGTTTGTTTTGTTTATAGATAAACCACGAAATCGATAATCATATGTATGCATTGTGAATATATAACAGTTTTTATTTTCCATTATTATATAATTTTCCATGCAAAGTATATCAAGTAACAGTTGACAGATCAACATCAATTGGCAGTCCAATCTGTCGGTAGCAACGTCTTCGCTTCCGCGCACATGAGAAAGATTAATACGTCGGCCATTACTGTTACATTCTGTCAATAGATTCATATGCCACTCGTATATGGTACTGTACTTCTTTTTTTATATTTTTCTAATACAGAGGAGCGCACGAGCGGTAGGAAGCGCAGCGCGCGGTACGAGGAGGCGGAGGGCGAGGAGGAGGACGGCGAGCTGCACGCCGAGCGCCTGCAGCAGCTGCTGCGCGACGTCATGAAACACCGCGACTGCTGGCCCTTCTACGAGCCCGTCTCCACCGACGATGTTAGTGTGCACATAAGATTCTGACAACATTTAGAAATCCTCGGACAGGTGAGGTCGCTCCGTGAGGCCTGTGAAGATCCCAGAAAGCGTCTGTGCTTCTGGACGGAGATGGGCTGGTTGTACTAGCCAAGACTCATACGCACAACGGCCCAAATAAGAGGCTAAGCGCGGAAAAGAGCATGCAAATTTACCGGGGGGAAGGGATTAGGAATGAGGATCTAACATCTCCATTGCTAGCAATATACCCTATCAGGTCGATCTCCATGCAGTTTCCCCTGGAAACCATAGTGGTTAATTCAACTGGTAAAACAAACGTGAATTTCATCACGATGGACTAACTGACCTGCTTTCATCCTCACGTATCGTCCATAATTGCTGCTAATGTGCCAGCGTATACTGATAGCGCAGGCGGGGTTACCATTCCATAATTAGCCTATTAAAAAAACGAGCATTTCTATGGATAATATATTAATCTCGCTAACTCTATTCGATTACGCTAGTAAGGCAGAGCACCTGTGAGGGATGATAGTGATGATGAAGTCAAGTAAGTCAGTAGTCCATAATGATGTATTCACCAGGAATCGTCCAAGATGATTTCTTGGGGTGCAGCGTGAAGGTTCATTAGTGGATACGCCAACGACTATTACTAACAATTTACTTCCCCAAACCTTTACTTTATTTCTTTTGTGGTCAATAAAGTCATTTAATTAAATAAATTTTATTAAAATCGATTCAGTAGTTTAGTTTTTAGAGAAAAATAACTAATTTTGTGACAATTGAAATAGTTTTTTTTTTTTTTTTGTGAGACACAATCTTTAATTATTTGGTACTGCGCCCAGGTGCCGGACTATCTGGATATAATCGAGCAACCGATGGACTTCAGCACGATCAAGTCGAAGCTGGACGGCGGCGAGTACGCCACGGACGGGGAACTGATCGCGGATGCGGCGCTCGTGCTCACCAATTGCTACACGTACAACAAGGACACACATCCGGTTGCCAAGTGAGTGATATTATTTGTCTAAAATTATTGTCTATTGTTTTTATAAAATATTGCCATTCCTTCACCATTATGTTCCCTTATTGGCCTCTTACGACACCCACGGCGAAGGAGGGAATGGCCCATTTATACAGTATAAAAGCTTTGTTTTTATGCATATCTAAAACTATTAATTACATGGTGAATATATGCTTATAATTATAATTACCAGAGGGAGACTTTGTACAAAAGTCGATTGCTTGGGTACCTCTGTCCCATTCGTGTTTCAACCGTGAAGCAGTTGTGTTTGCATGGCTGTGTTTCGATTTGAAGGGCGGGATATGGCGTGAATTTACTGGGTACAGAGGAATAACACCTGAGTCCTCAGGAATGGCAACGCATAGGGGGTATCATGGGCGAAACAGTATTCTCTGTTATGTCCATGGTACTGCTCATGTCTATAGGCGACGGTTACCACTTTCCATCAGGTGGGCCGTCAGCTTGTTTGCCATTCTAAGTTGTATAAAAAAAAAATCTTAAAAATCCTGTCGTTCAATTGTAATACTTATATTCCGTCACTGTATGGAGATCTGTTAAGAGACTTATGAGAGGCAAATATCCAACAAATCACAATGAAAATATAGCTTTAGTTGAATAAGTGAGACTATTTTGACTAATGAAACTTAATATTTTATTTAACTGTATATTTGTTTATGTACACTAAATATTAATAGTTGTAGCACTTCAGCTACCCGCTAGCGACATGTTTTCTAACTGCATTGGGTTGACTGGAAGAGATCACTGTCAGAGATAAGTCCACCCTTGTTCACAATATTTATAAATGCATTATATTATATGTAACTTACAAGTGCTTTAAAGAATATATACTTGTTCTGTAAAAGAAGGTTATTATTTATCTATTTAAAAATTAGTATTAAAAGAAGAATACTTATCGAAAATGGCCTAAAGAAAACGACTTTTTGTTTCAGAGCTGGTTGGCGGCTAGAGAAGTACATTAACAAGCGATGCGCGGAGCTCAAGCTGCCGTCGCTGCCCGAAATCCAGCTGGACCAAGCCGTGGAGGAGGGCGAGGAGGAGGAGGAGGAGGAGGCGATGCTGCGACATAAGCGGGCCGCGTCGTCGGAGGCCGAGGCGCCGCGCGCCAAGCGCCCCAAGCACAAGTGATGGGCGGCCGCGCCCCCGCGCCTTCGAGACTACATCACCTACTGATGAGTCGTTGCACATTTTATGTGTGACTCCCAAAAACCACCAAATGTGATAGTGTTTTTTCTACATACACCGAAGAGGTATAGTGTAAATTTTGCAGTGACATTGATTATATTGTATCAGTGTACATAGCGCTTAATTGCTGTACTAGTTAAATAACAGTACATATGAGTACCTAAGTTTGATACTTGGCTCGTTCCATAGACAAGGCTATATTGGTCAAACAATGTGTACCGATTTCAATTTTTATTCTGTACTTGTACATTTGAATACAGTTATTTTTACAAACTACCAACTGCATTCATTACAATAACAAAATAAGTAGTGTGCGTATTGAACTGATAATGTCTATAACAATAAAAGGAGTTACCGCTTGCAAAATGATGTAATCAATCCGCATTTTGTAGATTCTAGTAGTAATGGAGGGTTGTCCGGTAATGGGACAGTAATTAGATAGGCACTTATATTTATTCACCAATATGTATATGTTTATTTGGGAACAGATCGCTCAGCAGGTAAATTTTTTTAACTTAATTTTTATGCAAATTTATCCATCAAGTTGCAATATTTTATTGCAGTTTACTATCGTAAAAATTAATAAAGACGATCCAGCTGGACTGGTTGGATTTAAAAAAAAATTACGTTCCATAAATAATTCCTAGATTCCTACTTGCAACATACTCTGTTCCTTTAATATTCCTTCTTACGATGTCTGGCTGACCAAGGAACGAAAAGATATGGTGACAGCGTATTCTTATGCCATCACCACACAGACGAACACTAAATAAAAAAATAAAGAATAAAGAAAGATCTGCTCGCTCGGTCTAACCTCACTTTAAGAAATACAGTACAGAAAACTCCACTCCGCTAGACATGTTCGCGCGAACATTCGGCCATTGCCAATTGATTTTGTCGCTACTGTGGCTTAGTATGTGATATATTTGTTTTCCCGATATAAATTGTATATGCTTAAAAAAAGCTTGTTTTGGAATGGATAAAATGTGAATAGGCCTTAATTATAATTAAATTGTTAAGTAATTGTGATGTAACGAACAGATATGTAATAATGTAAATTATACGATAAATTAATCATAAATTAGCGTTAATTGAATTCGGATATGTCAATTGTAATTGTTTCGAGTTGTTGTCGCATTTCAATAAATATGATTCCCGGCTCTGATGTACCACCAACTTCATTGGAACCAATTTATAAAACAAGGATATCTTAATGCTGGAACCACACCTGCGTTTATCGTCGGACACAATTCGTGCTCAAGTTCCGTTATATTTCACCACTAAAAAGTTACAGTGTTAATGTGGCTGGTTATAAAATGGCTTAGATATTCTGAACAACAGTTATCTAATTTTTTTTTTTTACTTATTTATGATTACTACATTCTTATCTCTCTCGTTCTTATCATTCATACGACTCATTACAATTTCTCAAAAAGATCGCTGTTGATTGCCTTATAGTAGTTGTCTTACGTGTGTATTAGTCCAAGAACAAAGTAGTAATAGACGAATATGACTTTTCCAACCACACAGTACAAGTACGATATTTAGTCATATGGTCTAATACTGTTTGAGGTACCGCTACCCGAACAAATTTAAGTCCGAATATTCGCGACAATACCCAGTTATAGTAGTAACATCTGCATGCATATAAAGTTATATTCGAACGTTACGCAAAATTAAATTTATTACTATATTTTCACAATTACAATGAAAATGCAAAAATGCCACGCCCATGTACAGCCAGTACTTGAGATATTTAAAACCTTTATAGAATACTGATGAAGATGATTTTTTTTTTCTTTTGATTTCTTACGATACGCAATATTCTACGAATCAAGGAACGCCGAATTCGTTAAGATTGCCGCATGTGTGGAACCAGCATAATGTGATATCAGTAATGTTTGTTGATTGATTTAGTTGTACACCAGAGTTGATCATTGCAATGTAATATATAATTCATAAGGTAGGAAAAGGTATTAAATCGTGTAATAAATGATTTAGAGATCCATTATAGGGTGTTTTTTCATATTAAATATTTAAAAAGACCGCATACTTAAAAAGCAGACGGCACACCTGCAATGCTTCTGGTGTTGCGAGTGATCATGGGCGGCGGTAGTCACTTACCATCAGGTGAACCGCTCATTTGCACCCTGTGTATTAAAAAAAAATACTTCATCCGCCATTGTTATTTATCTACTATATTGTTTACATATACCTACATTAGAACAATAAGTTCATTAAAATTATACAGGGTGGAAGAGACAGGTTTGGACAAAACGAAAACGGCTGATTCAGATCAATGGTCTAAATCAGACGGCAGATTATTTTCCCATTGGAAATACACCACAGTTATATAATTAACGATTCTTATTTTTGACGCCGCGCAATGTATTTTGAAGTTTTACGACGTACTCCACGCGACGCGGTATATCCACACCGCGCGGTCAACGGCGCTTCTTCGTAGGTAGTCCTCGCACGCTTGTGGCGTTAACGTTACACAGTTTATTCCGCGCGTCGCGGTAGAATTTTAATACTAATATTACATTGTTGTTTTTTTTTTATTTTGTAATTTTTCACTATATAATTTTATTATATAGTTATAAAAAAAAAAAGTTAAAATTTTCAAGAAAGAATTTCTATTGATTTTCAGTTCAGAATAATGGTCTGAATTCACTGTTACAGCTATTGCCAACCTGCCCCTTATACCCTGTATATGGAGACGACTATAATCTCTGAGAGGGTAGCTAGAAGCATTTGTTGGCCATTACCAACATTGTGGAGAAATTAATACACATGTTCAAATTTCGCCAAGCGTATTATCGGCAAGGAGGCTAACTTACCGCCGTAACTCGAATTTGGTTTGCTATCGCCGGAGAGTTTGAATAATTTAAAATGATACAAAATTTATTATATTAAACTTGAAGGTAGTTATAATAAAATTTAATAACAGAAAAACCGTGTTTAACCATGTATTATATTGTCTGTGGCCATGTACAGATCCTATTGGTCGGCAAGGCGCGCGTTACCATGGTGTTACAGGCTTCCATAGACTATGGTAATCCTGTTTACCAATAGACGACCGTATGCTTATTTGCCACCATAGTAGTATTAAAAATAATGGCTTCACTTGCTTTACAATGGTAGGAATATTGACATGTTTTGTTACCCCTTAACTCCGCAACATTTCTTAAAGATCTTGTTACTAACTAGAAAGTGATATCGGTACTGCGTGGGTGACGTTGCTTTATAAAAAAAAAATATAAAATCCATGTTGGTACGAAGCAGTAAATGTTTATGGCCACCTACAACTTAAATATTGCATTTACTATTTTTTAATTTTAAAGTTCTTCTAAATATGTGCTGAAAATGTTCCATTTCTTCTTTTTATCTCGCTTTTTTTTTTATCTAAGTCGAAACTTGGTCATATTTATTTTATTTCTAATTAGTTTCACTTTCTATTATATTTTTACACACCTTTGCTATCTAATATTTACTTTAAAATACTTTGCATTTGTTCCACAATACTGATAAAAGTGTATAAAATTATATGTCTATAAATTACTACATACATAAGATATATATATAGCCTGAAATATAAAAAAGTAATTTAAACCGATTCCAAGGCGCGATTTTTCTAAACTTATTTCCAACCCAATTTGATGGTTTAGCGAAATAACTGTTTTATGGGCTGTCATATAATGTATATATAAATAAATAATTCTAATAATTATCACTTGATCTATTAGAAATTTAATTCATAATTGAGTAATTATTTACGATAAAGATTTTGCGGTCATATCAAATTTAAATACAGTGAACGCTCTATATAAGCAACATTCTTTATATTTTATTTATTCTACTCAGCTTAGTTAGTAAAAGATATAAGTAAAAATATTTTCCAGACGGTAAGTAGTTTTATACTCCTTTTTTTTCCCCTATAAGAAACTTTTCCCAATAATTATTGAAAGTGGTTCAAATGAGTTGCTTATATGGTATAGAGCGTTCACTGTATTATTTTACAGACAGGCTTAGAGAAATATCGCCTCGGAATCGACCTCAATAGTATGCGGTCCATACACTAGTACTTAAAGCAATGTAAGTCGCAAATTATACTTTATTGATTCGTCTGTAGCGCTGTTATTGCCTTGTAATCTTATAATGAAATCATTACTGGCCATAAAAGGCTTATATAAAAAATAATATGTATATAGACTATACCTACTATACTAGAGACCTACATGTGATTTACTTTAATGCGTCCTGTCTGAAGACAACTGTAAGCTTACTCTTGAAATAAATACCAATAAATCGATATTGATATTGAGACGTTTCGCATTCACGAATTGCAACACTAGCGACATAATGGCTCCATATTGTTCTGATAGATGCATATTAGTGTAACTTGCCAATGCAAACTATTGTAAACCGATCCCAATTATAACCTAATTCCTAACTGTTGTTTCATGAGCGCAGTATAAAATTCTCACTGGCAATAGATTGGATTGATATTGGATTCAAGAGTAGACCTTCTGTTTATGTAATAGCAAAAAATATTTCGGTAATGATTAAAAAGATTGGAGTCGATTCTGGCGCGTCATTTCTAAACCTAGCTCAAAAAGGAAAATTCCAATTTGATGTCGCAGCGAAGTTTTTATTGTAAGGACCAACAAGAAGTAAGTTTCTAATAGTCAAAATTATTATAATTTCAGTTTATTACTTTTACGACATTTAAACTTTCAAAAAAAGAACATCTTTTCTTATAAGGTTGGCAACACACCTGATATTGCGAGAGCTTATTGGTATTGGCACTTACCATCTGTTGAGCCGCATGCTTGTTTGTCCCCTATGTTATAAAAAAAAATGTCCATAAAACGGTGATTTCGCGAAATTATCATCATCCTACCCTTATCTCAATTATTATTTTGGGTCGGCGTAATATTTTGCAAATTTATCTAATATTAAGATAAGAGATAGGTATAGAGAAATGACACCCCAAAATCTACGATGCTCTTCGGATGAATTCGGAGCACTTAAGCAAAATTGTCTTAAAATGCATTTTTATTAAACACTCCATTGATCTTGGCAGTAAGGTACCAGAATAGTATTTAGATAAACTTATAGAACTTGTATGGGGTTTTAAAAGCCAAGGTCGAAAATTCTATTTCCTTGCCGAGAGAAACGGATTTTTAAATTGATTATGTTATCATCACAATTTATAAGTTTGTTTATGCTGATACCGTAATAATTTTCAATGATTGTGAATGCCGTGCAGCGTCCATAGCGATCATGTCTAACAAAACAACCAATATAATATTGTTTAATATATCATTAGGACCAAATAATTTAGGCCTCAAACTCATGTTTTTAGAAATAATCAAGTAAAATATGGACTAATAATAAGAAGCCAGAATCGTCACATTACATACAAAATAGGTACAACTTGGGAACGGCAGACCTATTCCCAAAAGGGGCTTATTCCCAGAAAGGGTTAGTTGGACCTTTGCAACTAAAATTATAAAAATTAGGGGAGTGGCGGAAAAAGATGAAAACAGTGTGAAGCAGTAAATTCTTAATGCTTGATACAATAATGATTAAGGACAAATGGCTACTTCCACTTGTCCTTACCAACTTTCCCTCCTGGGGGTAAGAATGGATTTTTTTTTCTACCTCTTCCTACTATTGTGAGTCTAGTAGGCATAAATACTTATTCATAATATACAAAATTATATGTCCAATTTTGTTTTTATGTTATTTAGATAGAATATGTGTGTGTTTTGTTAGATTTTATCGGCGCGGGCGCATTATTACATACCTATTATTATATTTTTAGATGATTGTCGAGTTGTGACTACCTGCTATCCATGGTTCACGCCCACAAGTATTAAGATATATGTGTGTATCATAACGTGTCCTGTCTTCTTAGTAACGGTAAATGTTTTCAAATGTTAATTTCCTGTACATTGAACATATTTTACCTGCATTTAGTCTAAACCTCAAAAGTAGTATAATAAAATTATATAACTAACAATGCAAGGCTTGTGTTCGCCTACGGATAGTACCTAATTATTTTAATTGTAGTGTTTATTGTTTTAAATCTTAAGTTTTATTAGGTGTTTTATCGTTTATGATTCAAAATCTTTAGTTCGATTTATCCATCATTGTGGTTTTGTTTGCTAAATTTTATATTAGTTTTTTTTTTTTTATAACCAAATAAAATTTCAACATGAGGCAAAGCCATAATTTTTTTTTAAGTAGCTATTTGCTAAGTGTGGCGTCGTGTTAAAACTTGAGTTTCTAGATTCGAATAAATTTTAGAAATAATTGATTGTATTTTTAAATGATTCATGACGTCACTACTTGTGCAAACTTACAGCCAAATATGAGACCAGTGTATATTTTACTAATAGCATCGATTAATACTTGTGCATTGCATTCCTCTAGGACATAATAGTGTTGTGATGAACAATGTGTGTTATTTTCAAATTTCAATATTGATGATTTTGCCAACCGTTTATTTATTGATATAATTTGTAAGGTCTTTTTTTTTTAATTTATATTATAGTGAATAAAGCACTTTTACCACATATACTTGTATTATAATTTTATCTTCATAATAACCTTAAAGAACTTTAGTTAGTATATAAAAAAAAATCTCTAATCTGGGTGTTGTGGGTTGCCCCAAATGTAACTATTTCATGATGCAGATTTTGCTCTGATAGTGACAAAATGATGAAAAATCTGTTTAGAGGTAAATCTGATTACCATTTTAAAACATTATTATCTATGTCATCATCTTCCTCCCCTTATCCCAATTATTATTTGGGGTCGGCGTAATATGGTTTTATTTATATTACTAAAAGATTTGGCTTATAGTTTTACGACCGGCCGCCTGCCTGATGTCAACCCTCTATGGGAAAAAAAAAATTATTATCTATGTAAAAAACAATATTTTGACATAAATACCAGGGGATGTTTGATTTTCTTATTGTTACCATACAATCACCTTCAAGCTGAGATACAATTTTATGAAATAATGAACATTTATGAGTACTAGTGTAGAAATGTTTGTATTAAGCTGTAAAAAGGGGACAATGAAAACAAATAATCTAAGACATGATTTTAATTAATCCCTTAAAACAATGTATGTATGTATGGACTTCACTTATGTTCATTTTATTATTTCCTGAATATATTTTGCTATATAATTTAATGGTGCTCAGCAGCCTCCTTCCTCCTAATCTCGGCCCATTTGCTGACATTCTCAGGTGAGTTAGCTGAAAAAGCACAAATTGTTATATTAATGAATGGAGAAGTCAGTAGGGGCCATCCTAGATGGACATATGTCAATGAAATAGGTGACATTCTTAAGGAAATTAAAAATACCCATAACTGGCATAAAAGAAGTGAAAGAGGTCTTTTTGAATCGAAGCATTTTTGTTCTATCGTTTCTGTTTACCCTAATGGGAGATAGGCATGTTAAAAATGTATGTATGTATTTTTATTTAAATAACAAAATTGTTATATGACACCTTCATCCTCACCAATCGAAATCAACTACTAGCGCAAGGTGTACTATGTACTGAGAGAGTATTTGTAATACTGGGGGCATCAAAACACCTTATTATGGCCCTTTTTAAGAAATCCCATGTTGTAGTCTTTACAGAAAACCTTGGTAGAAAGATCAGTCTACAATCTGAGTTTTCATAGGAGGAAGCTCCTCTGAAAACCATACTGTGTGATCATTTCGGTTCCATCTTTTGCCAGTCTTTTTTTTTTCAGGAGAAATTCTTACTTGTATTTAACTTACTTTTATTATTGCAGTGAAGGTGACCTATGTCAATATATCTTTATATTTTGTGATTAACATAAATTATAAAATATTGAAAAACTTAGGAATATAAACCTCAATATATGTATTTGATATATTATCACAAAAGCTATTTTTTAGAGCAAACCTTTTTCCACACAAAACCTTTTTAAATTTTTGGTCACTTAATGTTGGAACTCCGAATACAATTGGGCTCATTGGAACCTTTTCATTTAGAGCCAAAATTAATATTCAAAGTAAATGAAGTTGTAAGATCTATATATAAATGTATCTTTGTGGTGACGACACTACATATACATCTATTACTTACCCAGTTTGTGAATTTTGTAGAAGACTGGTAGGGACACAGCAATCCCAATCATCCAATACCGCCAAATCCATTGGTTTTCTACGTAGTACTTCAAGGGGAACTGGGCAATCTTTGCAGTGAACGTGTACGGGAATTTCATAGGGCGGCTAGCAGACTCCGACATGATGAAGGTTTATTTACTGCAAGAACAAATGGAAAATTATTATGTAATGATAGTATGTTTTATGACATTGAAATACTTAAAACAAGATAAGGAGTTTAAATTAATGCACTACATTTAAACACGTAAATATAATAGAAATATAAGCTAAATATTTAAATAAATCTATACCTAATTATAATATATAAAAATTAATATGTAAGAAATAAATCTCATCTAACCTCAACAAATATGAATTAGTAAACAGTGTTACCAATAATAAAAATTATAACGCCAACCCTGTAAAGACAACATTAAAAATTAAATACCCTAAAATTTTTGTAAAAAAAAAATATATATTTACCAGTGACATGGGGCATTTTTCATTGAATTATATGTTTTATTGGTCACAGATTCTTAAACTAACTTCTGCAATATTTCACCATGCATTTACAGATTGTTCGCGAAACATGGAAACATTTTTAGTAAAATTATTAACAGAAATTAATTAAATATAATTATTAATTATTATAATCATCTTCATCATATTAGTTTCGCTACCAGTCATACTGTATATCAAAAATTAAATAAAACAGCCGTTGTCTGTCCACTGCTGAACATAAGCTTCTCTAAGAGAATCCTAAGAAAGATCATAAGGAGTCATCTGCTATCCCTGACTCTCTGCAATGCGTTTTTGATTTCTGCAATCATTTTCACATAGTAAGGGAAAGAAGGGTTATTACATTAAAAATTTTGTTATAATAGATATGAATAAATAATATAATAAATAAATTATATATGTATAAAATATCCAAATTAGTGAAAAAACTACAAGACACGTATTATCAGAGAATGAATTTAAAAACAATACATGTTTTAAAGAACCTTAGTATTAACAACCAGTATTAAAATTCCAACAGTATATTAAATTATTAATACATTTACATATAAATAGATTATCTACTTATTTATTGTTAGTAAATTGAAATGTTAATTTATTTAAATTTTAAAACATGTTTTGGTTTTGTGTATAAAAATTATTTGTATAATTCTTATTATATACACTGTCGTATGTACAATATAAAATTAATGGTAAATTATTGCGTGACAATGTTATTCATAGAGCCAATTGATGAAAGATATTGAATGACTAATATTTATCATTAAATTTATTTTTGTCCCTTAAAAATAGGTAGAAATCATTTAAGTTGGAAACTCTGTAGTTTTGACTAGATAAAGTATATTAAGGCATTTTCTTTCTAGACTAAAGTTTTATGGTAACTTTATCTGTAACTGTCAAGTGACAATATGTGTCAAAATTAAAAAACAAAAAAAAAAACCCCAAATCAAAATGTCAACTTGTTTTGTGGTGTCGTATTTGTGTATTTAGATGTAATTTTATTAAAAACTAATACTATTGACAATATAATGTTCGACAATGGCTTCGGTAAAAGTGGCTGTAAGGGTTCGCCCGTTCAATCAAAGGTATTTTTTTCATATCTAACCTGAAATAACTAAATACAGCCGAAGTTTATTGTCTACTTAGTTTTCAAATGTATGAGATAAATTGACGCCCCTATTACTTATTTGATTTAAATTTCGCATATGTATTGTGACATTATCTATATTTAATTATATAAACAATAGCGTTTTAGGTTATACAATGCATTCTAAATTCAGATTTTGAAAGTAAAAAAAACAGTGATGTCATGTTAAATGGCAATGACTTTCACGGTTCAGTTACATTTAGAGCACAAACTGTACCTCGGCCGGGTAATTTAGATGAAAGTTGACGAAAAAATATATAAAAAGTGACCCACATAAGCTAAACAGTAATTGTCCACCTTTGTTTGACTTTTTTGGAGAATGTTTGTTTGATTGTTTGTCAACATGCCAGTCATTCACTCTCTTTGTTTATGACTTTTAATTTAGTTTCTTTATCTCATTGCTGATACATTGATTATATAAATTAAACTTTGTAATTTTTATTCATAAATTATTTTATTATTGAAATGTTTTGAGAAAAATTGTATGCACAATTTAACAGTAAAGTCAGAATCACATTTATTTTAAAACTTTAAAATAAAATATATGACAGTATACTAAATATATAATTTATAAAATTTTTCTATAATTTTATTATTAAATTTATATATATAAATTAGATCACTTATAAGTAGTATATATATAAGCACCTTCTAAAATTGTTCTAATTGTTTATTTTTAGTTTAATTTAGCCACTTGTAGATTGTTAAATAAATTCAGAAATTTTTATATGCAACAGAATATTTATATAAAACATGAACAATTAGGTCATGTTGATTTTAAACTCTTATAGCTGTATGATAGATGTATTGTGGTTATCATTATATAAACTCCCTTATACTTTGTAAACAGTCGAGAGGCTCAACAAGTAAGTTACTTGTTGAACATTATCATTATAAGTTATAATGATAATGCTAAATATTTAATATATGAATAATATAAGGTATTATAAATAATTTATTATTTTGTTTCATTATCTTTATTGAAAAATATTTTTATTATAAGATAGTGTTTTTATTATGAGAAAAAGTATTTTAAATTACTATTTAAAATACATGTACTTTGTTGTATAAATGGTATTCCATATAACTGATGATGGAACTTCATAAGTTCCATCATGAAGGCACATGTTGTGCCTAATGAATTGCTATAATATATAATATATATTTATTTTATTTAATTAACACTTTATTGCACCAACATTACAGGATTTGCGGTCTTATTGCTAAGCAATCTCTTCCAGACAACTAAATAGAATTAAAGAATAAATAGGTAGGTGGCTCGTTAAAGAAATTGATTTGTAAAAATGATATAAAATAATAAAAGCATAAGCATATTAATATAGCTTGATTTGATGCGAGTGCTGGAGACTAGTAACTAGTAACCAGGGCTGTATTTGAATTACCTATAATTAATTTGTGCAATTGAAATATGAATACATATTTAGTATTGGTGTTTCAATTACTTCCTTTAAATTAATAAATAATTTTTATTTTAAATAATTAATTTTAAAGTACTTTGTAATTAGTATTTCTAATATTTATGTACTTAAAGTATTTCATGTACTACAAAATACATTTTAACATAATTACATTTGGTATTTTGTACAATGAACTTTTGTTATTAATAATAGGATTGCAGTTGCTATAAAGAACATCTTAAAATTCCTATCACTATTAGAATTCTTTTTGTTTTTTTATTTAATTAGCATGTAGAAATACATTTAAAAAAACTGGATTTTTTTAGTACCACTTAAACCTCTTGGGCTTGTGTGGTGATACTTTACATTTCATTCTCAAATGTCAATATTTACATTAATTAATATTTAGCAGCATACTTTAAAAAAGGGTGAGTGCAAAAGGTCATGGAAAGGTTGCAGTGTCATAGGATTTTCTGCCTGAAAAGTCCATCTCTCAATTATAATAATGGCGTTGCAGAGTTTCAAAAGATTTCCTACCACATAATTGTTTGTTTGTTAATATGATATAGATAAAGGGTTTGCTGGAAGGGAACTCTTACAGAGTTAATTTCGCCTGTTGTCTATCTTTATTTTTTATTTTATTTTATTTTATTTTATTGGCACATAAAACAGATTACAACCATAAAAAACTTAAGTAATAATTACATTTGTGATTCGGCTAGGTTATAATCCAATTACATTATGTGCACAGCTTGAGTAATACATTAAAAGCAAACACATAATATAAAAAGAAATACCTAAAATATTATATAAATATATAAAAGATAAAACTATATAAAAAAAAACATATTTTTAATCGTATTCTACAAAATAGAAAACAAGTTCTTTCTAAATATCAAATATTTTGTAGCGAATATGTAGATGAATTTGTGGTCGAGCAGTAAGTCGTTATAATGACGACACATTCTTACCACAGGATTGTAATAAGATTTAATATATATTATATGTTTGTAATTTTTTCTATACAATAAAGAATAAATAAATAAAAAAATAAATAAAATAAAGATTAATGATGATCAAAAATTAATGTCTAATAATGAAGGTTTTAGCATCTTTACTCATAGTGATCTGTCCTCACCATTAATTAATAATTACCATTAATAAATATTGTAAATTATAAATGAAACATTTACCAATATTGTTTTGTAATTTTATAATCAACTAGAAGAAACTATGAATACTCTTCTATTATTTTTGCTGTTACCATTTCAAGTGACAGCAGAAAGGACATAAAAAAATAAAGCACTTATATTAAGTCCACAGATCTCAGAGCCCATATTTGAGACCTGTGTATATTAAAACTATGGAAATGACAGTTGTTGTTTTATTTTCCAATAACAATGATTCTTGATGCATAATGATGTTCATAGCAGCAGTATTAAATTAAATGGTGGTGTAGTGGGCCAGGCCTTTGGGCTCTCTATAAGGTCTAACACAATAATAACTTGCGCATCTGTCGTACTTTCGAACGGGTGCTTCTAGTAAGGACTGGTCTGTTCAAGAATACTATGATTGTTTTTTTTTGTCAACATGATGTTTGGATAGTCATTTTATCTAATCACATTTTTGTTGTAAACTCAACTTTTATTTGAAAAAAGCAACAGCTGTGTTTACTACCAGTTCTTCTCAGCTATAATTGCATTCCGAATTAAGATTGGTAGATTCATAAAAAAAGTGCTAATCAATAAAAAAATTTTTTTTATACAACTTATTTTTATAATTGAGTTTACTTGAATATTTTTTTATTTTATTTTTTTATTATTTAAACAATACTAATAAAGTAGCCAGTAATAATGTCCATCTGTCCTCTAATTAATAATCGTTTGTTGCAGAGAGAAGGACATGAACGCCAAATTGATTGTACAAATGGAGGGGAAGAAAACAAGATTACTCACAGTGAAAGTAAGTCATGCCAACCAAACCGCTTCAAACAGCAGGATTTTTTCTTTTTTCTAGCTGTTCGTGATGTTGGTCGCAGATGGCCTTTACAGATGTTTTGGTCATCATTATCATCATCACATTGTGATGACTTCGATATTTTTTTTTAATATGAGATTAGGACAATGGCCCTTGTCTTAAAAAAAAGGTCATATGTCATTCAACATATTTGATTATAGTCCTTAAACTGATTGGGTTAAATAAATTATTAGTAAAAAACGTAAGCCTTTCATAATTTTTGAAAAATGAAAGGGAAAAAACGTTGTGATGCCTTCGGTAAATTTGGATAGACTGATGATTGTTTTAGCAATCAATAGACTTTGCTCCTGTATATGTCACATAGCTATTGAACCATGGGTATCTCCAATACCGATGGTGGAGTGGTAACATCAGTGTACCACTAATTTGATGTTATAGTTCTACTATATTGCTAAATTTGAATCAATTGTCTTTTTTTGGACACATAATGGCTGATATAATAAGGGTTTTTTTTATGCCACTAGAATGGCAAAGAAGCTGAACCATCTTTTTAAGGTCTAAGTCAAATTGGTTATCATCATCATCATGATAATCAGCCTTTAACTATTCATTGCTGAACATAGTCTCTCCCTATGGAGGGGTTTTGCCAGTAGTTGCCACGCTTGATAGGCGGGTTGGCAACCGCAGTTAGGCTTGTTGCTTAGATGTTTTAAGCGGGATACTGCTGCCCATCTCTTACCCTTGCTTAGTCGCCTACTGGCAAAGCTTATGTTCAGCAGTGGACAGTTAACACGTTGAGCCCGGCGCCGAATTTGCTGTCCTTTCCGTTCAGCCGGCAGCCGGCAGCCGGCGAGAGATACAATGTTGTATGCTATCGCCAAGAGATTACACCTATCCCCCGATTTACACGGTACTTGTTTTACACGTTTTCGCTTTTACACGGTTTTCCAAATAAGTTTTTTTTTTTTTTGTTTTTATCGCACTCTACTAAATGCTACTGTGTTTGAACACGTGCGCTATGTACACATCTCACGGGGAATCCCGAGCTTATGTGCTGACTTGCTGCACATGCACACTGTGTCTGTATTTCTTCGCATAAAATTAAAGTTTTATCTACGGAAAATTGTATTTGAGTGAAAGTTTCACAGTGTCAGAAAGATATAATTTTTTAGTTTAATGTATTGTAATTAAATAAAAAAACAGTGTTTCCGTAATATATTACATATTTTAACCTGTCAATGCATTTTATTTTTATTTCTGTGTACACCTAAAAGTATTGAAAAAAAATCACAACTGTTAAATAGCAAAATTATGCATTTTCTGCAAGTTTTTCGATTTACACGGTTTTCACTTGAAAATTTTTAATTTTCGATTTACACGTTTTTCTCAGGAACGTATCTACCGTGTAAATCGGGGAATAGGTGTACTTTAGTACTAATGAGATAAGAAATTCTTTGTCGCGCTATTTTGGACGTTTTTTAGGTGTATGTGTAATGTATGTGTGATTCTATTCCATATTTTCGTATGATGTACAGTAAAACCACATACGTGCCTTCGAGAGGTGATCAGTTACAAAAGACCTATCGAAATGTACAGATTGTTCGTAAAAAGAAAATTGAATTTAGTTTTGGAAATAGTTATTGCCCATAACATTGAATATGTCCGACGCTGGCCACACGGAAAGTTCGCTGCCGGTCCCTAGGGACCGGCGGCGGCCACACGGAAAGTTCGCTGTCGGTCCCCAAGGACCGGCGCCGGACCCAACGTGTTGAAGGCTGTTATAATGATGATGAGTCTTGAAATGATCATAGAACACACCCACTTTCGCGTTTCTAGTACTACTAATCGTATGAGAATAGCGCGATCTGCTGGTCTACCATGAAATACATTTCCGAATTTTCGGACTCAATTTCGTGTTTTCATTCATACCGAAATCGGTCCAGTAAATGGGCCTTTCCATTTTGTTTGTCATAAATTCTACCATAAAAGTCCAAAGGAACGGTATTTTTCACATTTTTAATCTTTTTAAAAAAGTATGTATTTATATAATTTTAACATCAGACTTGTGTTTCGTTCGGACTCGAAATTTCGGAAAACATTTCATGGTAGACCCTCTGATATAAATTGTTTCTAAGCGTCCCGTCCCGTGCACAAGTGTCGGTGTGCCTTCCATGCCTCGCGAAGCGCGAACACAATCATTTTAAAACGATCCAAACATGAAATTGGATACATTAAGATTTTGTTACACAAAAAACACTGGCTTCAATTGTGACTAAAACCAGTTGTTTTGATTTAAAAAGTATGTTAAACTACTGAATCGTGTTTCTACCGTGAAGCAGTTGTTTTTTTTTTTTTGCAAAATTATTTGGTTCGCAATTGGCGATGAGTATTTAGCTTAAGCGTCTTAATTGACTTAAGCTGCGATTTGATACAGCATAAATCTCTAATAGCTATTTAATTCTTGCACGCGTAATTTATTTTGATAGTGCTTCGGGTGAAGCAGTTGTGTATGCATGGCTGTGTTTAGGTTTGAAGGGTGGGATATGGCGTGAATTTACAGAGTACAGAGGAATAACACCTAAGTCCTCAGGAATGGCAACGCATGGGAGGTATTTTGAGCGAAACAGTATACTCTGTTATGTCCATGGTACTGCTTATGTGACCAATCTGAAAGCATATTCTTTCTGATCAAATTTTCCAAATCGGTTTATAAATGTCGGAGTTATGAGTGAACAAACAAAAAAAAAATACAATCTATAAAGAACCACCTTTTTTTCAAACTCAAAGTATTCGGGGGGGGGGGGGGGGGGCAAGGGATTGTTAATAATGAGAATCTGACAACCCCATTGCTAGCAATATACCCTATCAGATCAACCTCCACGCGGTTGCTCCTGGAAACCGTCTTGGTTAATTCTTTTTGAATTCGTCACGATGGGCCAACTGATCTGCTTCCATCCTCACCTCACTGGTGTCCCGACAGCATATACCGGTATCGCAGACAGGGTTAGATAGATAGATAGAAAAATTATTTACATTACATACAGCACACAAATTACAATAAAAAAAAACATACACATAATACACAGTAAACGAGATAAAAGAATGAAAATAAAAAAGCACAAATAAAAAAAAATCAAAATATAATACGAGGTCTGTCCGGAAAGTTCGTATAAAAGTGTTCTGGAATGCGAGAAAGAGGAGTGGGGAGGCCAGGTAAGCGCAGGACCCCTTCCTTATGTCCCTAACAATGCTTCAGTTCTGGTCTGACCGCCGTGCGGTGCGAACTGGCTTGTCACGCCATCTGTGAAGTTACCTCTTAACGAAACCCCGTCGGCATGGAGCCCGCTTCCGTTGAAGAGCAGCGCGTCGTAATCAAGTTTCTCTCGAAACTCGGCAAGAATGGCCGTGAAAGCAAAGAGTGGAAGACATCCGGGGAACCACGAACAAAAAAATCAAGAAAATCCCGCTCAAATGTCAAGACAATGTTGATTGTTTTTTTCGATGTTCGGGGGATTGTCCATCAAGAATTCGTCCCTCCAGGCCAGACAGTTGATGGAAAATTCTACGTCGATGTGCTCAGACGCCTCAAAGCTCGTGTGGCACGAGTTCGTCCAGAATTGGCGCGAGAGGGGCGTTGGATTCTTCACCACGACAATGCCCCTGCCCACACCTCTCTTGTTGTCCGTGAGTTTTTGAGTAAAAATTCCATTACGGTGACCGAACACCCCCCCTATTCGCCGGATTTGGCCCCGTGTGACTTCTTCTTGTTCCCAAAAACCAAATTGGTACTTCGGGGGCGGCATTTGGGGGACATAAATGAGATAAAAAAAGCTACGACGGGGCAGCTGAGAAACCTACAACCAGAGGACTTTCAAGGAGCCTTCTCACAGTGGAAACGGCGTTGGCACAAGTGCATTATGTCACAGGGGGAGTACTTTGAAGGGGATAAAATTGATTTACCTGAATAATTGTAAAATAAAAATTTTAAAAAACTTTTATACGTACTTTCCGGACAAACCTCGTAGATATATAAATTAACAATTTCCTTTCTTTTCTTTACCATTCCATTATCACTAAAAATTTCTATCAAAAAAAAAACTCTAAGGATTATTGTGGGATAGGATAAGGTTTAGCAGCTGCTTTATATCAGGATATATAATAAAATATATAAATAAATGGAAGACTAATATCAATAAACCACAAGACGTATTTATTAAAACGAATGCGTCACCGGGCGTCGTCTTGACCTGGCGTAGTAACATATTATTCAGTATGCAATGTATGTATTTGCACTTGGAATAGGGTTGTCACTTGTCACATTTGTGTATGTATATATATATATATATATATATATATATATATATATATATATATACGAAGGAGTAGAGTAGAAGAGGTATCTAATACAAATAAAAGCATGATTGTATCTTTATTTATGTTATAAATGTGAAAGTGTTTGTTTTTTTATACCATTAAGGTAAGCGGTTATCGCGACCTATGAACGCCTGCAATATTAAACCTCTTTACTAAACACTTTTTTTTAGAACATCATGCTATATTCTTAAATACAATATAACAAGATTTAATATATATATATACTTTATATATATATATTAAATCTTGTTATATTGTTACCACTTAGCGCCATAATTGCTTAATCAATCACTGTGGTATTTAGTATATATCTGATAGAGGAGGACATAGGACTGTTGTTCGTATATATCCGGTCAAACGGACGAAGTCGCAGCAAAAAGTGAATTAATAATTGGCACGTAGCGATAACCCTAGGTTGGATGCGCCTACGCAATGCATAGCATATGAATTAATGCTATTCAAATGTCGTGAACTGGCTTCACGTTTTGATTCAGTTGGTACTGGACTAGGGTTCATATCCTTTAGCAGTCGTTTTAATAAAGGAGTCGATTATTAATTTAGGTATATATTTTTTACTGTTACACGATTGAAAGGGGTTTTTTTTATACAACTTAGAATGGCAAACAAGCTGACGCCCCCCCTGATAGAAAGTGGTAACCGTCGCCTATAGACATGAGCAGTACCGTGGACATAACAGAGTATACTGTTTCGCCCATGATACCCCCATGCGTTGCTATACCTGAGAACTCAGGTGTTATTTCTCTGTACCCTGTAAATTCACGCCATATCCCACCCTACAAACCGAGACACAGCCATGCAAACACAACTGCTTCACGGTAGAAACACGAATGGGACAGAGGTACCCATGCAATCGACTTTTGTACAAAGTCTGCCTCTGGTAAATAGATTATATTTGTAAAGATAGAAATGATAACAGTTGTGTTGTTGTTACAGAATAGCAAAGAGCAAAATGACGGTAGCCGAGAGAAGTACAAGGACTTCACTTTCGACCACTCGTACTGGTCGTACGACAGCGAGGACCCGCACTACGCCTCGCAGGAACAGGTAACACCTCGCCGCTTTTCTTTAATGGATGATATTGGAATGGTAACTCCGCCTGCGCTATCGGCATACGCTGGCGGAGCACTAGTGAAGTGTGATAGATGAGAATGAAAACAGGCCAGTTAGACCATCATGATGAATTCATCAGGAATTAACCATGATAGTTACCAGGGGGAACCGCGAGGAGGTCGACCTGGTTGGGTTTATTGCTAGCAATGGGATTCTCAGTCTCCACTACTAATAATCTCTTCCCCCCCCCTATATATATATATATATATATATATATATATATATATATACACTAGTGGAAAAAATTAAGGGTTCAGAAAAAAATGCCAAATTTTTTGAGGTTTTTCAAGTAGCTGTATTTCCTTTCAAAAATATATATATTACAACATTGAAACAGTAACTTCTACACTTAAAGTTTTTAATTTAAAAGTTCTATCAGCAGGAAACAGTATAACAAGACAATTTATATATATATATATATATATATATATATATACAACAAGGGAGAAGATATGCTAAGTTTATCTCTTAGTAAAATGATCGTACAGATGCCGCTATATTAAATCCTGGTTTATGCAGTTCAGTCGAAATATATAACAAAAAGTCAAATGTTTATATTAAAGACTGCTGCGATCAACAATCCGACAGACAATGTGTGACCTCGCCTCTCTGTATTATATAAAAGATGACGTAAATATGTTTGCCCAGTTCATACAAATGAAGTCACCTGAATGCTCCTAAATGGATAATGGTTTCTAGAAATTATATCTTTATATGGATACAAATTGAGTTCCTTTCAACCGACTTCAAAAAGAAATAGTTTCTCAATGTGTTTGTATTTTTCTTGTATTTGTTACCTCACAAATCCGTCAATATTAAACCGATATTGAAAATTCTTATAGATTCTTCGTACAGATTGGATCCATAAAAAAATTGGGTTCCGTAGTTAATTTTTAAATCATAATGATTGATTTTTCCACATTAATTATTTTTGCAATTTTTTTTTTATATACAACTTAGATTGGCAAAGAAGCTGACGGCCCACCTGATGGAAAGTGGTAACCGTCGCCTATAGACATGACCAGTACCATGGACATAACAGTGTATACTGTTTCGCCCATGATACCCCCCATGCGTTGCTATTCCTGAGGACTCAGGTGTTATTCCTCTGTACCCAGTAAATTCACGCCATATCCCACCCTTGAAACCGATACACAGCCATGCAAACACAACTGCTTCACGATTGCAACACGAATGGTACAGAGGTACACAAGCAATCGACTTTTGTACAAAGTCTCCCTCTGGTATAATTTACACTTGTTGCTAATAGTAATATTATCCCGTACATCGGTGGATAGTTCATTAATAAGTCGAGGAACTAGATAGTTAGGTGTACGCTCACCATAACAGTTATTTACGTGAGCGCTATTGGTACAAAGTTGTTTGTAACTATACCAAATTTACTATTGTAATTTTTTGTAGGAAACAATAAAGAGTATCTATCTATGTATCGTTTATGTGCAGGTGTTCGCGGACCTCGGGCTGGACGTGATCGACAGCGCATTCGAGGGGTACAACGCGTGCGTGTTCGCCTACGGACAGACCGGCAGCGGGAAGACCTTCACTATGATGGGCTCCTCCGTCAGTACACATTACCTATACAGCCTTGTATATTGCATATACAGCCTTGACCACATTACTGTATTATCATCGAGGTATAACAATAATAAGTGTCACGCAAATGCTTGACCTCTAAGCTAGGATTTTTTGTGATGATGATGATGATTTCATAATCATCACCACCTCTTTCATTCCGGCGGGTGTCTAACTGCGGTTGCCAACATACCTGTGCTAAGCGGGGCAACTACTTGCAAAACCCCTCTTTTTGGGAGAAGCCTATAATATATATATATATATATATATATATATATATATATATATATATATATATATATATAGACCCCATAACTAACAATCCCTTCCCCCCTAGTATATATATTACAGCATTGAAACAATAACTTCTATACTTAAAGTTTGAGTTGTTAATTTAAAAGTACTATCAACAGAAAACAGTACAACAAGACAATAGGCAGTTCTCGTTGCAAGATACTTGCATCTTTAAATGTGCTTCAGACTGATTTACTGCTTCTCCCCATTAATTGGTCTACGCTGACCTATATATGTCTTATATAAAAGTGCGTTCATCTTTTCTTAAGGATTTTTTTTAATTAACGATGACAAAAAAGCCGATTAGGGGGAAGGTATTGTTAGTAATGCGGGCTACCAGTCTTATTGCTAGCAATATACCCCGTCAGGTCTACCTCCACGTGGTCCCACCTGGAAACCAACGTGCTAACTTCCAGATGTATTCATCACGATGGGCTAACTGACCTGCTTTTTCATCCTCATCTATCATCACTGGTGCCCCGCCAGCATATACCGTTAGCGCAGGCGAGGTCACCATTCCATTATTATCCATTATAAAAAAAAAAACAACCTGACAGTCCATCTGATGCAAAACCGTCGCCCATAGACATAAAACAACCGTGCTGCTTCTCATCAGAAATCTGAGGATTTATAATTTGGAGATTATTTATTTGAAATGTTCCAATGTTTTTGTGGCGTGGTGTGCAGGAGTGCCAGGGCCTGATCCCGCGCATCTGCCGGCAGCTGTTCTCGCGCGTGGCGGCGGGCAAGGAGTCGGGCGCGTCGTACCGCACCGAGGTGAGCTACCTGGAGATCTACAACGAGCGCGTGAAGGACCTGCTGGCCGCCGCCGCCGCCGCCGGCCACGCGCTGCGCGTGCGCGAGCATCCGCGCCTCGGGCCCTACGTGCAGGACCTCTCCAAGCACCTCGTCTCCGACTACGACGACATACAGGTACGCCATGTATACGATCAACCATCAAAACCTCCTAACTGACTAATTGGTAACTTTTGTTTACCGATGTCTGGCAACATTGCAGTTATTTATTTATTTTTTTAACACTTTATTGCACCAACATAACAGGATTTGTTGATCAATTTTTAATAAGTATAGTGTAATGCAAAAGGCGGTCTTATTGCTAAGCAATCTCTTCCAGACAACCTTTAGGTAGAAAGAATTAAAGAATAAATAGGTAGGGTGGCGCGTTAAAAGAATAGATCTGTAAAAATAATAAATATCTGTGGCAGCATAATCATATATACATACATAAATAAACACATATATCCAAATACATACTTATTTACACCTACACATACATATACAGATATACATATATATTACTATAATGTATATTTTTTTGATGGGTGTAAATGGTATGGTAACTCCGCCTGCGCTAACGGTATACGCTGCCGGAGCACCAGTGAAGGTTGATAGATGAGAATGAAAACAGGTCAGTTAGCCCATCATGATGAATTCATCAGGAATTAACCACGATAGTTTTCAGGGAGAACCGCGAGTAGGTCGACCTGGTTGGGTATATTGCTAGCAATGGGAATCTCAGTCTCCATTACTAACAATCCCTTTCCCCCCTGTAATGTATATTACTGTAATGTTGCCACACTTTGGTAAGCAAATATTAAATTTTTTTACTGTTTCCGTCTGATTATTTAAAAAGCTCTCTGCTAGCTTTGATCATAGAATATAAATTCGAATATAAATCTACTATTAAAAATTTTGCATTTACCCCACGGATTTTTTCTAATGCATTTTTACCATCAATATCCGGATTTTTAGTGATGGCGATGTAAGAATGTTATTGCATGATTAGAGGTTTATTCCTGAGCAGAGCACTTTTTAAATAGACTTTTTTTTTATACAACTTTTTAGAATGGCAAACAAGCTGACGGCCCACCTGATGGAAAGTGGTAACCGTCGCCTATAGACATGAGCAGTACCATGCACATAACAGAGTATACTATTACGCCCATGATACCCCCCATGCGTTGCCATTCCTGAGGACTCAGGTGTTATTCCTCTGTACCCTGTAAATTCACGCCATATCCCACCTTTCAACCGAAACACAGCCATGCAAACACAACTGCTATACGGTTGAAACACGAATAGGACAGAGGTACCCAAAGAAACGACTTTTGTACAAAGTCTCCCTCTGGTAACATCGACTGAAACCCATTATTCCGTGGTGATTCTATATTAATTTCGGCACATAAGACTTATACATATTCTTAAATACAAAAACACAGAAGTATATTAATAACTAGGCGGTAATACTTGAAATGTCTGTGTGTAGGAGTGCATGCACCGCGGCAACCAGCAGCGGACGACGGCGTCGACGCAGATGAACGACGTGTCGTCCCGCTCGCACGCCATCTTCACGATCACGTTCGTGCAGGCGAGCTACCTGCGCCACAACAACATGCCCAGCGAGACTGTCTCCAAGGTCCACCTCGTCGACCTGGCCGGCAGGTGACCGCTCTGTACCTAACCTCATTTGAATGCCAACAAGTGACCCATGATTGTCATGGTGTGTTCTGTGAAATCCATTGATTCCTTCATGTTTATACATCTTGAGTTTTTCCATCATGAGAGCCATTCTGTTACGTCCATGGTGTGATGATTATCACCAAGAGGACTGTTGGGTTGTTTCATATTGTAAATATTTATTGTATATATACGTATATAGGTCGACTTCCACGCAGTTCCTCCTGGAAACCATTACGAATAGTTATAATTACTCGTGAATGCATCATGATGGGACAACTGGCCTATTTTCATCTATCATCCCTCACTGGTCGGGTCCCATGGAACTATTTTTTAATGGATGATAATGGAAGGGTGACCCCGCCTGTGCTATCGGTGTACACTACCGGGGCACCAGTGAGGGATCATTGGCGAATATGAAAGGGCAGGTCAGTTAGTCCACGTCGCGATGGTTGCCAGGGGGAACAGTTTGGAGGTCGACCTGGTAGGGTATATTGATAGCAATGGGGACTAACCTCCCCGTTACTAAGAATCTCTCCCCCCGGTGTACTGGGGCTGGCACCGGTCGCCGCGTGTGGTTACGGCAGCGTGTATGGTGTATATGGAGGGTGTATGGTGCGTGTGCAGCGAGCGCGCGGACGCGACGGGCGCGACGGGGCAGCGGCTGGTGGAGGGCGCGCACATCAACAAGTCGCTCGTCACGCTCGGCTCCGTCATCTCCGCGCTCGCAGACTCCTCGCACCACCAGCACCAGCAGCACCAGCAGCACCAGCAGCACCAGCAGCACCAGCTCCAGCAGCCCGCAGGTAACCGCAGCCGAGGGCGGAGGCCATAACTTAACGGCACCCCCCTTACGACTGCAATAACAGATCAGGCCCCCCCCCCCCCTCCCCAAGAACTGTAGAGACCATACTTCGCACTATATGGTCACTAGAATTCGTATTATTGTTTATGCTAATCTAAAAATTACTGAACCGATGTTAATGACATTTTGAGAATGTATATGTGTGTGTGTGTGTGTGTGTGTGTGTGTGTGTGTGTGTGTGTGTGTGTGTGTGTGTGTGTGTGTGTGTGTGTGTGTGTGTGTGTGCGTGCGTGCGTGCGTGCGTGCGTTTTGGAACAACTAGATTTTTTTTATGAAACACAATATTAATTATGTATAAATAAATGCATTTACAAATTACTCTTATGACAATCTCACTCGACAATACATTATTGTTCGATCAGATCGCAACAAAAACAACAAGAAGAACGTGTTCATCCCGTACCGGGACTCGGTGCTGACGTGGCTGCTGAAGGACTCGCTCGGCGGCAACTCCAAGACCATCATGATCGCAGCGGTCAGTCACCCCTACAACCACATACACCCTTCATTTAGTGACTGTCCATTGTTACATTACAAGCAGTTGTGTTTGCATGGCTGTGTTTCGGTTTGAAGGGTGGGATATGGCATTAATTCACAGGGTACGGAGGAATAACACCTGAGTCCTCAGGAATGGCAACGCATGGGGGGTATCATGGGCGAAACAGTATACTCTGTTATGTCCATGTTACTGCTCATGTCTATAGGCGACGGTTACCACTTTCCATCAGGTGAGCGTCAGCTTGTTTGCCATTCTATGTTGTATAAATAAATAAATAATAAGCGATTAGAGGAAGTTCATGACCATACTTTGTAGAAGTCATCAGTGCCACCTATGATGAGTATAGAGTACGAGGGCTGGTGTACTATTTTTATTTTATATAACTTAAAATGGCAAACAAGCTGAAGGCCCGCCTGATGGAAAGCGGTAACCGTCGCCTATAGACGTGACCAGTACCATGGACATAACAGAATATACTGTCTCGCCCATGATACCCCCCCATGCATTGCCATTCCTGAGGACTCGGATGTTATTCCTCTGTACCCAGTAAACTCACTGCCATATCGCACCCTTCAAACCGAAACACAGCCATGCAAATAACTGCTTCACAGTAGAAACACGAATGGGACAGAGGTGCTCAAGCAAACGACTTTTGTACAAAGTCTTCCTCTGGTAAAACGTGACTGTAGAAGCGTGTATAACGTGACTGTTTCACACCAATCGCGTTGCTGTGAACTAAAAGCCTCCCCCCTCTGCAAAAATACCAATTTGGGCCTTAGGAGCACTAATGGCGGCCCTTTTAATGCTTATTAGCTCGATACAGGGTTTGCGGCCTGATGTATGAGCTGTAATAAAATCTCTCTCTCTCTCTTCGTCCTCTTCATTACTGAAGGTCGTGTCCTTGAAAGGTGTCTGTTGCCTCTCTTATGATGTTATTCCAATTTGTACGGTCTTCAGCTTCTCGCAGGGCAGCTGCAATCGACAGTCCCGTAACGGCGGTTACTTGGTCCGACCATCGACTAGGCGATCGTCTGCGTGGTCTTTTTCCCTCTATCTTGCCTACAACCATTAGTTTGTCCACATTGTCGGACTGTCGTCCAGCAACATGATAATAAAATATATACTTCTATAAATGTTAGCTAGTGGAGAATGTCACAAAGTTTTATAAAGGATGTCCTTGTCAAATGTAGATATCGCCAGCGGACTGCAACTACGGCGAGACGCTGTCGACGCTGCGGTACGCGAACCGCGCGAAGAATATCATCAACAAGCCGACCATCAACGAGGACCCCAACGTCAAGCTCATCCGCGAGCTGCGCGAGGAGATCGAGAAGCTGCGCGCGCAGATCGCGCACAATACCGTTAGTGTTACCACTTTATCATAAACTTAGGGTACGCTTTGAAATACATGAGACTCGGAGTGGCAAACAAGCTGATGGAAAGTGGTAACCGTTGCCTATAGACATGAATATTGGATATCACAGAGTACACTGATGTCCATGGTATGTACGTCTCATGTATTGCAGTATCTCATGAAATAGATTGGATTGCTTACGCAAACAGTGTAAGGCAAGTTGGAACAATGATTTTCAAAATACAAATTGCTGGAAGAAATCTCTATTGGAGATAAGCTCGCCTTTGTGCACTATTATGTTTGTTTTTACATTTTAATAACCTTATGTGTACAATAAAGAATAAAGATAGTAATACTAACATAACATAGGATAGTCATAAGATGAGAGTGGAGGAACAAACTGCAATTATTATTTCAGCCTTTAACTGTCCACTGCTGAATATAAGCCTTCCCCATAAGGGGAGTTTTGTCAGTAGTTGCCACGCTTAGCAGGCAGGTTGGCAACCACAGTTAGGCTTTTAGATATGTTTTAAGAGGGGCGCTGCTGCCTATCCTATATGCCTACTGCTCTTCCTTAGTCGCCTCTTATGACACCCATGGGAAAGTAAGGGGTGGCCTATCCTATGCTGGGGTACATGGCGATATTCCAGGTTAAAAGTAAGGGAACTTAAAACTCCTATAGCTTATGCTCAAGGAGCTATCTCAGTCCAGTGTTATAATACATTGTTATTATTTTATTGTTCCAGGATCCAATCGAAACGGAACCAGGCATGCTGGCGACCCTGCAACGGAAAGAAGCCCAAGAGAAAGTCCTCACGGAGAAATGGACAGAGAAGTGGCGCGAGACGCAGCAGATCCTGCAGGAACAGAAGGCGCTGGGGTTGAGGAAGAGTGGGCTCGGAGTGGTACTGGACTCGGATATGCCGCACCTGGTCGGCATCGACGACAACCTACTGTCCACTGGAGTGACGCTCTACCATCTCAAGGTAGTGTGCATGATGATTTCCGATTAGTTATTATTTTTTTTTTATACAACTTAGTTTGGCAAACAAGCTAACGGCCGACCTAATGGAAAGTGGTAACCGTCGCCTATAGACATGAGCAGTACCATGGACATAACAGAGTATACTGTTTCGCCCATGATACCCTCCCATGCGTTGCCATTCCTGAGGACTCAGGTGTTATTCCTCTATACCCTGTAAATTCACGCCATATCCCATCCTTCAAACCGAAACACAGCCATGCAAACACAACTGCTTCACGGTTGAAACACGAATGGGACAGAGGTACCCAAGCAATTGACTTTTGTACAAAGTCTCCCTCGGGTGTAATTTTACTAGTCCGCCGTGAAGTCCCGGGATAGAATAGATTCTTCCTTTCTCGTGGGTACTTAGACACCCACGGGAAAGGAACTAACCATTGGCTAGGAGACTAAGGGAAAGCGAGGGGTGAGTAGCAGCGTCCCCTTCAAACATCTTTCATCAAACGCCTACTAAGCGTGGCAACTATTTGAAGATAATACTGACAAAACCACCCACAGGGGGAGGCTTATGTTCATCAGTGGACAGTTAAAGGCTCATATGATGATAATGATGATGATTAGTTCTGCAGAAAGGCTACAAAGTGATTATTAATCACTTGATATAGGCGAGTCCAACTATTGACAAGTAGTAACTGTAGGCTGTGGATTCGGGTACACAATCTGACTACATTGTTTAATTTTTCAAACTAGAACTTACTTTGGAAGATGGGTTTTTCTCTGGGTATCCCCATTAAGGGGTTAATAGAAATCTGAGGTAAGAGGGGGGGATGATTATCATTTTTTTGGATTTGATTTCCCTGTGGTCTTTCCCGAAATTATTCATGATTAATTATTGCTCGCTTTGCCACGATCAGCATTAGCTTATTTCAGTTCGCTAGAACATGGCTTAATTTTTGTTTGTGTCGCCTGTATGACGCGTGTGGTTCCCCGGCGGGCAGGAGGGCGAGACGGTGATCGGCAGCGCGGAGTACCGGCCGACGCCGGACATCGTGCTGAGCGGCGCGGGCGTGCTGCCGCTGCACTGCCGCGTGACGCTGGCGGGCGGCGTGGCCACGCTGCACCCCGCGCCCGCCGCGCACTGCTGGCTCAACACCGTGCTGCTCGACCGCCCCGCCAAGCTCAGCCAGGGTCAGTGCTGTCTGTCGTCTAAAATATTATCAATATTATTGATATGGACCTCCCCTCCTTTTCCCATGGATGTCGTGAGAGGCGCCTAATAGAATTGAATGGTCGAGGGATGAGCAGCAGAATCCCAATTAAAATATTACCAAACGCCTAACTGAAGTTGCCAATCTGCTTGCTAAGCGTGGCAATTACTAGCTACACTCCCTTTATAAGTGCGGCTCATGTTCAACATATTTAACGGCTAATATGATGATGAAGAAATCTACTACAATCCAAAATTAATCTCGAAATATTTAGTTTTACTGCTAAGGAACTCATCAACAGTCAACCAGTTGGAGATCTATATATATATATATATATATATATATCTCCAACTATCTATTTATAACAACTATAAAGACTTCACAGTACAGAAAGTTATGTTACACTAAAATTATGTTCAAGTTATTCACCAGCATACATATATCTGGGTACACAACCAATCATTTCGCATACATATCTGTCACGCCTGTCTCCCATTAGGGTAGGCAGAAACAATGGAACGCCAAATGCTTCGATTCAAACAAACCTCTTTCGCTTCTTCCACATTCATCAATCTTGTCATACACGCTCGTCGGTTACGGGTACTTTTAATTTGGCCCTTCTTCAGCACGTCGCCTATTTGGTCGACATACGTCCGTCTAGGGCGGCCCCTACCGACATCTCCATTCATTCTTGCTCGATAAATCTCTTTCGTAATTCTTCTTTCATCCATCCTCTCCAAATGACCAAACCAACGCAACATTCCTTTTTCGATTTTGGTCACTACATCGACTTTCAGTCCACACTTCTCTCTGATCACACTGTTTCTTACTCTATCTTTTAAAGTAATACCACACATACTTCTCAAAGCTCTCATCTGTACAGCATTTATCTTACTTTCATGCTTCTTCTGCCATACCCACGATTCGCTTCCATACATGAGTGTTGGTGTCAGTACTCCTTGAATTATAGCAAGGCGAGCTTTGCTCGATACATTTTTACTTGACATAATCGAGAGCAATGCACCGTTAACACTGTTTCCCGCTTTTACTCTCCTCTCAATATCTCTTTCACACTTCCCATTCCTCGTAAACAAAGAAACTAAATATAGAAACTCACTCACTTGCTCCACTTTTTCATCTCCTATCATAATCTGGCATGCCGTTAAACTTTCATTCCTCTCAAAAACCATTACCTTCGTCTTCTTCGCATTTATTTTCATACCTTTTCTTGCATACGCTTCATTCATTATAGTCACCATTTGTTGTAATTCATACTCCGACGATGCAAAAAGTACTTGGTCGTCGGCGTATAAAAGAGTCTTAAACAGAGACTCATTCATCCTGAATCCACAATTAGATCCTTTCAAATCGGTCAAGCAACTGTCCATAAATAGGTTGAACAGCCAAGGAGACGCTACACAGCCCTGTCTAACACCGCGTTCAATGCCAAACCAGTCTGTATAGACTCCATTTATTCTGACACAGGCATTTGAATCCTTATATAAAGATTTGAATGCCCGTATCAAATGGCTGCTCACCCCATACATTGCCAGTGTTGACCACAGTTCATTCCTCTCCACTCTATCATAAGCCTTTTCAAGGTCAATGAAGGCGCAGAAAACCTTCTGATGTTGAGCTAAGGTTTTCTCTGTTATGCACCTTAAGGAAAAGACTTGATCCGTACATCCCATACCCTTTCGAAACCCTGCTTGCACATCCCAAATTTTACTTTCCGTCTCATTCATCACTCTTTTAATCAAAATCCTAGCATACAATTTGCCTACAACACTAAGAAGGCTTATTCCGCGGAAATTTTTGCACTCCTGCTGTGACCCGCTGCCTTTATATAGTGGCACAATAACAGCTTTGCTCCAGTCACCTGGAACACAACCGGACCGCCAACATTTATTGAACAGCAGACACAGCAGGTTTACAATGATTTCTCCACCTTCTTTAAGCATTTCGGCAGATATTCTATCAAATCCCGCTGCTTTACCAAATTTCATAATCTTCATTGCATTCATTACTTCATCCATACTTATATCACTTTCACTGTCAACTTCTTCGTCCATTATTTCATTTTCAACATTCTTTCTTTCACTTCCACGTTCAAATAAACTTTCAAAATATCTCTTCCAATGATCTAAGACTTCCTTTTGTTCCGTGATAACATTACCATCCATATCCCTTATCACGCCCATTTTCGGATCTCTCTTTTTACCTCTAGCTGTTCGAACTAAATGCCAGAAAAGCTTTTGATTAGCTCGAAAATTTCTAGAGAATTTCCTTTCATACTCATCCTTACATTCCTCTTTCTTTTTGCTTACTAATTCTTTAACTTTCTTTTTCATTACATCATACTTCTCTTTTGCAATTTTTTCAATGTCACTTACATTACCTTGCATTCTCTTATTAGCTCTGGTAGCTAACAAATCCATCCATGCCTTTTTCTTTAGAGCCACCATTTCTTTCACTTCGCCATCCCACCATACATTCATTCTCATCTTAACATCCTTCCTCTTACTTACACCACAAACTTGAGTAGCTATATCAAAGATTCCGCATTTAAATTCCTTCCAAAATTCTTCTATCTCATAGTTATCTTTCTTCAGTAGCTCTCTAAATCTTTCATTCAATCTTTCTTGATACTGATTTCGAACCTGTTCTTCTGTCAGTCTCTCTACTCTTACTCTTTCTATTTCTGACATACGAACACGTGGACGATGTCGCCATTTATTGAATAAGCCACCTATCATTTCGCACTGGTAGTATATTTAAAATGTGTAACAATGTCTAACATTCCATGTTCTAAATTTGAATATTTAAAATATTTATTTGACACATGCACTGTGACAATCATTATAATATTCCTTATTTGAATATTTAATTAATATACTCGAAACTTCCATTTCATTTTACGTATACTCGTATTTATGTATATTTTAAAATCCTCGTGCGTTAAATTATTCCTTAAGACAGTTGTTATGTGTCTTGTACCAGAGAATATACTGTCTTACCTTTAAATTTTTTTTTGCTACGATATGGAAGAAAAAAGTTACAGTCTGTTACTAGATTTTATAATAATAACATTATGTGTGTTGTTACCTGTGTATGCAGGCTGCATCCTGCTGCTGGGCCGCACAAACATGTTCCGGTACAACGACCCTGCGGAGGCTGCCAAGCTGCGGCAGGAGGGCAGCGCCTCCGTCATGAACCTGTCGCGCCTCTCGCTGCTCTCCTGGTCCACCACCGACCTCGCCGCCAGTAACGAAAACCTCAACACCACGCTCTCGTTAGTATCATTTCCATCCTATCTCAATCTTGTGACAGAAGTCACAACATTTTGATTGATTTTTTTTTATTAAAGCTAATTCACTTTTATGTCACCTGTCACCGTTCAGGGACCTGGAGAGCGAGATTCGATGCGAGAGGATAGAGGCTCAGCGCGCAGAACTGGAGCGAGAGCGGCAACAGTTCCTGCTGCAGCAGGAGGAGCGGCAACGGCGCTGGCACGCCGAGCGGGAGGAGCTGCTGCAGGCGCAACGTAAGCTGGACGAGGTGAGCTGTTCGTACAATGAAATGACTTTGATAGCTCGCCATAAAAAAGATAACCTTAAACGATAAACAGTAGACACTGCCATGTAAAACTTAGACTAGTGCCATGTTCAACATATCTTTGGTTGCCGATCAACCGCGACGTAACAACACTGTATAAATTTTCTGCAATTTCTTACGTTCGGTCACATTGCGTTGAAGACAGGTCATTATGTTGACATCAAGACGTAGAATGCTCGCACCTCCGGCGTCTGTTCACTTATTTTTACTCAGCGGAAGATCGGCAACGCCGCATTGCATACTTTCTTATGTGATACGACTTCACTCAATAAACAGTCTGCGTTGATTGCTTGCGGTGGTATAGTACATTACTGCAGCGGCCAGCAACTGAGGCATTGATGGACGAACGTGCAAATGTGGGCCGAGGCGTAGCCGAGGCACACATACGTGAGTCCATCAATGCCTAGTTGTGGCCAAGGCTTGTATAGTACTTTTCTCAAACAATGCGCGGAAATCAAAAACACAATTTTATTGTTTAGGTTCAATGACGAATAACGACAAATAATAATTTTTCACGCGCCAAAATGTTCTTTTGTTTTTTTTTTCAATAAACAGCTTTCTATTTGCAAGCCAGTTCAAAATTTAAATAAAACCTTTTATTAGTTACCTCATTGGTAGCCATGTTTCGAAATAAAAGGTCATTCTATTTTTAAATTACAGGATAATTATGAGTTTACATAGTAATTTATCTGACCGCAAAACACGACAGATATGGATTTTCATACAACTTTTGCCGGCCGCTACCCGCATATATCTGGCCAGTACGGCAATTTTGATTTATCTCGAAGAAGATTATCAAAATAATGTTCACATTTCCAAGCATGTTTGAGAAAAATATTTTTGCGATCAAAGATACGCTGAATGTGTGTGGTTTCGGCGTTATTGTTGTTCTGTGTGACCGTCGATCGTTGATCGCTGAAAAAATGCCGCGTGTGGCACTACTGTGTAGTTCACACATTAATTCCTAATTTAAAATTTGAATTTTTGAAATTGAAAATGGAACACTGACGTTCGCAATGTAATGGTCCTGTGGTGTGGCGACAGGAGCGCGAGGCGATGGAGCGCGAGTATGCAGCTGCTTGCCGGCGGCTGTCGGGCGACTGGCGCGCGCTGGAACGCGGCTGGACGCACCGCCGCCGCGCGCTGCGCTGCAGGCAGCGCGAGCTGGCCGCGCGCCAGCACCGCCTGCGGGCGCGCGCCGACACGCACCGCGCCACGGTCAGTACGCCTGCTGCTGCAGCTGCTGCTGCTGCTGCTGCTGCTGGACTACTGGTAGCTGGACTGCCACTGCCACTACCGTCGGCTGATGGATCAATTCCACCGTCAACACGTGCCCTTACCAATCACACGGTTATTGGGACCGAATCCGGTAAGTATGGTGCCTGTATTCACATATCATGTTGGTGAACTCCAATAAAGTTATTTATTCATCAACCGCACTACAGCCACTGTGAGCTCTGTCTCTATATTGTTCCTGTACTTCCGTGTGACACTACACTTAGCAACTGGTAAGAATGTTATTGTCTATGAAGCGACCCAATACAAGAAATTTAATGCAGTCGCTATGTATGTAACCAGGGCACATTCATAGTGGCGGCGGTAGGTAAGTGTCGTTACTTGAGTATATAGTTCTGCCAACATCCACTCTATACTCTATTGTACTTCCTGTACATTAGTATACAAGGTGCAAACTTGTACCCATCGCTCGACCGTGAGTATTGCTACATGTAACCGCTTCTATATTATGTTTTATCCAGAAATTTATAAGTAGATGTAGTTAAAAAAAAATAAACAAAATATGTAGAATGCAATCAGTCATCTATTCTTCAGAAGTTTCACAGAATCTTCGATTAAAGTATTATGAAGGCTATACACGCTCAAGGCGCGTGGTTCTACTATATCAAATCTATTCTATTTCTGACCGTTTGTCTCGCTCGCACTACTGCCGAAGCTCATCGTTCTATCTCTATCGTACGGTGACGTTCTAAAGACAAAAACAGAGTGCCCTATGTCCCACAAGCAGTAATACGTGCTTGGTTTAGACGGCAAGACCGTCTATGAAGCCCACAAGTGCTTTTATAACAATTTTTTTAATAGTTGGTAATGAAATGGTAACCCTGCCTGCGCTATCGGTATACGATGGCGGGACAGCAGTAAGGGATAATAGGTGACGATGAAAGCGGGTCAGTTAGCCCATCGTGACAAACTTCATTAGAATTAATCACGATAGTCGCCGCGTGGAGGTCGACCTGATAAGGACGTATTGCTAGCAATGGGTCAGTTTTTAATGGGTGATAATGGAATGGTAACCCCACCCGCGCTAACAGTATACACCGACGGAGCACCAGTGAAGGATGATAGGTGAGGATAAAGCAGGCCAGTAAGCCCATCGTGATGAATTTAATAAGAATTGTTCACGATGGTTTCCAGGGGGAACCACGTGGAGGTCAACCTAATAGGGCAAATTGCTAACAATGGGGCTATCAAACTCCATTGCTAACAATCCCTTTCCCCCCGCAATGGGTCGGTTAGATCCCATTACTAACAGTCCAATTTTTCACCCAATGAATGACTTAGTTGTAAGCATGCCCTACCATCTTGAATTGACCTCGAACCTTGCATGACGAATTTAAAGCTATTACTACTTACCTGGGTTACGCGTTAATTTTTTATATTTCTTTAACAAAACCTAAGTATAGATCATAATCTTCAGGAAAGGAACACATGAGGCATAACAGTGCATTCTGTGATGCCCCTGGTACTTTAGGAGGGAGATTTTGTACAAAAGTCGTTTGCTTAGGCACCTCTGTCCCATTCGTGATTTTACCGTGAAGCCGTTGTTTGCATGGTTGTGTTTCGGTTTGACGGGTGGGATATGGCAGTGAATTTACAGGGTACAGAGATATAATGCCTTAGTCCTCAGGAATGGCAACGCATGGGGGGTATCATGGACGAAACAGTATACTCTGTTATGTCCATGGTACTGCTCATGTCTATAGGCGACGGTTACTACTTTCCATCAGGTGGGCCGTCAGCTTGTTTGCTAAACGTCATAAAACAAAAAATAATAATAATTAAGAAGTCTTTGTTAATTAAAAAAAAAAAAAAAACAATGCACGTTACAAATAATTCTCTCACAAAACAGCGTCGCGTTTATTGCATCACACTCGAAGTGTGTGTAATCTGTGCCATTGCGCCGTGCTATCAATACAGCTTCTATTATATTTTTATACAAGCGATCTGCCCCGGCTTCTTACGATTTTTTTTAAATTAAACACTATGTTACTAGTAATGTATAGCTTTATATAGGTGAAAGATATTTTAAAGTATTTTTTGAGTTTATCTGTTACAAACAAAAAATCTAATGCTCGCTTTAGTTAAAGATTTACTAGTGGATTTCGACTATAGTATTAATTGCTATCTCTTGTCTGTTTATATATATATATATATATATATATATAATAAAGACTACGTAACTTTATGTATATTAATGTAATAGTTCATTGTCGTTGATCTCTGAAACTATTCAAAACAATATCAAATAAAATTTTATAATATTTGCTCCAACTTGAGAGATAAGATAGTTTTATATTTCAATAAGGACAAATGGATCCAATAGGTAGCGCTCAGGGGCAAAATACCGTTTGCTCTCATCAATCCCAGCCATTATTTGTCCACTGCTGAACATAGGTCTCTCCCATAGACTGCCATAAAGAACTGTCCTTAGCCACCTCAGGTGGGCCGTCAGCTTGTCTGCCATTCTAAGTTGTATAAAAAAATCGGTTAAAGAAGAAAATAGGCTATTTTTATTACATCATCAATAGGTCCTAGTAATCCGCCAAACGAACGTAGTCGTGGGTAAAAACTAGCTAAGTATAACTTAACTAAAAGGAAACTGTGACCTTACCTCACGTGTTTCGGTTTGTAATCGAGAAACACTAGTACCGGTCATCAATGAATGAATGCACTCATTTTTTTTAATGCAAACAATGCGCTAATTGTTTTACACTCTCACCAGTACGATTAGCCCAGTTAGTAGCAATGGTTGGTTAGTTCGGCCGCTTCACATCCACTAGTCGTTCGATTTTCCTTTTACATAGCTGTTTGTGCCTTTGTTTTTTTTTTTTTAATTTGGAGTTTCAAATTTGTTGGTTTTACTATTGTTACCGGTTTTCAGAATATGTGGTGATATGGATTTATAGATAGATATATATATATATATATATATACACTTTATTTCAATAATCTGTGACATATATATATATATATATATATCGGGTTCTTCGGATACCCAGTTCAGGCACCAGTTCTCTGCAACTTTAATGTATCTATGGTATTATTATAAATGGTTCATTGTACTCAAAAAAGTTGTTAGATAAATATATTATTAGGCAGACCTATGACACTACGACCTTTCCATGGTGTTTTGTGTTCGCTCTTTTTTTAAAGTTCGCTGCTAATCCCTATTTGTGATAGGAATTTTTAATTTTTTTTTTTATCTCCTCAAGATATAGAGTGTGTTTTCCAAAGGAGATATGTCGTTTATGAGTGGGCGACAGCCACACGTAAATGAACAAAAATATTTATATAGTATAAATGTATAAAAAAAAATATTTAAATATAATTTCAAGATAATTGTAGAATATTAATGAGGAACTTATTTAATTATCTTATTTAATATTTTTAATATATAAAATAATTTTTACCAGAGGGAGACTTTGTACAAAAGTCGATTGCTTGGGTACCTCTGTCCCATTCGTGTTTCAACTAACTATATAGTATAAATATATAATAAATTATATATTAATTAATTAACCAATAATTATCCATATCACCACATAATTCACATATAGTAAAACCACAAAGTTCCGAACTCCGTATTTATTTTTACGTTGCTACACGCGCCCCCTATCCCGTAGGCTGAGAGCGAGGAGGGTCAGGTGACAACCCTGAGAAGCAAGGTGGAAGCGAAGAGGACCGCGCTGGAGGACCTGGTCAAGCAGCAGACGAGGGAGCTGCTGGCGAAGGGCTGCAAGTTGGACGAGGTAAGGTGCATGATATGTGTCCCTTTATTTACTAGTGACCCGCCCCGGTTTCGCATATATTTTTTTTTTATATAATAGCCGATTTTACTCATTGATGTAGCTGTAGCTTTCTACAAGTGAAAGAATTTTTAAAATTGAATAAAAGTAGATAGATAGATATTCTTTATTGTTTCCTCCAAAAGATTACAATAGTAAACTTATTATAAATATAAACAATTACAAGAAATGATCACAATGAGAAAACAATGGGTGACTTTCTCGTAGTTTTAATTTATCAAACAAACAATAAAATCTTTACTCTTTATAAGTTTGTACCTATTATAAAAGTTAAGTTTTTTTTTATATAACTTAGAATGGCAAACAAGCATGCGGCCCATCTGATGGAAAGTGGTAACCGTCGCCTATAGACGTGAGCAGTACCATGGACATAACAGAGTATACTGTGTAGCATGCGTTGCTATTCCTGAGGACTCAGATGTTTTTTTTTTGATGGGTGAAAATGGTATAGTAAACCCGCCTGCGCTATCTGGATACGCTGGCGAAGCACCAGTGAAGGGTGATAGATGAGAATGAAAACAGACCAGTTAGACCATCATGATGAATTCATCAAGAATTAACCATGATAGTTTCCAGGTAGAACCACGAGGAGGTCGACCTGGTGGTAGCAATATACCCAATATTGCTAGCAATAGGATTCTCAGTCTCCATTACTAACAATCCCTTTCCCCCCAGGACTCAGGTGTTATTCCTCTGTACCCTGTAATTGGCATATTTGGCAATTTGGCATAGAAACTCGAGCGAGTCATTGCTACTGTAGTTCCGTACGTACGTTACCTTGAGCGGTGGTTTACTTCCTTCTTTGTAAAATATGAATTTGTATATATAAGAATTATATATATACTTTATTGCACTTGTAAGTTACATATAATATAATGCATTTATAAATATTGTGAGCAAGCGTGGACTTATCTCTGACAGTGATCTCTTCCAGTCAACCCAATGCAGTTAGAAAACATGTCGCTAGCGGGCAGCTGAAGTGCTACAACTATTAATATTTAGTGTACATAAACAAATATACAGTTAAATAAAATATTAAGATAGATAATAAAATATTACATAAATACATATACTATACATAAATAAATATATCTACCTACTTATACAGTGGATGTTAAAATAAATGAATATACTACCTACAATAGAAATTTAGTTCAATGATTTTAAGGTTTGACAGTATGTAATATGATTATATATAAATATAATTATGTAATTAGCATCCTATTATTAATATTCATTATTACTATAATACACACAATAATGTGTGTATATAAATACATTGAGTAAAGTCACTTTGACAGTTTTTTTTTTTTTTTTTTAAGAAAATTACTCTATTATGTTGGAAAATAAGGAACTGAAATCTCTGTTTTTTTTTTGGTATCACGAGTGAACGGACATAAACGAAATTTTCTATACGAATAGATTGTTTTATCAGAATCCATCGAGCGGATAATGAAATTCTTGATACTTGACCCTTTTAGAATAGACGGAGGGAGACTTTGTACAAAAGTCGATTGCTTGGGTACCTCTATCCCATTCGTGTTTTTACCGTGAAGCAGTTGTGTTTGCATGGCTGTGTTTCGGTTTGAAGGGTGGGATATGGCCTGAATTTACAAGATACAGAAGAATAACACCTGAGTCCTCAGGAATGGCAACGCATGGGTGGTATCATGGGCGAAACAGTATACTCTGTTATGTCCATGGTACTGCTCATATCTATAGGCGAGGGTAACACTTTCCATCAGGTCGGCCATTAGCTTGTTTGCCATTCTAAATTGTATAAAAAAAAACCCAGTTAGGCTTATGACGATGTTTACCGAGGGACGCTGCTGCTAATCCCTCGACTATTAAGTTCTCTTAGTCGCCTCTTACGACACCCACGGGAAAGGAAGGGGTGGCCCGTTCTATACTGTGACCACACGGCAATGCGCACACGGTATGCGCAGTTAGTCTATCTATCCATTTAAGAGCTGCGCTCTTGTCGGTGGAGCTCTTGCCACTCACTACGATTTTCAGCGAGTCTCTTCACCTCTTGATACGACACGACACCAACTCCTTCCTTGATCTGCCTGATGTAACTATGTCTCGGTCTCTCTCTTCCCCTTCTTCCTTCTATCTTACCTTCTATTATAATGTTCATAAGTTCGTCGTGTCGTATCAAGTGTCCTAACATTTTTCCCCTTAGTTAGTTAGGCCCCTTAGTTAGGTAGTTAGTTAGCGCAGTTAGTAAATTAATAAAATAAAGGATGTCCGCATTACATAAAAAAAAAATCTGATAACAAATATGTAACATCCTGACTGTATAATTAAATGCACCAAGGGCGAGTTCGCCGCGTATGAAGGGGCTCCAGTCACCCGCCTGCCGTGGTAGAACGCGGTTTCATATACCTTGTGAATCTAATATGTATTTTATAGTTGTTTATGTAAGTTAAATTTTTTTTTTAATTTGTTTTCGGATCTTGGCACGACGCTGATTGCAGGTAAAATTCAAGATTTCCTTCTAAAAAAAAAAAGTCTACTTTAGTCGCGAGAAAATCTGTTATTTTGCTTAAACTAAAAATTAAACTGGTTTTCATAAAATTTCTACGGGATCAGTTTGAAAATATATCCTCTTTTTTCGACGTCGGTTGTAAATAGTAGTTATTTTTTTTTACAACACAGGGGGCAAACGAGCATGCGGATCACCTGATGGTAAGTGGTAACCGTCACCTATAGACATGAGCAGTACCATGGACATAACAGAGTATACTGTTTTGCCCATGATACCCCCATGCGTTGCCATTCCTGAGGACTCAGATGTTATTCTTCTGTACCCAGTAAATTCACGCCATATCCCACCCTTCAAACCGAAACACAGCCATGCAAACACAACTGCTTCACGGTTGAAACACGAATGGGGCAGAGGTACCCAAGCAATCGACTTTTGTACAGTCTCCGTGTAATTAGCTAAAGAATCAGACTTCATAATGAAATAATAGTTTATTAAATATGAACACATCCAAGAGTTTAATATTCTTATATTATGCAGAATGCAGTGTAGATAAATTTATTTTTATTTATTATTATTTATTTGACAAAAACACAAAGTCACCAGAGGGAGACATTGTACAAAAGTCGATTGCTTGTGTACCTCTGTCCCATTCGTGTTTCTACCGTGAAGCAGTTGTGTTTGCATGGCTGTGTTTCGGTTTGAAGGGTGGGATATGGCGTGAATTTACTGGGTACAGAGGAATAACACCTGAGTCCTCAGGAATGGCAACGCATGCCGGGGTATCATGGGCGAAACAGTATGTATGTGTACTATTATGTCCATGGTACTGCTCATGTCTATAGGCGATGCTTACCACTTTCCATCAAGTGGGCCGTCAGCTTGATTGCCATTCTAAGTCGTATAAAAAAAAAACCAAGACACTAGGCGAACCTGTATCGTGGGCACCTGACAAATATTAACAATTCACATTTCGTCAAAAGTAAAAATAAATGAGTTATTATAGAGTTCCTGTACCCATAAACGTTTATACATATAGGAAAGGCGCAAACATCTATAAATAAATAAATAATTGCATTGCAGAGCGCGACGCCGAGTCCCGAGAGCCCGGCTTCGGAGTCCAGTACTGAATGCTTGATGCACCTGCTGCAGCAGTGCGAGCCTAAGACTGCTAAGAGCATCAAGGATACCGTTGATAGACATGTGAGTATTGTTGTAAAAACATGTAAATGAAATGGTAACCCCGCCTGCGCTGTTGGTTGGTATACACTGGCGGGACACCAGTGAGGGACGATAGATGAAGATGAAAAGGTAGGTAGGTCAGTTAGCTCATGATGAATTCAGCAAGTATTAGCCACGTTGGTTTCCAGGGGTGACCACGTGGAGGTCGACCTGATAAGGTATATTCTAACAGTAGGGCTGTCAAATCCTATTACTTGGGGGGGGGAAAGGGATTGTTAGCGATGGAGTTCGACATTGCTAGCAATATGTCCTATCAGGTCGACCTCCACGTGGACCTCCACTGGAAACCATCGTGAACAATTCTTGTTGAATTCGTCACGATGGGCTAACTGACCTGCTGCATCCTCATCTATTACCCTCACTGGTGCCCCGCCGGTGTATGCCAATAGCGCGGGTGGGGTTACCATTCCATTATCACCCATTAAAAAAAAACCCTATTACTTGCAATCCGCTTCCCCCATAAGGATGAAGTTAAGTCAGTTGATTCATCGGGACGTATTAAATAGATAATAATAATAATTTATTCAATAAACATATACACATACAATTACAAGATACGTATAATACATTAAATTTACCAGAAATTAAGCACGATGGCGTCCAGGGTGATCGCGTTGAGGTCAATCATATAGGGTATATATATTGTCTTTTTCTCAATGTCCTCTACCCAAAGGTTGTCTGGAAGAGATTGCTTAGCGATAAGGCCGCCTTTTGTATCACTTCTCATTAATATTTACTGTATTTGTTATTTCTCTTTTTACTTGGTGCAATAAAGTGTAAATAAATAAATAAATAAATATATACAATGAGACCTGGGCTCGATTGCTAACAATCCTCCTCCCCCAGATATGTGAGTATTATGCTCAAAATTCTTCCCAAGGATCTGCATGGTGTAGGTATGAAGGCTCCGGGTTTTACTTTTGAAATAAACTGTTGGGTCAGGTTGCTCCTGTTTATTGAAATTTATGTTTACATTTTATTCAGGTAATAAAGGCATAAATTTTTAAGAAGAAGAAGTATAAGAATATGTTTATTCAATTAAGTTGCAAGCATTTTTGAATAAAAAAAAAAATATAATTTTTTATGCAACTTAGAATGGCAAACAAGCTGATGGCTCACCTGATGGAAAGTGGAAACCGTCGCCTATAGACATGAGCAGTACCATGGACATAACAGAGTATACTGTTTCTCCCATTATACCCCCCATGCGTTGCCATTCCTGAGGACTCAGGTGTTATTCCTCTGTACCCTGTAAATTTACTGTCATATCCTACCCTTCAAACTGAAACACAGCCAATGAAACACAATTGTTTCACGGTAGAAACACGAAGGGGACAGAGGTACCCAAGCAAACGACTTTTGTACAAAATCTGGTAATGATATACGATAATTCTAATAACTGTTTATTTATTTATTTATTTAAGGAACACCAACAGCATATTGCATTATAACATATAGGTATAACAACATTAAATACAATACAATATTAATGCACATTGCACAAACTGTTTTATCATCTTCACACCCATGGTTCTTTATACATACCGTAGCCAATCTTTTATCTATTATTTTGTAGAAGAAAGAGCTGGTGGAACTGGAGGAGGAGCTGCAGAAGCGCGTGGCGTCGGTGGCGTCGCACCGCGTGAAGATCGAGCGGCTGCAGGCCGAGCTGGCGCTGCTCAGCACGCAGGACCTCGGCCTGCGCCACGCGCTCGCCGCCGATCTCAGCCCCACCGCCGTCACCGGTACTGCTTAATGTAGTATTTTATCAAGCTAATACCAATCGTCTATTTTTCAAGCTAGGGTACCTTTTGATCTTGTGAAGGAACCAACCAAGCATCTGAGGGCACAGCTCAGAACAGCAAGAGGAAAGGGATTGTTCAACCGTTGTAACAGGTCTACCTCCAGGGGGTTTCCCTGGAAAGTATTATGGTTAATATTAACCATCAAAAATTTTTGATAGTTCATCGCTAACTGATTTGCTTCATCCTTACCTATCATCCTCCTTTACTAGTGCCCTGCCAGCGTAAACCGATAGCGCAGGCGGGGTTACTATCCCATTTTCACTGGCCGTGTGGTTCCGGTATAGAATAGGCCACCCCTTCCTATTCCGTGGTTGTCGTAAGGGCCGACTAAGGGAGGGCGAGGGATAGGTAGCAGCGTCCCTCTTAAAACATCTCCAAAGACTAACTTCAGTTGCCAATACGTCTGCCAAACGTAGCAACTACTGGCAAAACCCCCCAAGGGGGCGGCTTATGTTCAGCAGTGGACAATTAAAGGCTGGTATGATGATGAATGCGTCCTCCACTGCGTTTTAAAGGGTATCGATGTTTATACTTAGATAATGTATTGAGGTATTTCCAGATCTGTTTATATATTTTGAATGGTGTGGTTCCGCAGAGCGGGAATCTGAGGGTGAGGTGCGTGCCAGCAGCGTGAAGCGCAGCAAGTCCGAGCTGGTGCTGCGCACGCCGCGCCAGGAGTTGGAGCCGCTCTCCGCCGACGAGCGCGAGGAGTTCCACATGAAGAAGATGAGGTAAGGGATTGGCCATCTCGACAATTAAGACTTTTTATACTACTGAGGTGGCAAACAAGTATACGGACCACCTGATGGTAAGCGGTTACCGTAGCCTATTAACACCTGCAATACCAGAGGTATTACGCGAGCGTTGCCGACCCTGAAGAAACCTCTTTACCCCTCTTTTGAAGAACCCCATGCTGTAGTCTCTTGGGAAAACCTCGGCAGGGAGCTCATTCCACAACCTGAGTGTTCGTGGGAGGAAACATCTCTGAAACCGTGCAGTACGTGACCATTTAGGCTGTAGGACATGAGGATGAACTCCCTGTGGATGGCGAGCCGTACAATGGTAGAACGTAAGACTACGATCTGTCTCACTACAACAAGCCGGGAAGCAAGGTAGCGACTAGCAATGTACTCTATCAGGTTGACATCCACGCAGTTGTCCTTGGAAACCATTGTGGCCCTTAGTGTATTCGTCACGATGGGCCAAATGATATGACTTCATACTCATTGATCATCCGTCACTGATGCCTTGCCAGAACAAGCGTAGGTAGTCTCACCATTCCTGTTTCAGATATTAAAAAAAATTAAAAGGTCGCGGTAAAAGCTTGCAACGCTGCAGACATCACACTTGCGTATTGCAAGAATTTGTCAATTTTGATATGAGTATCTGAGGAATAACACCTGAGTCCTCAGGAATGGCAACGTATGGGGGGTATCGTGGACGAAACAGTATAGTCTGTTATGTCCATGGCTCATGTCTATAGGCGACGGTTACCACTTTCCATCAGGTGGGCCGTCAGCTTGTTTGCCATTCTAAGTTGTATAAAAAAAAAAAGTCATAAATACCCATTAATAACACTACGCTATCCCTTCAACCCGGAACAGCGCTGTACAAGGTAGCTTGCTTGTTGTAATACGTGAAACACATGTGTTCACTTGGTAAAACTGCTTAATTAAACAAGACATGAAACCAGGAGCTTTCTCGTAAAAGACTTGACTGCTGTCAAACATTTCCAAAACGATACGATATCATAATGTTCAAGAAAAAAAGCATATTCCAACAACACACATGCAATGCCTGTGGTGTTGTGGGTGATCATGGGCGGCGGTAGTTGCTTACCATTTATTTATTTATTTATTCTTTATTGTACACAGAAAAAATTACAACATATATATATATATATATATATATATATATATATATATATATATATATATATATATATATATATATATAAAATAAAGATGTACAACAGGCGAGCTTAACTCTGTAAGAGTTCTCTTCCAGCAAACCCTGAGTGGAAAGTAGCATTAACTTACTTACACTTGCTTTCGGTATGGTCTCTAAAATATACAATAAATTCCCGAAAGCATTTAAGGAAATAAACAGTTTTAAATGTATTTAAGAAAAAAGTGTTACTATACGTTGCATGACTATTACAATGATAAATATTAGACATATAATTTAATTATTTTTATTTGACATTTTTTACATTTTATTATTTACTTCATTCTCGGCTAATTTGCCGGTTTTCGCAGACAACCCGTCCCAAAAACATTTGGAAAAAAGAAAGCTGAGATCCCGACCACTTTTATTACGTGTGTGTATGCAAATATGCATATATATTATTCTTATGCTTCATAGCTCTATACGTGTGTATGCGTGTCTGTAGTAGTCATTTTATTATTATTAGATTTAGATTAAAAAAAATGTAATAACTATTCAAAAGTGCTTCAATGTAAGTTTATTTGAATAAATGATTTTCTATTCTATTCTATTCTATTCTATTCTATTCTATTATTGACATTCTTTTTATTGTTATATAAGTTACTATTACTTTAATTTTATATTGTACACGCCGATATGGTAGAATATGGAATAATGGACATGTAATTATTATTTTCATCTAATGTATGTACCCATATTCGTGCAATAAATGTATTGATTTGATTTACCATCAGGTGAGCCGCATGCTCGTTTACCCCCCTGTGTTATAAAAACAAAATTATTACAATGTCTTAAGAATTATTTTAGTTCTTTACCCTATGTATTTTCTCTTTCAGCCTAAGCCTCAGTCTGGACCCTCTCACATCACCAAACTCGACCCTGAACACCTGCGATACCTTCCACACAGCCAGCAGCAGCTCCCCCAAGCAGTTCCCTCCGTCTCCCACGTCTCCTACTTCCCCCACTGCCACCCCGGCCACCACATCTACGGCGGAGGCTCTGGACCTTCTAGAACCTCCCCTGCAGCCTCAATTCAGACTGGGACCAGTGCCAGTGGCCGATGACAGTGACGACATGTCCAGCACTGAGGACTATCATAAGGTAGTGTTTTTATTATACTGCCGTGTCAGTCCCGGCATAGAATGGGCCACCCCTATCTTTCCTGTGGGTGCCGTAAGAAGTGACAAAAGTTAAAGTAAAAAGCAGTATCCTTCTTAAAACGTCACTAAAAGCCTAACTGCGGTTGCCAACTCGCCTGCCAAGCGTGGCAGCTACTGGCAATTAATTTTAAAAAATTGGTTGCAGAATTAATTTTTAATACAATTGGTAATGGCAAACAGCTGATGATCCATATGATGGGAAGTGGTAACAGTCGTTAGTTTATAAGACGAAGTATAGAAGAAACCGTGATTGTTACAAAATATATTTCTTATGGTTTTATGATTTGAGTACTCGCCTTGCTATGTAACTAGTCATACAGAGGGAGACTTTGTACAAAAGTCGATTGCTTGGGTACCTCTGTCCCATTCGTGTTTCAACCGTGAAGCAGTTGTGTTTGCATGGCTGTGTTTCGGTTTGAAGGGTAGGATATGACAATAAATTTACAGGGTACAGAGGAATAACACCTGAGTCCTCAGGAATGGCAACGCATGGGGGTATCATGGACGAAACAATATATTCTGTTATGTCCATGGTACTGCTCATGTCTATAGGCGACGGTTACCACTTACCATTAGGTGGGCCGTCAGCTTGTTTGCCATTCTAAGTTGTATAAAAAAACACAAATTCGCAACAGTACCTATTAAGATGACTGTAAGAAGTGTATTTGTCACCATATATGACTTTTTTCTTTTTTAATTTATCACTTACAACGAGAGAGATGTAATTCTTTGCCTCTATTGATCGCTCTCATGTATGCCAACAATTAAAGTGTAGTTTTATTGATAAATTTCAATGTATGCTGTCTGTTCCAGCCGAGAATAGTGGAAGGTCAGTCGTCGAGTTCAGTGGAGAGGTCTCCAGACGAAAGGCATCAAAGGGCCAAATATAGGAGAAGGGTTCCAGGTGGGATAACCTTAGTAATATTGTAAATGTGAAAGTTCGTAATTTATTTATTTATTTCTGTGGTACATCAACGTATTACAAACAAAACTTTTACCAATACAATACAACTCCCTTCTGCGTGTTCTACCGCCTGTACAATGGATTGTGCTCAGAGGAATTGTTCAATATGATGCCCACAGCCACTTTCTACTATCGTACGGCTCGCCATCCACAGGGAGTTCATCCTCATACCCTACAGCCTCAATGGTCGCGTACTGCGCGATTTCAGAGATGTTTCCTCCCACGAACACTCAGGTTGTGGAATGAGCTCCTTGCCGAGGTTTTCCCAAGAGACTACAGCATGGGGTTCTTCAAAAGGGGGGTAAAGAGGTTTCTTCAGGGTCGGCAACGCGCGCGTAATACCTCTGGTATTGCAGGTGTTTATAGGCTACGGTAACCACTTACTATCAGGTGGGCCGTATGCTTGTTTGCCACCTCAGTGGTATAAAAAAAAACAACAATAGCATTATAAGTTTGCAATCCAATTATAGTCGCGCTCAACATTCACAGAGGTGAAACAACATACGTTGATTTTTAATACAAAAACAGTGTTAATGAATGATAAAAATTACATACAAAATAAGGGCCAAAAACTAAACTACCAAACTATGCTTATAAACTATTGGGTTATCAGTGCATATAAAGTGCTTCGACACGGTGAACATTTCAGATAGAACATGTCAATATCCGATTTACAATCGATGTCATTGTACAATTTGCACATTCTATACATTGAATTATTATATGACACATTATTGTTTGCGAACGGTATAGAAAAGAGTTTAGTTGTACGAGAAGAGTGTCCAGTGGCAGTAATAATGTTTGTTATGCAAATTCATATGTAAACGGCTTTGAATGTAATACTGAGCAGGCGAGGCCCGGGCGGGCGGGCGGCGGCCGGTGACGGAGGCGGAGGCGCTGCGAGCCATGCAGCGGCTGTGCTCGCGCATCGCCGCGCAGAAGATGCTCGTCATCTCCTCGCTGGAGAACGACTGCTCCAAGGAGGACCTCAACCGCCAGATCGCGGTAACACTCCGCACCAGGCTTCACACCACACCACACACCGCACCTAACGAACGGATTCGAATGAAATTTATTTTTTATTTCTATTCATTTATTCATTAGTACATATATGTATACATGGCGGACTTAATGCTAAAAGCATTCTCTCCCAGTCAACCATAGGGAAGTGTCAGAATACTCGAATGCGGTACTACTAATTATTGATATACATACGTACTAAATTTACATATATAAACGAATAAATATAAATAATTAACAAATATACTTATCTATAACATATATTATACATAAAATTAAAAATAATATACACAGTACTTACTGCTCGGATAAAGTAAAAAAGTAAGCATGAATTTTTTTTTAAAGACGGTTTAATTGGGAGTCTCCAAATTTACACACTGATACATACTGATTTACATGGACGAAGCCGCAGGATACAGCTAATAAATCATATAGATGGGATATGTAAAAAAAAAAATAACATATATCTCAAACCAAGAGTACACCTATACAATATAAGCTCGAAGCTGATTTGATGGGATATGAACAAAACGAGTTGTAATTATTTTTGTCTTGAATTTGAATAAGTTTTAAGTGAATGTAATTAGAATTAAATGTGTTGTAATTGGATATATAATAAATTAGAAAAAATAATTATAATATTACACACTTTACATATAATTACGTGTCTAATTTTTGGGAAAGAAATGGCCAAAAATCTCAACTTTCATCACATAAAACTAATACACTTGTTAACTAATATTATTATCAATTAATTAATTACATTATTTATTTTCAGGTACTGCAAGAGCTGCAAAAGAAGTACGTCCGTCTGGAGATGGCGCTGCAGTACTCGTTCTTCGACAACCAGAGCGGCGGGCGGCGTGCCATGATGGTGACGCCCATCCAGGAGACGCCGTCGCTGACGCTGTCCGAGAGCGACATGCTCGTCGCCAGCGACAGCGGCCCCGCGCCGCCGCCGCACCGCAACGGACACCTCGTCGACCCGCTGCTGCACAGGTGATATTTTAAGTCTTTATTTTTCAATATTAATTTTGGTGTAATGGTATTCGTGTCCTAATTTAATTTTTTTTTATGCAACTTAGAAAGGCAAACAAGCTGATAGCCCACCTGCTGAATAGTGGTAACCGTTGCCAATAAACATGAGCAGTACCACGAACATAATAGAGTATACTGTTTCGCCCATTATACCCCCCATGCGTTGCCATTCCTGAGGACTCAGGTGTTATTTCACTGTACCCTGTAAATTCACGCCATATCCCACCCTTCAAACCGAAACACAGCCATGCAAACACAACTGCTTCACGCTAGAAACACGAATGGGACAGAGATGCCTAAGCAAACGACTTTTGTACAAAGTCTTCCTCTGGTAATTAGGTGTAACAACGTCGAAATTGTCTGGCAATTTCCGAAAACAATCTATAAGTTTCAATCGTCATCACATCAGCTTTTAACCGTCCACTGCTGGACGTAAGCCTCCCCCTTGTGGAGTTTTGCTAGTAGTTACCACATTTGGCATGCTGATTGGCAACCGCAGTCAGGCTTTAGAGATGTTTTAAAGGTGACGCTACTGCCCATCCATCGCCCTCCCATAGTCACCTTTTACGACGGCTACGGGAAAAGAAGGGGTGGCCTATTCTATGCCGAAACCATACGGCCATATTTCTAATAATTTAAAATAATTTATCATTTCAAAATTTATAAATAATAGCTTATTATATGAATATTACTGTAAAAGAACACTGTTAAATAATCAATAAAAATATTACAAACTTCGGTTTAAACACTCTTAAGAATTTTCACACCAAAGTCTGATAATGTCTCAAATTTCAAAAACAAACAAAACTTTAATAATTCCGATTGATTATTTAAAAACATTTTTTTTTTTAATTATTCAATTTGAATTGATTAATTAAAAAAATATTATTTTTACATTAAATGTTATCTATTTTATCGTCAGATTAAAAGAGCAAGAGATCGAAGCATCAGACAACGTATCGACGTCGAATGACGAGCTTCCCACGGAGAATTCGGAGCTGTGGGACGACCCGTTGCGGCGGCCCGAGCACGAACCAGAGCACGAGCACGACCGCGAGCGCGAGCACGAGCAAGCGATCATAGAACATGTACTGCCGGTATTGTACTCACATTCTTTCATTTAATCCATTAGTCGCTAATTCAAATCCGGCTTGAAGGACCACAAATCATGTTATTATTTCAGCCGTTAACTGTCCACTGCTGAATATTAGCCTTCACCATAAGGGGAGTTTTGCCAGTATTTGCCACGCTTGGCAAGCGGGTTGGCAACCGAAGTTAGGCTTTTGCAGATGTTTTAAGAGGGACGCTACTGCCATCCCTCCACTATATGCTCCCTTAGTCGTCTCTTACACACCCATGGGAAAGGAAGGGGTGGTCCATTCTATGCCGGGACCTGCACGGCGACACATATAACATGCAAATATGATAACTTACATTGTGTAGTTTTTACAGTCTGAGGGAAATAAGTATGTATGGTTTTGTGTTAATATGTAATTATGACATTTAAGGAGCCGCTGTATGGTGACAAACCATACAACCACACAATTGAACACTTATTTAAAGTTATTTCTGCTTTACAATCACAAAATTTTGTTTTAGTAAATACAAAATAAACGTCGTTCAGAGCCCTTCTATATTTCGAAAATTACTTTTTTGTGGCCTCTTCGATATTTGTTGTTTCTTTTTTTTTTATTTTTAAATTGTTGTCACAATGTTTAATTTTTTCTTCCAGGATACTACAGTGTCTGCTGGTCTCATGCATCCGATAGATTTCAGTAAGTTGTTTGTTTATATAAATTAATAGAATAGATCCTAGAGTCAAACCCTGAGGTACGCCTGTGATTTATATTTGATTTTTCACAAATTTTGCTTAATTTTTGTATACATTATATGAATTTGTATTTCTTTTTTTAGTGTGCTGTATATTTTTATATTTTAGGTTCTAGTTTCCGTAATATAAAAATAAAGAAATGCTTTAGTCACCCGATCAAATGCTTCGGAAAGATCTAAATAAGAATATTGAATATGTATAAACAATTATGGTTATTCCCGATTTATTCGACATACCAGAGGGATACTGTACAAAAGTCGATTGCTTGGACACCTCTGTCCCATTCGTGTTTCTACCGTGAAGCAGTTGTGTTTGCATGGCTGTGTTTCGGTTTGAAGGGTGGGATATGGCGTGAATTAAATGGGTACAGAGGAATAACACTTGAGTCCTCTGAATTTACAGGGTACAGAGGAATAACACCTGAGTCCTCAGGAATGGCAACGTTTGGGGGGTATCATGGGCGAAACAGTACACTCTGTTATGTCCATGGCACTGCTCATGTCTATAGGCGACGATTACCATTTTCCATCAGGTGGACCGTCAGCTTGTTTGCTATTCTAAGTTGTGTAAAAAAAATGTGGTCCGTAATATGTGTGGGCGCTGTCGTGCGGTGGAGCCGCGGCAGTGTACGTGTACGTGTATAGGTGTATACGTGTAGTGCGCGTGCGCAGGCGCGGTGGTGTCGGTGTGCGGGTGGGTGACGCGCGGCGCCGGGGCCCGCACGCACCAGGAGTACGAGGTGCGCGTGGTGCTGGGCGCGCACTGCCGCTGGCTGCTGCTGCGCCGCTACCGCCGCTTCCGCGACCTCTACCTCTCCATGCGCCGCGCCTACGGGCCCAAGGTGAGCGTCGCGCGCCGCCGCGCACACTCTACCTATACGTACGTACACGCTGACGGCATCGCGTCTGCCGGCAGGTGGCGTCGATCCCGTTCCCGCCGCGGCAGCTGTGGTCGACGGAGAGCGTGGCGCGTGCGCGGCGCGGCGCGCTGGAGGCGTTCCTGCGGCGGCTGCTGACCGTGTGCTCGGCCGACAGCCGCTGCGTGCTGCACGCCGCGCCGCTCACCAGGGACTCGCTCGTCAGCTTCTCGCCCTTCTTCCGCAAGGTACCAGTACGAGTACCTGCAGCCCGTCCCGCGGCGGCTGCTGACCGTGTGCTCGGCCGACAGCCGCTGCGTGCTGCACGCCGCGCCGCTCACCAGGGACTCGCTCGTCAGCTTCTCGCCCTTCTTCCGCAAGGTACCAGTACGAGTACCTGCAGCCCGTCCCGCGGCGGCTGCTGACCGTGTGCTCGGCCGACAGCCGCTGCGTGCTGCACGCCGCGCCGCTCACCAGGGACTCGCTCGTCAGCTTCTCGCCCTTCTTCCGCAAGGTACCAGTACGAGTACCTGCAGCCCGTCCCGCGGCGGCTGCTGACCGTGTGCTCGGCCGACAGCCGCTGCGTGCTGCACGCCGCGCCGCTCACCAGGGACTCGCTCGTCAGCTTCTCGCCCTTCTTCCGCAAGGTACCAGTACGAGTACCTGCAGCCCGTCCCGCGGCGGCTGCTGACCGTGTGCTCGGCCGACAGCCGCTGCGTGCTGCACGCCGCGCCGCTCACCAGGGACTCGCTCGTCAGCTTCTCGCCCTTCTTCCGCAAGGTACCAGTACGAGTACCTGCAGCCCGTCCCGCGGCGGCTGCTGACCGTGTGCTCGGCCGACAGCCGCTGCGTGCTGCACGCCGCGCCGCTCACCAGGGACTCGCTCGTCAGCTTCTCGCCCTTCTTCCGCAAGGTACCAGTACGAGTACCTGCAGCCCGTCCCGCGGCGGCTGCTGACCGTGTGCTCGGCCGACAGCCGCTGCGTGCTGCACGCCGCGCCGCTCACCAGGGACTCGCTCGTCAGCTTCTCGCCCTTCTTCCGCAAGGTACCAGTACGAGTACCTGCAGCCCGTCCCGCGGCGGCTGCTGACCGTGTGCTCGGCCGACAGCCGCTGCGTGCTGCACGCCGCGCCGCTCACCAGGGACTCGCTCGTCAGCTTCTCGCCCTTCTTCCGCAAGGTACCAGTACGAGTACCTGCAGCCCGTCCCGCGGCGGCTGCTGACCGTGTGCTCGGCCGACAGCCGCTGCGTGCTGCACGCCGCGCCGCTCACCAGGGACTCGCTCGTCAGCTTCTCGCCCTTCTTCCGCAAGGTACCAGTACGAGTACCTGCAGCCCGTCCCGCGGCGGCTGCTGACCGTGTGCTCGGCCGACAGCCGCTGCGTGCTGCACGCCGCGCCGCTCACCAGGGACTCGCTCGTCAGCTTCTCGCCCTTCTTCCGCAAGGTACCAGTACGAGTACCTGCAGCCCGTCCCGCGGCGGCTGCTGACCGTGTGCTCGGCCGACAGCCGCTGCGTGCTGCACGCCGCGCCGCTCACCAGGGACTCGCTCGTCAGCTTCTCGCCCTTCTTCCGCAAGGTACCAGTACGAGTACCTGCAGCCCGTCCCGCGGCGGCTGCTGACCGTGTGCTCGGCCGACAGCCGCTGCGTGCTGCACGCCGCGCCGCTCACCAGGGACTCGCTCGTCAGCTTCTCGCCCTTCTTCCGCAAGGTACCAGTACGAGTACCTGCAGCCCGTCCCGCGGCGGCTGCTGACCGTGTGCTCGGCCGACAGCCGCTGCGTGCTGCACGCCGCGCCGCTCACCAGGGACTCGCTCGTCAGCTTCTCGCCCTTCTTCCGCAAGGTACCAGTACGAGTACCTGCAGCCCGTCCCGCGGCGGCTGCTGACCGTGTGCTCGGCCGACAGCCGCTGCGTGCTGCACGCCGCGCCGCTCACCAGGGACTCGCTCGTCAGCTTCTCGCCCTTCTTCCGCAAGGTACCAGTACGAGTACCTGCAGCCCGTCCCGCGGCGGCTGCTGACCGTGTGCTCGGCCGACAGCCGCTGCGTGCTGCACGCCGCGCCGCTCACCAGGGACTCGCTCGTCAGCTTCTCGCCCTTCTTCCGCAAGGTACCAGTACGAGTACCTGCAGCCCGTCCCGCGGCGGCTGCTGACCGTGTGCTCGGCCGACAGCCGCTGCGTGCTGCACGCCGCGCCGCTCACCAGGGACTCGCTCGTCAGCTTCTCGCCCTTCTTCCGCAAGGTACCAGTACGAGTACCTGCAGCCCGTCCCGCGGCGGCTGCTGACCGTGTGCTCGGCCGACAGCCGCTGCGTGCTGCACGCCGCGCCGCTCACCAGGGACTCGCTCGTCAGCTTCTCGCCCTTCTTCCGCAAGGTACCAGTACGAGTACCTGCAGCCCGTCCCGCGGCGGCTGCTGACCGTGTGCTCGGCCGACAGCCGCTGCGTGCTGCACGCCGCGCCGCTCACCAGGGACTCGCTCGTCAGCTTCTCGCCCTTCTTCCGCAAGGTACCAGTACGAGTACCTGCAGCCCGTCCCGCGGCGGCTGCTGACCGTGTGCTCGGCCGACAGCCGCTGCGTGCTGCACGCCGCGCCGCTCACCAGGGACTCGCTCGTCAGCTTCTCGCCCTTCTTCCGCAAGGTACCAGTACGAGTACCTGCAGCCCGTCCCGCGGCGGCTGCTGACCGTGTGCTCGGCCGACAGCCGCTGCGTGCTGCACGCCGCGCCGCTCACCAGGGACTCGCTCGTCAGCTTCTCGCCCTTCTTCCGCAAGGTACCAGTACGAGTACCTGCAGCCCGTCCCGCGGCGGCTGCTGACCGTGTGCTCGGCCGACAGCCGCTGCGTGCTGCACGCCGCGCCGCTCACCAGGGACTCGCTCGTCAGCTTCTCGCCCTTCTTCCGCAAGGTACCAGTACGAGTACCTGCAGCCCGTCCCGCGGCGGCTGCTGACCGTGTGCTCGGCCGACAGCCGCTGCGTGCTGCACGCCGCGCCGCTCACCAGGGACTCGCTCGTCAGCTTCTCGCCCTTCTTCCGCAAGGTACCAGTACGAGTACCTGCAGCCCGTCCCGCGGCGGCTGCTGACCGTGTGCTCGGCCGACAGCCGCTGCGTGCTGCACGCCGCGCCGCTCACCAGGGACTCGCTCGTCAGCTTCTCGCCCTTCTTCCGCAAGGTACCAGTACGAGTACCTGCAGCCCGTCCCGCGGCGGCTGCTGACCGTGTGCTCGGCCGACAGCCGCTGCGTGCTGCACGCCGCGCCGCTCACCAGGGACTCGCTCGTCAGCTTCTCGCCCTTCTTCCGCAAGGTACCAGTACGAGTACCTGCAGCCCGTCCCGCGGCGGCTGCTGACCGTGTGCTCGGCCGACAGCCGCTGCGTGCTGCACGCCGCGCCGCTCACCAGGGACTCGCTCGTCAGCTTCTCGCCCTTCTTCCGCAAGGTACCAGTACGAGTACCTGCAGCCCGTCCCGCGGCGGCTGCTGACCGTGTGCTCGGCCGACAGCCGCTGCGTGCTGCACGCCGCGCCGCTCACCAGGGACTCGCTCGTCAGCTTCTCGCCCTTCTTCCGCAAGGTACCAGTACGAGTACCTGCAGCCCGTCCCGCGGCGGCTGCTGACCGTGTGCTCGGCCGACAGCCGCTGCGTGCTGCACGCCGCGCCGCTCACCAGGGACTCGCTCGTCAGCTTCTCGCCCTTCTTCCGCAAGGTACCAGTACGAGTACCTGCAGCCCGTCCCGCGGCGGCTGCTGACCGTGTGCTCGGCCGACAGCCGCTGCGTGCTGCACGCCGCGCCGCTCACCAGGGACTCGCTCGTCAGCTTCTCGCCCTTCTTCCGCAAGGTACCAGTACGAGTACCTGCAGCCCGTCCCGCGGCGGCTGCTGACCGTGTGCTCGGCCGACAGCCGCTGCGTGCTGCACGCCGCGCCGCTCACCAGGGACTCGCTCGTCAGCTTCTCGCCCTTCTTCCGCAAGGTACCAGTACGAGTACCTGCAGCCCGTCCCGCGGCGGCTGCTGACCGTGTGCTCGGCCGACAGCCGCTGCGTGCTGCACGCCGCGCCGCTCACCAGGGACTCGCTCGTCAGCTTCTCGCCCTTCTTCCGCAAGGTACCAGTACGAGTACCTGCAGCTCGTCCCGCGGCTGCTTCTTCCCTGAACTAGAACCTTTACTTCGTACAAAAATCTTCGTGGATATCCCTATGCCCCTCGTGACAACTGTTTTAAAAACTGACATTTTAGATTTTTTTTTACGTACAGGGTGTGTTCGAGAGCGGCAAGTGTGGCACGGGATGATACCAGGCGGAGCTCGCCACGGGGCGCGCGCTAGCTACGGCACTGATGCGGCTGGCTACCACGCTAGCGGCCGCCGCGTTGCTGCTGTGCCGCTGCCTGGCGCTCATGCTGCTGCTGATCTACCTGCTCGCGCTGCGCCGCCGCCCGCGCAGCTAGTGCATCACCTGGCTGCTCGTCTTCCCCTCGGCACCAGGTGTCATGCTCTCTTTATACTTTAATAACTGATAAATGTATAAACAGTCGCGTTGTTAAAAGCCTGTTTACACTTTATGTAGTGAGAAGTAATAGAATGTACTAATAAAATTAATGAAGAGATGGTCATGTTGTTAAATGCGAAAGGAGTGTGTAGTAAACTAAATAGAAACGCGGTTTATTTTTACTATTAAGAAAGTTCCTGTCACCGTACTCGATATGTGATGATACTTTACAATATGTAAATGCTATCTAAATGCTTGACAATATAAAAATATAACTGATCTCTTAATAAAGTGTAAACTGCGCTTTATATATTCGTGTTCATGTAGTACATTTTTAATATCATTGAGGATCCGCTTTGTACGTAAAATTGATGCGGCGTCCAGTGACCAACCAGTTAATATTGCAGCAGCGTATCCGGCGCGAAGGACCACGGGTGTCTTTATCTATAGTAATCGCTGGCAATCCACAAGACTTTAGCATAATGAAGAATATAAAATCCTTTATTTATTTAAAATTAGAATTTAATATTATGGATTGTTCCATAATTTTAAATTGATTAAAGTGTACAAGTGATTTTATACTCAATTATGACTATCGTAGGTTGACTGTGCCACAATCAGAGATGTCCTTACTTGATACTACTGACACAACTAAACTGACTGACTGAAGTCGGCTCTCGAACATCTTGGGTAACAAAAGAAGTGAAACGTAATAATCGACCTTATTTGAATGATGTAAGAATCCATTTTAAACACGACTAAAAATTGCTCTTCTTTCCGAGCCGGTCTCCGTAAACGGTCACTAATATTGCTTGAAATTCCTTTAGCTATGGGCTGACATTAATCGCTAAATCAAAACCATATATGAAAACAGTGGCGGTCGCATTAATAAACTGTATACGATACGCTTTAAAATAAGTACTAGTTCCAATAACATGTCTTTCGATTTGGCGGGAAAAAGTCTGTTTAAATCGAGAACATATTTCCATTTATTGATTCTTCCTACTACAATAAAAAACTAAAATTAAAAAAAAAAATTCATTTATTTTTAAGTTTTTAATCTATGCCAACATAATGTGTGTCTAAATATCAACTAGGCATGGGTAATATGGATACCGATCCGATATCTATATATTGGGTTTATCTGGATACTGATGGCGGAATAAAGTTATCGCCCATATTAGTCGGATATCTATTTTCGAATATATTAAAAGTCTGTTATCCAATATTATTTTTTGGACAACAGATTTTAATATATTATTCGACCAATATATAGATATTGTAATTTAAATATATATAGCTATATATTACACATTTCTAATATCAAGTAGACATGGGTAATATTATGCTCCTCCAATATATATTGAATATATTGAATTCCTCTGGACATTGATGGCGAAAAAAAGTCATTACACATTTCAAAATTATATTGGTTATTCGATATCTAAGATATCCGATATTAGTCCAATATATAGATATTGGAACTATATATGTAAATGATACTATATATTTACCCATTCCTGATTTAAACTGTTAGTGACTTACTAGTTATACCATTTCGTATAACGATTCTGTTATATTATTATATACGAGGTTTGTCCGGAAAGTACGTATAAAAGTTTTTTAAAATTTTTATTTTACAATTATTCAGGTAAATCAATTTTATCCCCTTCAAAGTACTCCCCCTGTGACATAATGCACTTGTGCCAACGCCGTTTCCACTGTGAGAAGGCTCCTTGAAAGTCCTCTGGTTGTAGGTTTCTCAGCTGCCCCGTCGTAGCTTTTTTTATCTCATTTATGTCCCCCAAATGCCGCCCCCGAAGTACCAATTTGGTTTTTGGGAACAAGAAGAAGTCACACGGGGCCAAATCCGGCGAATAGGGGGGGTGTTCGGTCACCGTAATGGAATTTTTACTCAAAAACTCACGGACAACAAGAGAGGTGTGGGCAGGGGCATTGTCGTGGTGAAGAATCCAACGCCCCTCTCGCGCCAATTCTGGACGAACTCGTGCCACACGAGCTTTGAGGCGTCTGAGCACATCGACGTAGAATTTTCCATCAACTGTCTGGCCTGGAGGGACGAATTCTTGATGGACAATCCCCCGAACATCGAAAAAAACAATCAACATTGTCTCGGCCCTCTCTGAATCTTTTTAGCCACTTGTGGACGGTTGGTTCCTTCACAGCATCATCCCCATAAACTGTTCTGAGATCGGCAAAAATTTCACGGCCATTCTTGCCGAGTTTCGAGAGAAACTTGATTACGACGCGCTGCTCTTCAACGGAAGCGGGCTCCATGCCGACGGGGTTTCGTTAAGAGGTAACTTCACAGATGGCGTGACAAGCCAGTTCGCACCGCACGGCGGTCAGACCAGAACTGAAGCATTGTTAGGGACATAAGGAAGGGGTCCTGCGCTTACCTGGCCTCCCCACTCCTCTTTCTCGCATTCCAGAACACTTTTATACGAACTTTCCGGACAGACCTCGTACATTGTTTGTATATCTGTGGATGGCCTGTTTGTATATTTTGTGCAATTTACTTTAATACTAATCGTAAGTCTTCCTCGGTGCTTACAAACGCGAATGTTGTTGTCCCTTTTTCGTTGTAGTTAATGGAAAGGGATGGCATGTGAGCACAGCTATTCGATTGAAGCACTTAGATGTACTATATGACAATTGTATTTTTATTTATTTTTATTCTTTAAGACGACTATGATAGAGTTCATTTTACGTCGTTCATCATAACTGAATATAGTTAAATTTGTTAGTTATTGTGTCTGTCGTAATGTTGTCATTTGAGGACAATCTCTAGCGTATTTATTGTCAGTGTTAGGACTCCTATATGTGATCACTAGTTTTATATATACATACATACATACATACATATCTGTCACGCGTGTCTCCCATTAGGGTAGGCAGAAACAATGGAACACCAGAGGGAGACTTTGTACAAAAGTCGATTGCTTGGATACCTCTGTTCCATTCGTGTTTCAACCGTGAAGCAGTTGTGTTTGCATGGCTGTGTTTCGGTTTGAAGGGTGGGATATGGCGTGAATTTACTGGGTACAGAGGAATAACACCTGAGTCCTCAGGAATGGCAACGCATGGGTGGTAACCAAATGGTTCGATTTAAACAAACCTTTTTCGCTTCTTCCACATTCATCAATCTTTTCATATATATATATATATATATATATATATATATATATATATATATATATATATATATATATATATATTCTTTATTGCACTTCTTAATCTATTCATTTAAGAGTTTCCTCTTGTCGGTGCAACTAATTCATGCATTCTCTTCCAGCCAGTTCTATTCCAGGCCATATCTTTGACCTCTCTATACGACATGACGTGTTTCCTTTATCTGTACCCTGTAGTTATTCCTCGGTCTCTCCTTTTTTCTTTTGCTCTCTATTTTTCTTATAATATTATTTTTTTTATTACTAACGCTAAAGTTACAATTTAATTTTTTATTTTTTATACGTGTATGTTATTACATTATTTTAATTTTGTAATAGATGAAAATGAAATGGTAACCCCGCCTGCGGCATTTGTTCTCGCTAGTGGGACAGTTATGAGGGATGATAGGTGAGGATGAAGTTAGTCCATATCAAAGATTGACTTATATTGCTAGCTATGGGGTTGTTAGTCCCCATTTAGTGATAATATCATTCTCACAGTTTACTATATAACTTATTAGTTAGATAGTGAGTGGAATTAATTATGTTCTTTATAATCCACTGTACTTGTTTTCTAAAAATTAAATATTGATACCTCATTGGTGAATTCTTTATTTTATTTTTTTGTTAGAGCAAAAAGTATGAATTCGTTTAGTAGTTGTTCATTTAATAATGAGATATTTAACTATATATATTACTAATTTTACTATTTCTTTTTTTTTACTTTTTTTATGTAATAACTACCTGTTTAACTTACGTGTAATTAGGTTAGAAACTCAACTAGTTTCGGGACCATTAGGGACCCTTAATCGTGAGCATGAATAACCCTTTTTTACTGTTTGAAATATTCACAAAGTCTATTAGAAATATCACTGTGACAAAAATATTAGTGCCTGAAATTACAAATCCGTACATTGTACATAGATTTTAATTAATTATCATTTATAAATGATTATATATATATATATAACCATAAAGGAGTCCATACACTGTCATGTAGAGTATCTATATAAAGCACCCAAAGTTAGTATATTTTTCCACGTGGCGAGTTCTATAATGCGACCCCGCCCCTCTGACCAGACGAGGGGGTGGGGTGCATTAAAATTTAGATGTAAAATTATAAATATAGTGATTTAAATAACATTAGCGAGAGGTGCAAATATAGTTGTATTTTGAGGTTAGGAGTCTACGCTATAATTCGCGC